TACAAAATCGAAACATTAACTCAGGCGTGAGCCATTCAGCACCAACTTCTTCTCTTAAATTAACTTGGTATCGGCCACCATAATTCACCATTCCGGCAAAATATACATCCGCAAATCGATTTCCAAGAACCATCACAGGTTCCAAATTCCGCATCACTTGAAACTTAATCACTCTTGATTGTTTCATTTTGGGATGTTTGAATACTGCAAAAGCAGCACCTTCAACAGCTTGCACTGTATTAGCAATTATACCTCTAACAGCTACGTTGGATTGCAAAGTAAAAACTTTTAAACTCATTGCCAGATTAAGATCTATGCACGCAGTACAGCATCCCGTATCTAATAAGACGTCGCCAACTTTAATAACTTCTTTATCAGGGTGACAAAATGTCAGTCTCACTGTAGGAAAATTTCTGAATTCGTCATCAATGTTAGTTATTAACTCGACTTTCTCCGTTTCATTGACTTCATTCATCATGAAACAAACGGAACCATTCGGTGCTTTAGATAATTCACCATTAGCTTTCACTGGCTTATTCTCGCCAACAAAATTAGCTGTTTCTTGCTTATTAGCATTCGTATTGGTATTTGCTTGACCTTGACCAAACGTTGGTTGCACATTAGCCATTCTCAAATTAGCAGGTTGAAAACGGTTCGACTGATTACTACCACCACTATGATTAGAATCAGATTTTTCAGCATGAGATTTCCTTGGTTTCCGACAATCTCTCGAAGAATGTCCCAAAATTCCGCAATTATAACACCTGAAAGGAGGCTTTCGTGCAGAAGCACTGAAGGAGTTGGAATTATTATTCCTCTTTTCATCCTTCTTCTCATTATCTTTATTATCTCTACGATTATTATCGTGTCGAAAAGATTCGCGTTTATGCTCTCCTTTTTCATTGCGTTTTCGCATCTCAATGTTGTATTCATTTACTAACGCAGCAGTTAGTTCTTGAATATCATGAACAGACTTTGACCGGATCAAAGTGTCCTTTACCTCAGTAGGCAATCGTATCAAGACATCTTGAATAAACTCGCTAGGTGACGGTTCACCTTTAACTTTGATAACCATAGTTTCTAACTTACGAATGAATTCGTCCGGTTTCATATCGAAGTTCCATTTCAAATTATGGAAATCAGCAGTAGCTTGAGAAATAACAGCAGGATTCCTCAGCTTCTTTTCTAGTGCAGCGATATAAGTTTTGCATGTATGCTTCTCCTTATCCAATTCCTTAGCGTAAGGCAGAAATTCGTATGCCATAGCTTTTTGAAGCACATACAATTTATCATCGTCGTGACATCTCTCCAAGCTCAATATACGCTTAATAGTTTGCAACCACATCCATGAATCGACAGTACCAGGAACATATTCAGGTAACTTCGGGAGTTTAGGCTTGCATCTATTGTAAGCATTGACGGTTGGTTGTCGTCGTTGACTTCTAGGTCTGTTGACCTCTTCATCGCTATCACTTCGATCTCTTGATCTGTCTCTATCAGCATATCTGCTTTCATCTACTTGATCAGCTTGTCTCGAAGTACCAGGCTGATAAGCCAAAGTTTCTCGTTCTTCAAAAACTTCATCTCGGGTACGTTCACTACCAATAAGGTCACTTATGTTGACACCAGGATCAACTGTTGTTTTAATTCCAGCAGAGCTTGTTAGCTCAGTACGTTGCCATCTCTGAAGCATTTCTTCCAAAATGCGTTTAGCAGGAGAACCAATTGACATCTTTTTAATCGTACTGACTGGCGTCATTCTCATTGTTTTAGGTTTATCACCACACTTAAGAATTATCTCCCGTATATCAGCTTCAGAAACAGAGTTTTCACGTAATTCAGTAACCCATGAAGGTATATCAAGGTGTATAATTTGATTAGAATCAGTAGCTTCCATGATTTCTTGAGTAACTTCAGTATCACCATTCAAAGCGAACATAGTTTTAATTGCATCATAAAACTTTCTCTTAATGATAACGTCGTTTTGAACAAATTTAATTTTCCAATTTCGCAATTGACTTCTCATTTGTACCATATCGTAAGCTTTTAAGCTCAGGTCAATATCTCGAGGTTGACTACCTTTATTTCTTTTACCTTTATCTTTATCTTTATTTTTATCTGGTTGATTAACAGGATTATCATCACCGTCCTCAGAATTCACAGAACCAGCCATGAAACAATAGTCATATTTAATAGTTGAATTTAACAGCAATCCTGCCGTGGTCGCCATTTGAAAGGTTATAATTTCAGTTCGTTTGCAAACGCAGAGCACAATTTAAACACAATTAAATTTAATCACAATTAAAGTTGAATTCAAATAGACTCAGAAGATTTATTCAGCCTTTCAAATCCTGAATATCAGGTTCTTTTAGGATCACTGAGTTTTCAAACTCTTAAATAAAACCAAAGTCAAACAAAAGGTACAATTACTAAGCAAGGATTAGTAAAGGGTAAAACCACAACTGGTCAACAGGAATGTCTCTGGACAAGAATTAGAAATAGTCTAAACTGGTTTTGAACAGTAACTCAGCTTATAAGCTTGACCTCTTATCTCGTTGATTAGCTTTAGAAAGCGATGAAACTAGAGTTGAAATGAGTTTCCAAACTCTAACCAAAAGAGACTAAAACACGAGAAGTTGAATTCAATGATTATTATCAGCACTATCAGGAACAGTTCAAGAGCTGTGATTTCGAGCATCACTTGAAGAACTCATTTAGATGAATTAGACTATAGTCTTAGGCACAAATTCAAGAAGATTGGAAGCACAATTTAGAAAACTTAAAGATATTTTATTACACCAAAAGTAAACCCAAATTTTAGAGAAAATTAAGATGAAGATGAAAGTGGTTTATAAACCAATATTTGAAAACACTTATATTTTTTAGATTCAGTTCGATTCTGTTGATTGACAATATTTAAAAGAACTAGGATATTTTCACTGTAGAACATAAAAGAGACTTATTAAAGACATAAATCAAAAGACAATTAAACTCAAATTAGAGAACCCATTATATACGTTAATAAACGGAAGGAAAAGAACAAAAGAAAAAGGAAAAGGAATGATGTTGTAAGCTTAGAAGCTATGGACAACTATCTCTTAGACAACAGTAAACAATCTTATGATGTCATTGTTAGGGATAATTACAAAATTACAAAACCAAAATTTATGTTTTAAACAAAGATAAGCTTACAAGCTAAACAAAATGAAATCAAAGATTAAATGAAAGAATGATTATTATCAAATGATTATGATTGGGATTGATTTTGGGCAACTCTACCCTTCAGCATTCTCAATTAACTTGAAGATATAAATCAAACTCATTGGTTAAGGTTTAATGGAAGAAGCACAATTTTCATTTTGATTTTCCTAAATGATAACTTGGATTCAATATTTGTCTAATAGTTAATTTATCTGAAGCCAAAATCTGATTGAATCTGAATAAATCTTGTAAATCCAAAGTGATCCAAACACTGTCCATTGATTTTTGCATAAACGTTCAGTAATTACTTCAAATAATCAATCCAAATGAATGTACATTTGTAAATAACCTCAAGGGAATTAATCACTCAGTAACAATTAAAAACGTTAAACAATTGAAAAAAGGCAAACAATTGAGAAAATTAATTTCAATTAATAGCGAGATTAAATGAGCTTTTCTAGTTAACCAGCTGAATGAAATACAAATAACCAATGATTGCAGTTAATCACACAATTGGAGGCAGCTTTAGAGCCAGTCTTTCAATTAAACAGATTTACCTTAATTTAGATGAAACTTATCAAATCTCTTTAAATCTCATGAAATCTCATTGAACCAGATTAAATCTTTTACTTCCATTAAACAATTAGAATGATTTTACTCGATAAGCTAATAAAATATCGTTGAAGTCAAACACTTGGAAATCCTGAAAAGTCTATTATCCATTGTCTTGTAATACGTATATTTTTTTGATTTGATTCAACATCATTTTTTTGTTTTCTTACACAATTTAATTTAACCAATTGTCAAACTTAATTTACCCATGTATATAAACATGTTAACTGTCATCTAGGAAGCCAAAGAAAAATCAGAAATGAGAAATAAATTGAATCAAGAAAAATCAATTGAATAAAAGCGAACCTTTTTCAATTTTATTTTATATCTTTTGTTTCCTTATTTTCATGTTATCATCAAATAATATGGCATTTATCAGTGAAAATATTGAAGCCAATCCCAGTTTAAATTGTCGTTAAACCTGTAAATCTTTAGCAAACAAATCATTTTGTATTTACAGATCACTATTCAATCCGACAAAATCTTTATCCTTTCACATTCAATCCAGATTTGTGACATTCAAATAAACACTTGTTTAATAGATAGACTAATAGTTATAGACGATCAACAATTGATGCTTAAGGTTGATCCATTTGATAATCTTAGGTTGATTGTTTTACTTACGTGATAACATTGTTTTGATTAACCTTTTGTTTTTTTTGTTGCTGAGTTTTTGGGTTCATCTTTTCATCTGTATTTCTGGTTATCATGCAACAAGTTTCAACTACAGATGGTTCAATCTTAATCAGATTCTAATTTAACAGCTTTGGGCTTTTGGATTATTTTTAGCTTAGATTCAAGTCAAAGGTATTCTGATTCAAAATCATTTCATCGTTTTATTTAAAGGTTAACCATGTGTGGCTCAATCTCATCAGAGTGAAGCACTCACAAGTGGGAGTAACTTTGCTGAAATTTCATCACAAGAAAAGCAACAAAAAAACATTGCTTTTCAATGAAGCACAATTGAATCAAGAAAATGAACTGAAAACATGAAAAACAAAATTTTTCATTTATCTTTCTATAAGCCACAAAGGTCAAGCCCAAAAGACCACATTTTAATTAGCCATTGATTCGGTAGTTTAAATTGTGTTCATCAGTTTAATTAAAATTCAGAAACAGATTTTATTTTGTCTCCAACATTTTTCATAAAACGCGCTTCTTGTGTAACTCAGTAACTAAGCTATATTTTCCCTCAATTTTAGTCTTGCAATTGTTGTTCGTTTTCCCATTCCGTCTTAATTTGTGACAATTACTTTAGTCCAATTAATAAGATTGTATGGTGAGTAAACAATTAATTTAACTGATCTATTTGTGCTCACCTGTATTGGGTTTCATTAAATTAACCTTCATGGTAAGTTGTAAATTAACTGTTTCTTAATTGACTAGCTTTATTTGGTAGTGTAAGAATTGACCACGTTTTTTCTCAACATTTTGATTTCTTGTCAACAATAGTGTTAACCTAAATTACTAATTATTTTTTTCTGTTTACAGTTTTTGTTTCCTTCGAACTTATCCATCCTGGTTTGTGCTATCAAGTTTTACACTGTTACTGATGACTCTACTTTTATGTCTGATGGTTACCCTTAAAGAGTTAATCGCCGACAGGAGTAAGCTCACAGATATTTATAACATCTTAACGTGATATATTATGCGGTTGAATTATTGATGATGCTTTAGGCTCATCTACTTTGAAAACGTTTTGCCAAAAACCTTGAGATTGTAATTTGAAATAGACCCAGACGAAGATGGAAACGAGAAATGATGAATTGTTACTGGTGCTCATTAAAGATTGCTATTTCAAGTGATTTAAAGGTCAACATAAATTAGCTTGAGTTTGACAAAATATTCAATTCTCATAAATGGTAATCCAATGTAAAAGTTTCTGAAAATGTCATTCAAAAACCTAATGATACTTGGAGTTGCGATGATCTCTCTAAAGAAAAATTGAAGCAAACTAACTTAATAACTTTTATTAGATTATCTTTCAACAATTCCTTTTATTGACTTTATTTATGAAAGGAACATGATTGAAACATAATTTGATAACAGGGTTACAATGAAACAAAAACCTAATGACATCAATGAAACATTGAAAATGCTCAGCAACACACAATATCATGTAAATAATAAGTAAAATAGGTAAGAAAGCAAAATACCAAATTCTTTGTATATTATATCCGGTGAAACCTTTCTTCTTGGCTTTTCCAGTTTTTCCTTTTGTGTTACCTTTCAACATGATGATAAAATGAACAAATAGGCCACTTCAGAATCATTCAACTTTTCCAGAATCAGTTGACCCAAGAAAAGCTCAAAAAATGAAATTTCTCATAATTTTCTTCTCTTTTCCTTCCTACAGATCAGAACCACCTACAGGTCATCAGCAATATTGTAACGAAATTTGTAACCATATTTCCAGACAGAAAGTAACAAAAAAAATGACAGACAAATTGAATCTGTCATCTACAAGACAAGCTTTGATGACTGTCTATCAACGGATCTTGGCCAACTTTTGGACATTAAATTCAAAGAGGCGAAACAAGAAATGAAGGAAATGGCAACAAAAGGAATAAAATTCCAAGAGAAAACTTTTCAACCTGAATAATGAAAACCTGTGTTGATTATCTTTATGAACAATTGGAAAGTTGGTAAAGGAAATAGTTTCAATAATGTTACCTGTTGAAAAAAACATTTCTCGTTTTCTTCTTCTTTCCCTGATAATGATCGATTCTGACCAATTTCCAGGATAACTTGTTGAAATAATAAGAATGAAAGTTCACAACTTCAAAGAAGAAAAATAAACCACAAATAAACAGTAAAGTCTCTAAAGGAAGGAAAGTTGAAAAAAGCAATTCTCATCTGGGAGTTTTTCCATCCATTTCAAGTAAAAGGTGAAAAATAAGGCAAAATTGAATTGAATTTGATGGAGAGGAGAAACAGAAGAGTTAAAGTGAAAACGAAAGTTTCATGATGAACCATGATAATTGTAAGTTGTTTTTGGTAAGCATTATTTAAATTGCATTCCAATGGATATTTAAATGACTGAATAGTTCTGTAAACATGATGATTATTGGGATTGAAGAAATGATTTCCAAGAAATCTTTCTTTCTCCTTTTCTTCTCCTAAATTGTTTCAATCTGTTTAAGAGCAACTGAGACATGAAATGAGGTTGATAAAACTCAGAATAGAACAAAAAACTGATATATTTTCTTTCTATTTCTTTCCAGGTTAATTTGGTACAATTAGTGGATGAACAAAAAACAGAAACCTTTGGAAGTTGATCTTGGATGTTAATGCAGAATCGCAAAGTTTATATTGATTTCTCATTCTACTCTGAATAATCTTTCAACTATATTGAAGCTTTCCTGTTTTTTTACATGATAATTAGTTTTCTTCTAATAACACTTCTTGGAATGGTAAAGTTGGTGAACAATGTCAAATTGGAAGAGCTTTTGAAAATCATTTCCTGATGTAAATTACACTTGACTGTCTGAATTTCACCATTTTCATGTTGAAAACTTGAGCTTTTAAAATGATTTAACTCCAGTCAATCATAGGAATTGTTTTCAAACTGAAAAGTCTATTCAAGTTTACCAATTTTGATTTATTCATTTAAATGTTTGAAATAATTCAACTGTTTCTTGTTGTTATTGTATTGAGATGAATTCTTGTTTTTATTCAGGTAAATTCATTAGCCATGAAACGTATAATGAAATTTATTTAAAAAGCTTTCACCAAAACCTTCTTTTATTAACAAACTTTCCAATCTTTTGCTTCTTCATAACACAAGGATATGCATGAAATTGATGAAGGAAGTCAAGTTTAATCAAATTAATAACTCACCATTGACGTAAATTGATATTGAAAAAGTTGATTTGAAATTATTTGATAACGATTCAAATAATCTTGAATAACTTGAAGTTTAAACTTGAACAACATTTCTATCAATTTGATTAAAACTGGAAATTTGTGTCTGAAAATCATGTCTGATATAGAAAAGGTTTGAAATTTTGGAAAATTTGGAAAATACATTTTCCATTTTCTATATTATTTGAAAGTAACATTTTTAAAATAAAATTGATCATTTTGTTCATTCAATTTTCATCTCATCAAGTTTATTCCTAAGTTGATCTAATCCATCAGATCAGGATGAGATGACACTGAATTGGAGAAAAGAAATGAGAAAATATTGAAGAGCAAAAATGATATTGAAAGACAATTCTTTAAATTATCAACATTCAACAGGAAAACTAATAATGAAAGTAAGCGAGTTTATTATATTGAAATGGATTCAGGCCATTTCCATGTTACATGTAAACACTAACAATCTCATCACGTCAAGCATCACTCAAAATTTGTCTCATGTTCAATTGTAAGAATGTCAGGATTACATAAAAAGTAACAAAAAAAGTTCTCAAAAATATGAGATAAAATTCAACATATTTTGATGAGAAATTGCATGAAAAATTTGGTCAAAAAATTGAAAGGATTTTTTCTGGAAAAGAATTTTCAACAATGAAAATTTAGTTCGATTCTAATGAACATGAATGGGAAAATTAGATTGAAAGTTCAAAGAGGATTGTGAAAGTTTTATATAAAAAGAGGAAAAAAAGTTTCAAAATGTTCATTCAAAAGAATAGTTGGAAAATCAAAAAGAAAATTAATGAAAATTAAACACGAATCGCCTGAAAAGTTCGCAGAAGAAATGATGAGTTTGCTCCAAAAGTTCATTCAATGAAAAATGGAAATGGAAATTTGCAAATTCGAGCTTTAATCTTTGCTCAAAAGATAAAAGTTCACAAATGTTTCATTGAAAATCTTCAAAAGCTCACAAAAGATGGGATTTTTTAACAAAAGAAATGCAAGAACTTTGACTTTCGATTTGGAGACTTGAGTTAGTAGCGAAAGTTCATTCGAATAAAGAAAATTCAAAATCGATAGTTTTAGCTAAAATCGAGTTCAAAGCTCTAACATTCGATGGCTCTTAGTACAGTTATAGGATTTTCCACAGACTTTTTTCTTCGAACTGATTCTTTAATGCAACTCTAACTCTAACTGAAGATAAACTCACTTCGAGGAATAAAACATTCTGTTGCTGTACTACAGCTTCGATTCTCGGTTAAAACTCTTTTTTCGAGCGACGGTAACAGCTATTAGGGTGGCTCACGCTATCGCGGATGATTTTTATTTTGAATAACTTCTTTATTTCTGAGCGGATTTTCTTCAAATGTCATAAATCGAAATTATTCTCCTTCAGAATTAATATAACGTTGCCAGCGATTCGGTAGATCGGCAATTCCGTGTATTAGACCATCATCGTATTTTGCCCTGCGGCAATTTTCCAGACTCAAGCTATTTTCTCCCCTCGTTATGAATTTTTTCTCAATTTTCGGTTCAATTTGGCAAACATTTGAAGTTACGAGGACTCAGGTCAGTCGAAAAAAGTCAGCGTTACACTGGTAGACCACTTTTCACCAATGCTGCAAATTTGAGAAATGGTTTTTTTCTTGCTCTCTGATAGATTAAATCGGACCCTGAAATTTTGCCATGGTTGGATTTATCAGAGAATGATTTCATGCAATTTTTGCTTCTCTAAGCTACAAAACAAGCCTAAATATGTCACTTTTTTTCGACTAGAAGAAAAGTTATTAAGCTAAAAAGTTATCCACGATAGCGTGAGCCAACCTAATAAATAGTTGAATTAATTCAACTGGGGAACATCAACGATCGAACAATACTTTAAATCCATCTCACAAGGAAAGTGTTCCGAGTCATCCAAATCCTCTGTTAAAATTGGAATTTTGTCGAACATTTAAAGGTCACTTTCCGAAATCGCAAACTTCTGTTTTCTAGTTGTTGCTGTTTCCAATTCGCTAACACTTACTGTTGCGAAAAGCCGATTTCCTCATCAACGAAAAATGTCTATAACTTTTATACGTGAGCGAATATTATAAATTAAATTGAAACTCGGAAGCAAATTTGTAACGATAATTGATATCGTTTCATAGTTTCTTGAAATTCTAACGAAAAAAACTCCCAGTCTAATGCTTATCGCCTACGAATTGAATGTCATGAAATAATGATTATGTTAATAATTTTTATGACAATATTGATGATACATTTGAATGTTATTTTGGTTAATAGTAGGTTGGCTTTGAGGTATTTTACCTCGAAATGTGTACTTTTATATTTTGTGATGAAAATGGGTTGGATCTAGTTGAGTGTGACTAAAGGAGTTTTGGGTGTAAAAGGAGGAGTCTTCAGTTTCGTTTTTTTGGACAGTTCAGTTTTTTGTTTCAACTTATCAGAATATTTTATTTGCAACTAGAAGAAGAAGAAAACTTTTTTACTCAATTATTACAGGTAAAAACTGGAGTGTTAATTGGTTGAACCCACAGTTTAAAAACAAAGCTTATTATAAAGTTTATTTTACATTCAACATTTCATCGTTAACCATTAGTAAAACTATTATTATTGTTATCAACTGTTCAACTCCCAGTGATTGTTGTGTTTCCAGTTTGCATTTGGTTTAACTTTAATTGTGATATTGAATTGGAATCTTTATTTTCATGAAAAACCTTCAAATGTTTTCTTGATTCTACATCAGTCACATTTCAGGTAAGCCTTCATCTAATGTTTAAAAGCATTTTCATCTTAAAATTGAAGTTTCCAATTTTGTTTAATTTGCTAATTTACTAATCATAAATAATCATCAATTTCACTCCAACTCTGAATCTCAGTTTATTCTTGATTTTCTAGACTTTCATTTACATTTGGCATTTGTATATCGATTGACCTTTAAAAGTTTATATTAATCAAGATTATGAAAGTTGATTTGAATCTAGAAATGAATTCATTTGTAACTTGAAAAGATTGAGTAAAGTCCGAAGGTGATCATCGATTTATTGTTGCATTGTAAATGTATAACATTATGATTGATGTTGGAAAGGTAAATATATAATTGTGAGAATGTTGAATCTTGATTAAGTTCAACTTGAAAAATATTGATTGGGTTCTGTTGGTGTTTTAGTTGATTTGATTGTGATAAACATTTCTCTTGGTTGAACCTTATTCAACGGTCATTCAATATTGCTCAGTTGAAGGTGTGACAAGATGTTGAGGAAGTAAAATGTCGACATTTTGACATTTTTAATCAAGTTAAATTTGATCATTTAATTTGTTTCAACTTTTTAGGTCAACAGTGGCATCAATAGTCACAAATTGTTGTCCCAGTTAATCTTGTTAACTGTGTTACTCAATGTATGGATAAATGTCTCAAAGTAGATTAACAGTTATTCCGTGTTTTAATCAACAGAACAGTTCATTGAAATTGTCAAATAGCTAATTATAAACTGTATTATTTCCGATTACATTTACACTAATCTCATTATTCCAATGGTTTTATAACAGAATCAGGCAAATCTTATTAAATGTTACTCAAGTCTAACCAGACAGTATTTCATAGTTGAAGGCAGTTTTGCAAAGCAAACAAACTTTGAGTTTCCCTTGATTAACAACAATATCAAGTTTAAACTGTATCAATTTACCAATTTTAAACTCGATTTAAAGCGATCGTTTTCAACACTTGTTTGCTGATTTGTTCAAAAATCAGTTAATTTTTGGTGAATTCAGATCAATCATTGATTGCATTATAAAGTATTTTTCAGTTTAAAAGTTGAAAGAAAAGTTGATTTATCATTCCAAATGTAACTTTATTACCTTTACCGATAGTCTGGATATTGAAGGTGTTTTCCTGTTTCATCTTGATTCTTGTTCTTATTCACCTAAGATTGTTATCCAATGTGAGCCTGTTAAGCTGTAAGTGAAACAATCTGATTAATTCTGAAATGAACTGAAAAACTGAATAATCTAATAATAAAGACGATAAAGGCCAAATAGGTAACTTAACCATATTTTAAACTTAAATTTGTGGGTTTATATCATGAATCCCTTGAGCCATTAAACTGTATCACCTTTAATGGTTCATTTAAATTCATAAATTGAAATAAATCTTAATCTTATTTCGTGTGTTTCATGGAATCCTAAAATCTGTTGATTTCACAAGGAAAAGGAATAATTTTGGAAACTAAACCATTGAATTTATTGGTCTCAATTGGTCAATTTTCACTTAAAACTGCCCACATTTTGTTTAAATGTCATTAAATGCATTTTTAAATAGAGAAAAATAAATTATGAAATTTTTCAGGTAACTCTGAATTGATTTAAGATACTCCATGTTCCAGCAGAAGTATAATTGAATGCTTATAAAGTTCCATCTTTTTTGTCCTTAAATCATGAATAATGACGTTAATGTTAAAAACAACACTAAATGTCGACATATTTTATGGCAGCAAAATGTGCAACAAAATATGATTAGTAAATGTTGGAACACAACTTTTGACTTAAATCACGAAACGAATGAAGGTGAAAGGTTCGAGTTTACATTTGATGATAAAAAGCATTTCCTAGTTTCTTATTGACAAACCCTTCATTTAAATGCAACCGACTTTTCAATCAGTTCATTCCAATTACATTAGCATAACATTTGGTAGAAACACCATAAACATTAGCCATTTAATTGAATTTTTTGGTCTAACTAAAATTTCTTTCAACTTGTTTACAATCTTCAGTAAATGTTGCCAATGAAGTAACCTTTGAAAGTAGAAAGGTCTATCCAAAGTCGACATGATTCAATGCGACTGCGAAAGAATCGTAGGTTCATTCCAGTTTTCATTGATGTCATCATTCAAAAAGATAAAACTCGAAAAAATCAATGTCCATATTCAATCAATTGACCTTTATTCGTTTCCAGTTTCTGCTTCAAACAAAACTGGAAATTTTGAATTTATCTGAAAATCGGATTAAAATTTAGTCGCAAATAAAAACATTTATGATAAATTTTGTTTCTCTGTTTGCATTTAAAGGTTGAGCAAAAACTCGAATGCAATTGAAACAAAGAATTTCTAATTTTATTCAATTCCAAAAGTAGTTCCCTGAAGCCGAACTCTGAATTTCCAATTTCGATCTCATTTTAAGTTATCTTCCTTCATAAAGATAATTAACTCTGAAGTAGAAAATTGCTGCTTCGAAAAATGACATTCAATTCCTGCAAGAATTTGATATTTACATGAATTTGCTTTTTCAACTGTTTTCGCATGTTAATCGTGCTTGAATGAAGTCACCTCTGACTTATCGAGCTGAATGCAAAGTCTATTAATATCAATATCAAACTCAGCACGTGAGCTACTTGGTGATCTTTAAATAGATTGATCAGCAATTAAGAATAACTGAGTTACATTGTAATTGATAACTTAATTACAAAGTTTTTGGTTGTTTACTTATTATAATTGTCATCTTCTTGTTATCGTATTATAATATAAATGAAAGCATTTGAAAGTTATTAGATTATTTGATATAATGAAACAAATCTCTTGAGTTATTATCTTCTTAACGTTGATTAACCTGATCTAATGATTATTATTATGACTATTAGATGAGATGAAACTAAATATTTAACTGTTATCAACACGAAAAATGTGTAAACATTATTATTCATTAATAATTAAAGTTATCACATTTTTTTCACTCCAACATCACTATTTAATGATATTAATGATCGTTTTAATACCGTTATAGATAAAGTAAGTTGAAAGTTTATCCAGTCGAGTTTAACTTTTCCAATTGTCTATCAACTATCAACAGTCAGATCACATTTTTCAATCATTTTAATCATCATTTGTTTTCATTTTCAACTTAACCTTAAAGCTCAAGTACAACATGTGAATATTAATTGGTTTAAATTCAATTGAATTATAAACATTCCATGCAATTTATCCTCAAGAAACAATATTTAAACTTCAACTTCAAAAAAACTATTAAACTTGAATCGATTTCGAAATTATTCAGTTCGTAACAAACAATCAATAGTTATCGATTGCAAGTACAAATTGAAAGTTAATGCTTTTTAATTGTTCTGAAGCAACAGATACGTATGAAAAGATGAATGAGACTGTCGTTATAAATCCATTTAAGTTCGAGTAATGCAACAAATAAAAGTTGAGGTAAAATCATCATCTTTTGGTTTCTTATTTTAAATCGTACATTTGAGGTTTTTCAGAATGTATTCAATAACGAATGGAACTTGAAATTTTGCTTCTTGGCGTCAACCGCTTTATACCGATTTCTTGTATCAATTCGCGGTCCCACACACTCCGCTTTGCACAAGCAGAGCTCAATACATATACTGCAAGATATGAGCTCTGATAGTATTACAAGTTGTAAAGCTCAACTCTCATAGATATTGTCAATCGTACCAAGGAAGACCTTAGGTCTTGCAGGTTAGACATTTGATTAAACCAAACAATCGCTAAGAAAGTTAGTTGTTTCAGTAAGCTAATAACTTTTAGTCCAATTAGAAGCGAAAGAATCGACCTTACGATGTTAGAAAATCGAATATCACATTTCTTTTGATCTGAACTCTTTTGAAATTCAAGACAATTGAGACTCTTGGTGCATATTGTAATTCACATTTAAATTTCAAGAAATTTTACATCAAATCTTTCAGCTTCATCAATCAATTTGTTGACTTTGTAAGCGATTCTCTATTCCTTACAGTTTTAAGATACATTTTAAATTCGTCTCCACATTCACTTATCACTCACCGATCGTGCTTAAACTTACATAATAAATACATTTTCATGAGTGTTTCTCAATTGTTCATTATTTATTAAACTCTCTATTAAACTGGATTGTAAAATGTAAAGCATTTTGATCATCCAATTGACCTTTCAACTTGAATGTATTACTTTTCACCCGTTAATCTAATAAAAGAATCACATTGCATTATAAAATTTTGATCATTTCATGATAACAAGACAAACATGAAAATATCAAAATTAAGTAACATCGCGTTTCTCGTCAACTATTATAATTATTTGGTAATGGATGAAAAAATTGATGAAAGAAAACGATAATAAAAGTTTTCAACAAATCAATCAATCTGATTTTTCACGTCAAAATTTGTCACAAAATTTTTTGCTTGACATTTTCAAGAAAATCGTAAACTTTAAATGAAATTGCAAGGTGTTCATGTCAAACTGAAAATTGTCACCAAAAATCATTAGATTTCCTTTCAAACTGAATGGAAGTAAAAGGACTGATTAAAATACAAATAATGATATTGTCCAGTGGGAGTTGATTCCTTTATTTGTTTCTCCCATCCATTCATCTTTCATTTGCTTTGCCTCTTCAAAACCCATTAACCTCAACTTGCATAATTAGACTGATTAGACTAATCAAACGAAATTACTTTTAACCAAAGTTCCATTGAAAATCACGTTTTCCTTCATTTCCCTTCCCTTCAACTATTCAAATACTTTTACCCTAAAATCGGATATTACATGATACTTTTGAAACAATCAAAGATGAACCTTTTGATCGATAAACACATTTCCTCCTGAAATCTCATTTACTACTTGCATTACTTGAAGAGACAAAAATTATTCAAATTATTACCTGAAGGTAATTAAATAGATAATAACTATTGAAAGCATTTTCTAATTGAAAATGAACTGATTAATAAATAATGATTATTAATTGCATTGGAATAATGCTGTTACTCTGATTAGTCGACACTTGAGTTATGCTTTTTATTCAAACATCATTCTTCTGTCAACATTAGTCTTTAAACATTTTACCCTTTTCCTGATTGTTCAAGTTTCCATCTTTTTTCATCGTTTTATTGCTCAGAATTGAAAACTATTTTCTCTTATTATCTTCATTTTGCACTTTATTATATTATTCTTGTTCAATTCCTTATCCTTTTATCCTTTCATGAATATCAATAAGAATTTACTGTTTTTCCTTTTCTTTTCTTTTATCTAAATTCTGATAATTTTGAGGAAACTTTCTTCCATGGAAATTGTGATTTCAGGTTTGCATGTTCATTGGGATGAAACAACAATATCAGGTTTCAGTGTTGCTTCAGGTTAAAGATGATACAAGACTAAGAATTGATTCTGTTTAATAAATGATGTTCACTGAAACAAATTGACTGGAAATTTTGGTGAAAGATTAGCAAATAGAAAATACATTTTTTCTTATTTTTGTTCATTTTTTATTTCAGTTAAATTTCATTCTTTCATGACTATTGAATGTCAAATAATTTCATTGATCAGTACCGCTTTTACCTTCGCTATTATAGTGTCAGTTCCATGAGAACAATAGTTAACTCGATTTACTGGTTTATTCAGGGAGGCAAAGATTCCCTGAACATTTCCATTCTCTCTTTCATCTCTCAAAAATTTCAAATGAAATTATCTTATTAATCATTTATCCATTCAGTACACAACATTAGTGTTACAGTTTCAGCATTTATCCAATTGTTTGTCCAACAATTAGTTGAATAAGCCATCCAATTATCGCTTAAAAAGAAGCTCATCTGATCAACATTTCAACTTCAAATATTTGGCGATGATTTTTTCATGATATTTCCATGTCAACCTTTACTTGATGAACTGCTTTAAACCAAGTTCTGTATTGATTCTTGAAAGTTTGAAATTCTGTGAGCAAAAGAGTTTTCTTTCAACTGAAAAACATTGAAATCTAATCAAATCAATTAAAGCGTTAATTATATTGTCATGAACATGATTCTTCCATCAGTTTACACCTTAAAAGGAAAGTGTCTCAAGCTAAGGATATTCAATCATTTCTTGGATAATCTACAAAATCAGTTCAGTTCTGATTTTAAATCATAAATTGTCATTCATTTACATTTGATCGATAAAACCTAAACATTGTAACTCTTCACGATCAGCAACTTGTCTCAATTTGATACATTAAAATGACTTTTCTTGTTCAGTTGACATTCAACTTTATTTACCTTTGAATATAAAAATAAATTTGCATATTAATTGGAGGAAAGCAGACAATTGAAGGAATCGTAATTGCAATTGAAACTTTTAAAACAGTTAACTTAATGGGCATAAAAGGTTGAGATTTTAATCAGTCAACCAGTTGTTATGGATCATTTAATCAACCAAAGTAAACATTTAATGTTTTTGTATATCATCATTGATTAAGGTTAAATGTTTGTTTGAGAATCGAAAACCGATAATCGATTTGAATGGAAGTTGAAAGTTTTAAAGGAATAACTGTTCGATAATAATACATGTTATCATTATCTGAAATGGACTTTAAAACAGGAAGAAAAATATTATTTTCTTGCTTCTTCTCAATTCTCTGGTGGATCGGGTGAAACAAGTTTCTTTATTCATTCACTTCATTGAATGAAAACTGAAAATTTTCATCCAACTTTACCTTTAGCTGAATCTTGTTCAATTCAATTGTTAACTTACTTGGCAGTCTAATGCATTTGCTAAATGAAATTTTGCCTCTCAAATATTATTACTCTGGTTATACTTTGCTCTGCCATTTCTGTCTTTTATCAATCTCTGATTCTTTCAATTTTCAAGAACAAATTATTCTACTCAATTCAATCTGACCAAAAATACATTTTCACAGCTTTAACGGCTTTTCAACATTGTATATTTAATATATAGATCAACCTGTTGCAATGAGAAAATGTTGTAAATATTGAAAGATTCAATTCAATAATGATAATAGATTTCATCTCTTGCTTTCATTTTTATTGAAAAACAAAACCAGAAAATGCTTTACAATCTCAATCAATTTAATAATGAAAATTTTTAATCTTCTAATCATTTAAATGCAACCATTCGAAGTGAATCAGTGATCGAAGTAGTTGATGGCTAGTAACTTGGGTTCAGTGCTGTTCTGCTAAGAATCGCGAATCTAATAAAACATTTGTAAGATTAAACTTTAAGAATTATTTATTCGTTCTGTTAGGGAAAAGTTATTCATAATTCAGTAAGGACTAAGGAAACAGACAGAACGAATTGTGTTGATCCTGATTCATAACTTATTGTTTGAACAAGTATTGTTACGTCTTCACTTCCATGAAAATTACATTGTAATATAACTGCTCTTATGGAAAACGCTTTTTAAATATTTGCTGTTTGTTCACGAAACAGAAGTAAATAAGATTTCAGCTTTCCAATGAAATCCTGAAAAACATTTTCTCCACAAATCAATCGATACTGGTTGATTGATAGGAAAAAGTATTAAATGATGATAACGATAATCAAAGTTAATAACAAAAGACGCTGGAGACTATCCTTTGCATTTCGAGTACTTTAAATGTCAATTGAACCGTTTCTCATCTTGTTCTCAGGATCAATATGCAAAGACTCTATTACTAATCCTGATAGTTTGAAATACTTCTCTGAATTTCAAGTTCATCCGTTCATTTATTTGAAAATTAAAAACATTTTGCATTCAAATTCATCCATCAAGGATAACTATTTGTACTGCGAGCTTCATGTTGAAAGCGTGACTTCAAACTTCAAATTATAAAGATAATTGAAATGGCAATAATTATGTCACATTGTACTTCGAAGACTGACGAACAACTTCAACGAAAAAGTCGTTTGGATTCCCATTTAGACTTAGGATGACAAAAAAGTTCACATTTCCCAATCACAATAAGATATAAAAGCTTTCTCTTTTCATTTGAATTTATTGTTTCAATATGCAATATTGATTACATTTCCAGTTAATTTTGGCAAAAATCTTGTTCGAACAATTCGATCGAATCAGGAGAACTATTTATTACTATTTATTAAATGTTCAGATTCTCAATAAACATGCTAAATTAATTCAGGAAATAGGAATGACGATATGAAAATCGAAGAAAACAAGAAATGTAGCTAAAAATAATGTTCAAATAACAATTGGTCAAGAAGCAAAAATAAGACACAATTCCCCCGAAATTTGCATATTATCACAAATTTAATAGTTCAATTAAATCGACTTCGTTGTGTAACCTTTAATTTGACTCGTGTTACTGTCATGAGCAAACCCAAAGCTGAAAATCTTTTGGCACAAAGCAATTTGCTTTGAAAGGGCCGAGTTAATTAGCTGATAAACCATGAAACGGTTTCTTATTACATTGTCATATTTTCATAGTTTTTTAAGCTGATGAACAGAGATGAAGACATAAAACCCAAAACCTTTTAACTATGAAAGCAACACAAGAAAATAATGACTGAGAAAAAAGTTTGTCTTGTCATCAATTTATAACATAATAGCAACTGATAATGATATTCATCATCACTTTTTTCATCCCTTAATCATTTCTATGATAATCCAGAAAATAAATTGTCATTTCTGACAAAATTAACTCAACCAAATGCATAGATAAATGATAAACAGTTGTTTGATTGTTTGGTGAACAAAAAAAGCGCATTATTCAACTTAAAGTTGACAGTTTGATTCAGCTTTAAAAAACCATTAATACCTATCAACAGTCGACTTTGAAAATATGGAAATAATAAGTTGAAACTGTCATCAATCCATAATTCACCAGAAAAAAAACTGTTGCTTCATTCAACGGTTCAACATTAAACAATCATCAAATCTAATTTAAATGTCTTGATTGAAAAACATTGATTTACTTATTGTCAACATTAATTTCACTTGTGACTTACAATACAAAGAAAGCAGACTTTGGGTAAAACTTATTGTTTTGTCCCTACAAAATGAAGACCAATCAAGTTTACAATTAAGATTACCATTAAAGCATCATTAACCTTTTCTAATCGCAATCAATAATTCAATAACTGTTTCTTAACCATTTAATTTCTTGTTATCCAATTAATGAGAGACTAAATTGATTGACAAGAAAAGTTCATTTTTTTCAGTTTAATTTCAAAGTTGAAATTGATTGACAAATCAAATCGATTAATTGATTTTTGCCTTTCATCGCTAAATTGTCTAAATGTAGTTCTTGTTTGATGATGATTATAATGATTGCGGTGTTGCTTTCATTTTCCTGGCAAAGAAATAAGAAAATGTAATTTACCATTGATTCAATGATCATTAGAATGCAAATTAATAGTTGATTGTGAGTTACAACAGACATCAGATGATAAATGCTGTTAATCATTGTTTAACCGTCTTTAATCAATTTACTGGTTTCTAATATTGTTTTGCTTCTTTTCATTTCAGTTTTTGATTTGTTGCCGTTACACTGAACATCTGCATTTCTGGTGGTTCCTTGAAATTCATCTTTTTTACTTTTAAGTTTACCATTTCAATTATTGCAACTTTTGGTCAACACCAACAATTCAATGGTTTATCCAAAGATCAGTGAAACCTTTTTAAAACGTTTCACTTCACTTTTAATTTTGGTTAACATTATTTTCACCTCAACATGGTTACAAGTAGCTTCAGCTCATCTGGCTTCAGTCAATCAGGATGAAACATTGTTATTACCTAACACATATCATGGCAATATTAACATTCAATCTTTAGCATCACCATCTAATCGAGTAGAGAAACGATCCCTTCCTTATACAGATGAGGCTTTAACTCGATCCTGGAATATCGTCAATCCTTCGGCTTCCTCTTTTGTTGGACAGACAAGTTTGACAGACACTTCAGCCTCTTCTTCATCGCCCTCATCATCATCTTCATCATTGTTACCTCATTCTTCATCCTTAACTTCATTAAATGACGAATACGAGACTGATTTAGATTCATCCTCTGAACCATTTGTTGGTGACTCTGAATATAAACGAGATGGTTCCCGATACGCTTTCGGTCTGGGCAAACGAGCTTCACCCGAATCAAGATATTCATTCGGAATTGGCAAAAGGTTACCAGAAATGTCTCGTTATCTTGCTGGAAGCAAACGACTTCCAAATAGATTTCAATTTGGTTTGGGTAAAAAGTCAAGATATGCATTTGGTTTGGGCAAACGCGATCTCTATGAGTACATTAAACGAAGGTACAACTTTGGTATTGGTAAACGGGCTCCATCTCAAAGATATACCTTTGGATTGGGATAAGATTTAAATTGATCATTGCCATCATTATATTAATCCGTTAAGAAAAGTTGGAAAAAAAAGATTTTTTTGTTCGTTGAAAACTGAAAACACAAAAACCCAAAATGAAAACTCTTATGTCAAATTATTCAATGCATAATCAATAAAACAACCAAAGGCAAACTCACAAGTTGATGTTGAAACAAATCTAGAGACTAACCATTGAAATTAACAATGGTAATTATTTATTAACAGTGGCTATTGAGCTTAAGTGAGATTGATTGATGGACAGCATAATTGTGATGTGATGTTTTACTGTAAATATGGAAGTGAGTTATTAGTTTACAGTTAAATAATGTTTTTGTTTTTCCTGGTTATTCCTCTTTTCAATTACATTTTGATTGTATCCTGATTTGGCTCTTAAAATTATTTCATTAACTAATTGGTATTACTTAAGAGTATTTCAATTCTAATGTTATACAAATTAATGTTGTTCACAATACAAAACAAAAAACAATAAATATTGTATTTCTCACTCTTTTAATTTAGACTTTTCAAACCATTTTTTGCGCTTTCACTGTAATCTTTTCATTAAATTGATTAGAAATAGAAACATCAAGTTGATCATTTTGATTAAAAAACAACTAAACCGTAATTATGCTTCTAAACAGTTAATCCTTTTCTTTTGCCATTAATACATGACATTATGAAAGGCAAATATATTTTGTAAATTCAGCTTTGATTCAAATCAATTAATCATGGCGAGTTAATACTTTTGTTTTCTGCTTGTTTTTCCGTCAGTTTACTTTAACTGTGATATAAATTGAATGAATAAAAAACACAAATTAAAAGACAGAAATTTATCAATGTCTGTATAATTGTATAATTTTACACATACAACAGAGTCTAACAGGAATAAAAGAGGAGACTTTTATTGTTGCTGTTGCTGTTTTGTCAACAATCGATTAATAAAACGTGATCATCATCACCATCAGCAGCAGCAGTAGAAGTGAAGATTGTTCATTCTGGTGATTGTTGAAGAAGTTGTTCTTTACTGATTGCTTTGTGAATTAACATAAATATCTTTAATAATATTAGATGGGTTTGGTGAAATTGGCAGGAAACAATCCTTTCTCTCCGGTCGATTCTTTTACTCCAACTAGCCAGCCTTCTTCTTGCTCTTCTGGATCTTCGTATTCAACAACTCGAATTATTTCTCCGGCTTCAAACGATAATTCATCTGAATCTTCAGCGACATATTTGTAAGTGGCACGCACCTTTAACTGCTGAAAAGAGGGAGAAACAAACAAATTAGTAAAATTGATTCAACAGAAAAATTTATAAATTTAAAGTCGATGGCCTACACATGTTGATGATAATCAACAAATTGTTCACAATATTTGTGATTGTTCCTGTTGCCTTTTTTATTAACCTAAACATCATGTTCACAATATTTGGGCTTTCAACCTGTATTTCAAATCTTATTACTTGTACCTGAATCTACCTTGCACACATAGACTGGTTTGCATAATCAGCATACCTGAGAACAGGTTTAATCTTTGCTTTGTCAAAACAAAATGAAAGTTATTAATATTTTAAACTATTGATAAATATATATTAGATGAGGATGAAAACTGATTGAGACTTATTTAAATGGTAAGGACAATTAGCATTGATGATGACTACATTATTAATGGACAAAGACGAACAGATTAGCCGAAAAGTGAACAAGGTTGAATACATTAGAGGAAGTAGGATTGAAGCATCTGAAATTAATTGTCCAACAATTGATTGCTCAAATAATGGTTAATCTTTCAAGTGATGATGCTGTGAACTTTGCTATTAGGAAATGAAAACCGGATTTAATCAAGAAACGATGAATCAATTCATTATAATTTAATGTGACCTTAACATGATTAAAGAAACTGATAATTCAATGGAGACTGGAATGGGTAGAAAACCCGATGAAAGGTAAATATTAAAAGCTTAACCCTTTTCCAAGTTTTCAAGATAAATAAAAATGTAACAATAATATGAGGATTAAATGAAGAAGAGGTTTAACCAAGTTGATGATGAAGAGCATAAAATTGGTTGAAAAGCTTAATTCACTGGTTAAAATCAAAGGTGACTAATAATTGCTAAAGACAATCACGATCTAATTAAGTGGAAACAAAAGCAACAAAATATAATAACAAGGTTGAAAGATTGATTGAAAGGTTAAGAAAGGTAAGAAAATATAAGCAAATATTAATTTGACTCATTACTTAAGGCCTAACAAATTGGGAAGAGATTTTGTCAAGGTCATCAGGTTAATTCGCTTTTACCTGATTAAGATTATCTAAGAGCTAAAAAAATGACTAAGACTTTACTTGTTATTTGGTTTGTTGTGAGTTAAATTAATAACAACATGAGATAATGACAGTTGAACAGAATTGAAAACAAGTTTTTTGGTTAATAACCCGCAATACTTGGTGAATAGCATTAACAACAAGATATTAAGATAACATGTTGGCTATTTTTCAAGCTGGTCAAGCATGTTGTTAATTTTTATCAGAATAAGGATGGAGGCTAACGATGATCATCAGTTGATATGATATACTAAGACAAAATGGTGTTTATAACTGTTAAAGTGGAAAATAGTTGCTAACCAAGATGTAATTTGAAGTGCTATAAAAAACTATGACAAAATGATATGAAAAATCTATAAAAAAAATGAAACACAATACAATTAACAATATTCTGTCAAATTAAAGCTGTTTTTACTTACCGTATTCAAACCATCAGATATAACTTCACTCTTTTCTTGTGTTAATCCTGTTAAATGGCAAGGTTATAAGAACATGAAAAAGAGTAAAAATGGGAGTTAATTGTTAGTCCAATAATAATAAAATAAAACATAATTGAGAACCATATCATCATCTCAGTCCGTTGATATAAAATTATTACCATAATTACGATCAGACAAGTGGGACAAACCACTTTGTAATTCACTATCTAGACTAATGAGAATCAAAATTGCTTATTTTGATAATTTGTAGCAAACTGAAAATAACATTATAATAGCTTTTGACAATCTTAAGATGATTAGTCATTTATTGCTTAGCTATATAATGTATCCTGAATTTACTATTAATTCAGGATGCAGCTATTTTCCGGGGAAGAGGGGGTAAATGGAAGAAGAAAGAGTAAAAAGTATGATCAGTTATCAGCAGTTTATCAGCGGACATTAAAGAAGATGATGAAGTGGAAACTCCTATTCTAACTAACCATCACCGACAGGATGATGAGTTGAATCACCATTTGACTGGTTGTTGGTTGTAACTACACTTTTGGTCACCGACATATTAGATTTTTGCCTTTCTAAGCTCTTATTTTTATATTCAATTTCTTCATAAGGCCTGGAAATATTGGTTTCCGATTTATTGTGTCCGGTTATTGTATTACCGGGTGAAGGAAAATTAACATGTCGGGCACTAGTGTGATATGAACCTTTCTGGGCTTCCATGGCGAAACAATCAATGATTTCTCTGAGTTGAGCATGAGTCTTGGAATACTCAGAGTGAAAAGTGGTCTCCGCTTCGAATAGGGTTTGCAAGGTTGATATAAGGAAGGGAATCCGACTATCATAGAGGGCAGGTAATTCATCGTGAAGCTCTCGGTTTAACACCTCGTACAATCTTTTTGCTTCCTCCATTTGTTCCCTAGCCTTTGCAATCTTAATTTCGTCCTTTTTACCGGCTCCACGCGCAAATGATTCCATTGTGTGTCGAGTACAATCATAGTCAACCAGTTTTCGTCCCCGTTTATCAATTTTAGCCTGATGACACAGTGAGAAAGTAGAGAGAAAAACAAGAATTAATAAAAGAGAAATTAATTGTGTGATATAAATAAGGGGAAAATAGACAAAGAGCAAGGCCAAATCATAGAGAGATGACAAAAGAAATTTTCAGATTCAATTTTACAACAGCGAAAAAATCAATCAGAATGATTAAAGACATGGAAACTTCATATTTCTCTTTCTACCTGTGAGAGAGGGCCAGTGAAAATAATGAGAGAGCAAGAAGGAGGATGAAGATTAGACACAGCTTTCCCTGTTCTCCTTGATCTATTTTGTATTTCATGAGACAAACAACTAACTCCACCTTTTGTTGTAAGATATACTGAAACTGAAAAATATATGCATGATTCACCTGTCAAGTAAGTTATTTAGCATCCTCAAATGATGCATTTTTGTTTTTGTTACAAAAATACATTATGAGGACGTAAAATGTAACATATGATAACAAGAACGAAATCACTTTTGAAGGCTAATGAAAACTACTTTAAAAGTTGTGTACTTTAAAAAAGATGGATAAATTGAGAAAACCTCAACTACTTAATGTTTATGAATCTATCTGATGCATTAAGTTTAAATGGCTGAGTTAATTTAATGCAAAATAAAGCTTGGTCAACGGTTGATGTGAATCGTTGGCTGTCAAATAGCATTTTGCCAAGGGCAAATAACTGCAAAGAGTTGACTTCTTCTCACTATTAGGGCCACAAGACTGCGTTGCTTGGGTTAGTTTTAACAGGTTTTTGGATATATTAACAAAATTAAAGGTATTCAAAGCTAACATTAATTTAAGTTCATTTCTCAGCGGATTGAAAGGTTGAGATTCAACTTTTTTGCTACTCTTCTCTCTCTCTCTTACATACACCGGATTTGGTCAGCAACTCTTTTTTTGGTGGTATCGTTACGATAGGTCACGAGTAGTAATCCAAAACAAATTGTTAATTGCTCTGATCTTTTCATCTTCAACTATAAGTCTTTTAAGATGGCAACAGGTACTCATGAATGTAAGCAAAGATTATGAGCAATATATGTTAGGCGATGCACCAAAATCACGAAATTGTTTACTTTGAACAATATTGATGATAAACTGGAATGAAGTGGTGATGGCAAACAAGAGATAGCTTTTCATTAAAAGGGAATAAGAACTATTCTTCTAATGAAGACAGCTATTATAATATCAACTTTCTGTCTCTGTCTTTTTTCTCATCCTTTGATGAAATTTTTGTCTCTCTGTAGGCTGAAAGTACAATTGTGCCAAATTTTTGAGCTATTTAGATTAATTCGTTGGCTTCCAAGTCTCGGATTAAATTTGGAAGAGGCTCACAAAATTTTACTGTGGCTTCCTTAAAGTTATTCTCATGTTATTCCTTTTCTCTTGACAAACTCAATAAATATCGATGCCAAAAACTTGTTCCATGCATTTCACATAATCATTCTTCCAAAGGAGCAGGAAGAGAGGAAAAAGGAAGAATTTGATTGAGCACATTATACTATGAGGATGGACAAAAAGTCCTTGCAAATTACACTCAGGGATCAATAATCCGATTGATAGTGGTTTCGATGCGGCAAGTAAGATGATGATGATCTTGAAGAGAAACATGCACATTCGATTGGGTGAATCAAATTATTGTTTAATCCAATTGGAGCATTAGTGATGTTGGTTTTATATCCGATGCAGTAGTAGCAATAAAAGTTGAATCCAATAAATTTGGAACTAGGTTGCTTGGTGCTGATTTATCGTAAAGTCATTTTACAATGTAACACTCTTGAGAATATTCTCAATTGAAAATATCCAAGCACAAAGAGAAATATAGCGAGATAACGAAGGTATAGAAAAAAGTAAGGTGGAAATACTCCAAGTCTATCTAGTTCATGATTAAAAATACCTACCCTAATCTCTGAAAATTGACTCAGATATGTGCTCAAAGGTATAGTGACTTGATCATTTAATTTGTGGCATAAATCCTCCCAAAGTAAATCCATAGTTGCTGCTTTGACAGGTATTTGCTCCTGGTCAGGCCATTCAGGTTCATATATCTCTGTCAAACAATCCATGAGACCTTTGTTTGCTGCTTGTAATGCTGAGTTTTCAATATCAAAAGCGTCACAGAAATAATTGAGGCAGTAAACGAATGAGAAAGAAGACAATGAAGTAGAGAAGAAAGGAGAAAGGGAAGAAGTTATTAGAAAAAGGTATAAATTGATGGATAGGAAATTGAAATTTTTCAATAGGCAAAGGAGAAGAAAAGTGATTGCAGAGGAGCATGAAAGTCAACAAAAGATTATAAACATTGACTTACCTCTGATGCATGTTATGTAATTTTTAATCTCCTTTTGTAGCCTTGTTGCTGAATTTTGTTGCCGGTTGAAGTTGACTTGAGAAGACTCGAAAAGTTCATCGGTTGTCCTATCAGCTTTACCCAAGTTTTGTAAAAACTGTAGAGTTCAAGAGAAACAGAAATACCGAAAAAGATTAGATGGAAATACCGAAAGAAGAGAGAGTACAGGCAAACAAAATTAACAGAGAAGAAAAAGGAAAAAATAAGATGAATGATGAATCACACAGAGACAATTAAAGTTGTGAAGTGAACAAAAAGTCAAACTTACCCGTTCCTTGGCCCTGCCAGCTTTTTTCCGGACAACTTTTGCGAAAGAATCAGTTTTAATATCGGCCATAATCCGTCTTAATTTAATTTTACTTTTCTCACACGAAAGCCTAAAATGTTTTTATTAAGGAACACCATTCAAAAAATTCAGAAAACTGTTCAACATTTGACAGAGTTTTCACAAAACCTAATGTAAGGCTTTTGCTTTTCAGGTTTCAGACAGCCCCACAGGTGTGGCTTAAGGAATATACGTTACGCCATCTTGTTGACTTGATCAAAGCTATTATATTTTCAGTTTTTGAAAAATTTTCAGAACCCAATTCAATGTTGGAATAATTTATATCAACCTAAACCAGATTTTATTTCATTGATTATCAATAAAATCTTGAGTTATATTTTCAATATTTGATTTGAGAAGATTTTGGTCGTAAACGAATCTTTGTCTACAAATATCAAAGAAAACGAGAATAAAAATTTGGCAGCTTTCGATAATCAGTTTAATTGAGTTGAAATATTAATAGAAATGAAGTGAATAAATATAATCAGTGGTTTCTATTATTTTTAGAAATACAAATTCATGAAAATCACTCGTGATTTGAACTTGGATTTTATTGTATTTGAAACTAACTTGATCTGATAAATAATTGCAAATGCATGTAATCTTTACCCTTTTAGTTATCATATTTTAGGTTCAATAAACGAGGCAATGAAAAATAAAACACAGATACCGAATAATCAGTATTTTAATTTGTCAAAGGAATGCTGATTAAAATAAATGGCACAATTTAAGATTACAATGTTACAGCGTTAACAATGGATTTTAACGTTAATATCAACAAATGTAAATTATCGCTATAAAATCGTACAAGTAGTTGATCGAGGTGTCTCTTCTCCATAATCAATATCTGAATTTACAGTGAAATCATCCCATGATACGGTGTTTGAAAAGTAATCAGAATATGTAAAAAATAAGAAAAGATTAAACAATTAATAACGAGAGTAAACTGTTAAAAGTGGATTCATGAGCAAAGTGTAAATTATTTTAACACTGTTGATTAAGACTAGACAGATTAGAGTCTTATACAGTTGGCATGAGAACAGATCATAAGTATTAATTGCTTGTTTAATCCACTGGCCTGGATTGAACAATTGAATCTTACATACCTAAGCCAACTTTGGTGATTATATGCTGAGCTGAGTCTGTTGTTGTGGCTGAGATCAATTCCTTAACCAGTTGAACCGGGATTTTGGGTCGACCATAACGTTCATATATTTCAACCAATTTGTGAATGTTTTCCTGTTTTTTGAATAACAATATATTTAATAATAAAATTAACTGACAATAGTAATAATAATAGTATAATGATGAGAAGAAAAATCATAACAACAATATAAACGTGATAGTAATCAATTCCCACTCACAACAAAAGTGAAACTTCATTTTTCTCTATTCCTTTTATCAACCTACTTTGATTTTATTCACAATTAATCGAAATTAAGTTATCCGTTTTTGTATAAATTTGAATTAAGACCGGTTAATAAAATTGAATTTAAGTTACCATAATATAATAAAGCAAATAAAAAAGAGTAAACATGAAAAAAAGGAAAACCTCAAATTTTGGAAAGAAGCTTGAAGTAGAAAAAATTGAACCATATTAAACTTGGCGTGAGTAGATTGAAATAAGGAAACAGAAGAGCATGATGATGCTGATGTTGATCAAGGCAGATCAAATAATTCATCTAATGAAAATTTTCTTTCCATTTCCTAGTTCATCTTCAACATGGGACTAAAATAGCGAGTAAAAATGTTCCCATTAAATTCACAAATCTGTGTCAATGCTCATTCAGATAGACTTTGGTGAAGACAAAAAGACAGAAGAAAGAATAAAGAAATCAGATTTTGCTGAAACCAAAATATCAATTTAATAGTGATGACACAATGAACTAATGGCAATTTGGTGACTCTTTGTTCGTTGTATTAACATGTTCAATATCAAACGTTCGCTAGTCTTCTATCAATTCATCAAAATGAGTGGACTTTAAAGTATTTCAAGAGTTACTGAATCATCCTCACTAACATACTTGAAACATATTTCAGATGTCAAGAAATCTGAAAATAAAATTGCAAAATTTCAGAATCCAAATTATTTGAAATATTTCAGGTTGTTGCGATAAATAATCAATATCTATTGATAAAGCTCAATGAAACTAGAAAATAAAATATTGACTAGAACTGTTGGACATGGAAGACATCAGGCTGAAACAAATTGAACCAGAAAATTATTCATGGAATAATTAAACCATTCAATTGTAATGTGCATAAAATCGGTGTCAACGTTCATCTCGTTTGGCCAAATTAGCTTTAAATGAGTAAACTCACAATTCTTTGCTGTTGACGAGCTTGTTGTTTTTTCATGAGCAACAATTCAACGATGATACTTTGCTTATTGGGATCAACATTTCGTCCATTCATTTTAAATCCTTGCATCAGATTATTTGCTTGATTGAGTAAATCATCTTGCATCATTTGTTTGGTTAAGCGACCTGATTGATTACTAACTGATCGTTTAACCATTTGGCGACCCCAAATTTGAATAAGTACAAAGCCTTCCTTTAGATAATCAATAAGTGCTTTGGTTGCTGGTTGATAGGTAAACATTTTACGATGATTAAAGTCTGGATTAGAAGTATCTGAGATAATCTCGGTTGTTGAATCCTCTTCATCGAGAAAAATTCTGTATCTACAATAAATATCCTGTTGAGAAGAAGAGAAGAAATAATAAGACAACAAAAATAAGAACAAAATCAAACAATTGAGTGAATGGATGAATAATGGATTGAGAGAGTAATAGAAGTAGAAAAAAAATGTAGTAAAATGAGGTGTAGTTTAGGTTAACTTATTGTTATTACCGTGAATCGAGGAGGAAGACCGCGACAACCATGAATCTTGAAGACAAAGCAAACATCTTTACCAATTAACTCTGATGGAGTATCAACATAAGCATCATCCAATTCACTTAATTCTCGTCCATCTGATGTACAAGGAACAATTTCAATATTAATTATACCAATCTCGGTTCCCTTGTAATCAAGAACTTCCAATTGTTCTTTCAATTCAACCAGAAAAGCTAATGGTTGAAGGTAAACTTGAACAATCCCAATCAAAACTTCCGTTTTCTGGTCTTCCAAAAATGGGTCCTTGTCCTGTTAAAGAAATCACAACAATAATATGAAGAAAAAAATGAATAAAAATATACAATAATAACAGTAATGAGTGAAAAGAGAATGAGAATAATGAAAAATTGATATTCCTTTTCAATGTGTCAAGGTCAATTGGCATGTTGATAAGCTACAATAGAGTCTGATGTTAATGATAATTTATGAGATATTGATACAAAAAAAGTTATTGCCAATAATATTACCGGTGATGGATTCCAGTTTTCATCGCCTTGAGCATAGTTTTGATAAATCTCTTTCATCATGAACAATCGATTTACAAATTTATCTTTTGGCCACAAGAATTCTTGGCCAAATTCATCATTGATTAATTTTACCATCACCTGAATGAGACGGAGTGAAGAGGAAGAAGATGACAAATGTTAAAAGATGCAAGATTAATGATAACAAAAATGTAAAGACATAATGAAGAGAGACATGAGAGGAAGAAAAGGTGACGTGTTGAAGTTATTAAGACATAAAGTTAATCTGGTCAACGTGGGATAACCACTCAACTTTATCAGCCTAATTATGATCAAAATTAAGATTGGCCATTCTTCTTCTTCTCAAATCAGATGGTTCTGGTGTTGGTGTCAATGATGGTGGGTTTGAGTTTTATTAGCTTTAGAATGACCTTACCTCAGTTCGGTCACTGTTTTTGGCAAGGAATGCTGAAGAAACCAGAATTATCTCGAATCGTACATTCTTTCCTAAATCATTGCTAATTGCATTGGCTTCATCAACTTGAGGTAACAATTCAAGTAGATCTTTATTTAATAAAGCAGTCTCCATTGATTGATCATCATTGGACATGTCAAATCCAGCTTTAGATGCAATCTCTTCTTGAGCTAAGTCAAAAGTGACCTCAGAAAATGATAATTTGGATTTCTTTTGTTGACCTGGATGGATAAATACGAATAATTGAGTTGTACCAAAGAGTAACCTAAGAAATGGAAAAAATAAAGTGTGAATTAAAAGAAAAGCTTGACAAAGCTACTTGATTTGATTGTCAAACCTGTCATTATGATTAAGATGAACTTTATTAATCACTGGATCACCATTTAATAAAATACGACAATCATCAGCAACTCTCTCTAGGATTACAACATCGTTGTCTTTTCGGTAAATGCGTCCGTGATGATTTTGAATGCTTGGACCATAGAGAATGATTGAACAATCGTCATTTTTCCCTAAAATATTGACCCCTTTCTTAATTATATGGATAATTTTTCCACATAATTGTTCATCAAAATTAAGATTAGATAAATATGGATTTTCTCGTTTTTCCGTTTCCAATTTTTCCCGGTCAGCATCAACGTACACATTTGCTTCCAAGGCTTGTTTCTCAGCTAATTTGTCCTCGTATGTTTGCTTAATTTCGTTGATTTGTCGTTCATTTTCAGCCATTAAAGCCTTCATTTCTTCTTCATACTTCTGTCTCATCTCGGTCATATCTTCGATAGCAAATAATCGGGATAAAGTTAAGCATTAGTAAAAGCGATTAACTAATGAAATTAACCTTAATGATTCTTTATTTACCTTTTTCAGACAAAGAAGAACCCGTTCCACTTAAATCAACAACACCTCTTTCCATTGCTTTTGTTAGTCGTTCATTTTCATCTTTCAATTGTCGTATTAACTTGTCCGTTGAATTTTCATTGATTGTTGCATGAACTTTGATTCGTTTGGCTCGATCAGCTGGAATAGTGGAAACAATTACATTGAAAAATGAGTATAGATGGATGAGATTTGATGCATTATTAAAAATAAGAATTGAAATATAAATATATTACTCAAATCAAGAGCTAGACAAGTCATTCAATTGTGAGAAATGAGATTTTATCATTTCCTTGTTCCTAATCAAAATTGAGATGAGTTTCAAGTTTCTAAGAACTGATTGATTACTGATTTAGCTGTCAGGATTGATAATATAAATAATGATACAAAAAAGAGTTATCATTGAATTCTATTATGTTCCAATAAACTTGATAAAGTAAATTAATTTAAACAATGTAACATAATGTAGTCTCAATTTACATTGAATGACGTGCTCTTCAATTTTGCTGATTCAATCTAAATTTAACACAGTCTGGTGAAAGCTTACCATAACGAAGAGTGGATAATGTTTCATCGTAACTTATATCAGCTGGACTAATTGTTGCAATCATCACTGTTTTGCTGTTACCCGATAAGACGTTCATCAAAAGACGAGTTAAAACTGAATCTCGATAAGGTACTGATGGAATGAAAAAAAGGATGATTAGTTGTTGACTAATGACAAAAGTTATAATTGCCGCAATTGTGTCAAATGAATCGTAAAGGCTTACCTCTAATGTTTTTTTCAGAGGATTTCTCAGCTAAAGCTGAAATACAATTGCCTAAACATGCTAATGATTGGTTAATTGATACACCTTCTTTCAATCTATCACCGACCGCCATTGTTCCAGATAATCTTTCGCTGTAATGAAAAAAGAAAGAACCGAGAAACGAGAAATTAATCATGCAGAATAGATAAGCTATTATTACAAATGTGTCAAAATCAATTGAAAATCTGATCATCTGCTAGAGACCTTACATCACTTTTCCCCTTCAGCTAAACACCATTGGCTAATGATAATATTCCTTAGAGATAGTTAAAAGTATAAAAGGACAATCAACATTAAAATTAAGACAGTCGTCAGATTAAGTATAAAGTGTTTTGTCTGTAAATGTTTTTCTTCTCTGCATTGTGAAAATTACTCAAACCTGCTTTTAACTGAAGCAGTCAACGTCTTGAAGAGCAAAATAGCTCTGTAATAGGAAATTACCAATTGAAAGGCAATAATTTCACTAGTCAAACCTTCTATGTCCCATGAAACGAATATTGCAAGAGAGGGTTAGAGGAGTCACATGGATACCGCCGTGTCAAATGCCTGATACACAAACTCAAGTTAGGGTGGCCAGTGAGCTCGAAAGAGCAAATGGCAGGACTACTTCTAAAGCCAATGAACCGATCCCATCGACATCAAAACAAAACCAAGACAATTCACCTAAAATAGTATTGGAAGCAATGTCAGATAATGATTCTGAAGATGACTCAGATGAACTAATCATCGATGAAGACCAAGACCAACAAGCTAACCCGGCACAAGCTATTGAGCCACCAAAAAAGAAAACAAAACAAGATAATGAATCAGGATTACCACAGAAAGCTAAAAGAAAAAGAGCGAAAAGGAAACGGAAGAATATACAAAGACAAGAGACGCTTTTACGACCACTAAAGCCAAAAGACGATCTCTTGGCTACTTCAGCACGTACAGATCAAGAAATGATTGGTATTTTTGAAGAAAGAATCTTTAATGCGATAAGGAGTCTGAATCAACAGGGTAAACGTGCTTGTGGTTTTGACATTAAAAAGATTCACATTGAAACCACTGATGGGATAGTGTTTTTACCGTTATGGCTTGCAATTATTGACGGAGTGAATGAACCTCGATTTAATCAGATTATCTGGTATCCGCAAAGTGCAATTGAAAACATTCAAGAGGCTGGATTAACTGTGCAACATATGGAAAAGGCTAGAAAATTTGACGATGTACGAAGAGACGCAATCGACACTCTATTGCAATATGACATGATTTGTGTTGCTAATGGTCTGGATGATTTTAAAGCAATGAGTTTCACCAACCAAGACTGGAAATTGATTCGTCCTCGAATTCGTGATGTCAATTATTATTATAATCCGAGACCAAATCCTTTCTTGCAATTTGATATGAGACTTTCAAGATTTCTATTCTTCCAAAAAATTATTCAAAACAATGTTCATTCAGCTCTAATTGATGCAATGTATAAACTATTCTTGTACCTCATCGACTACGAAAATTTCGAGGCAACTTTCGATGAAATATCAAGCAACCTTAGTGACCCACCCTACGCAATTCATCTTTATCCACAAAATCATCAGATGGCCGGTTTACTAAGAAAAATTATGGATCATATTGGAGGATGGCCTGCAAGCTTAATAATCGAACAAAATCCACTCTGTGTAACACAGCCACAATATTCAAGAGATGAATTTATTCATGCGCCTGATGTCCTTCGTCCTCCCTATGAGAACGTGACACCGATTTTATTTAAAGATTTCATCCATCCACAGATTACTCATCAATAGTGTTTTTAGTTGTCTGGATGTATAAATATAATAAGACTTTTTTGCTACTTTCATCAAAAATATTTCTTTAAAACTTGTCCATTTTTTCCTCTGCTCTCCACGTTTTTAATTAATCCCTACTATTGTAAATCTATAGTCAATTAAAATATTTTAGTAAATGAACTTCATTAATCAAAAAGTAGCCACTGAAATTTAAAGTAAAGAAACAAATCATCAAGGAAAAACCAAAAACCTGAAAAATTAGAATCTAGTGATGATTTAATAAGTACCTTCCAGCTAAATCAACCAAATGAATAATTGATTTTTTAGCAGTCTCTTGGCCAGATGAGGTGCGATTCCGTTGAACAATTTGAATTTGTACTATTGTATGAGCTCGAGAACTTGTTTCATTCATATTTGTTGCGGCAATCGAACGGTTTGTGGTCCCTTCCTCAATTTTATCTTCGATGTCTTTATGCGATGTTACCAAAAAGCTTTTCAATCCTTCAGCTGTGATCAATACAAAAGATTGTAAGTTAACCAAAGTTTTTACTGATTTGGCTTTAATTACCGTAAAATCCTTTTGATGGATGTTCTCTCACTTTAAGTCCTTTCTTTTTTGAATTGTTTGCTAAGCTGGGACCATTCAATAGATCACGAACAATCTCATTATAAATTTCAATCATCGACAGAGTCACTTCAGTTATGGTTCCACTATCATTAGATCTATGAGCAATCGTATCAAACAGTTCTGAGCACAATCTTGGCACAATACCTTAATTGAGAGAGTGAAAATGGAAGTAAGATTTATAAAAAGCAACAAGTAAATATTATTATAATACATGTACATGTACATGGTAAAGTCTTTCGTTTGGTAAAAATAGTCTTACCTTTATTGGCACCATAACCTATTACTGTATATGATTTTCCTGATCCAGTTTGACCATAGGCAAATATGGCTGCATTATAGCCATGCATAGCATTTGTGAGAACCGATCGACCCAATTCATTGTAAACTTTTTCCTAGTTAAACAAAAACAATTAAATTCATTAATTGAGATGCCACAACATTCTATGAATAAGCGATCATAAGACACACATTTTCACAAAATGACACAACCAGAACGTCGCCATCTTACGCAAAAATAAGTTAATTAAAAGAAAGAGTTAGCTTTTCCCTTTCAACTTTAATCTCAACGGTTAAAATGGTGCTGCAAGTCTTTTAGTATCTCTATCAGTAAGTTAACAGTTTAATTTTAGTTAATGATTTCATTGGACCTTTAATGACTCAAACATGGAAAATCCTGTGAATTATCAGAAACAATGGCAAAAAAATTGGTTAAGGTGACCCAAAGATGAGAAATAATGAAAACCAATCAAGCAGGTAAGCCAAATTGAAAATTTGTGTTGTTTACATTTGTTGTATAGTGAGCATACTGGTCTATTTCTGATGTGATTGATATCAATGAACATTTAATGATTCAATTATATTCTATTTCAATTTCAGATGAAAGGGGTTCATAATTTTTGGTACAATTTTGGCCCACGACAAAGGATTGCCTGTTTCCTATTCAACAATACATTTATGCTAATTTACCTGATCTGCGTATTTATGTCCATTGGGGTGTGAAGAATCAGCTCGACTTATGCTTCCATCAATGTCAATGAAACCATCATGAGACCAATAACTGTGATCATATGTAAATTTTTTAGGTGCATCTCGATGATTATTTGGATTATACAGGACGGTTGTATTGGACTCCATATCCACAATACATTTGGCATTTCGTTGTTTCTCTCGTTGATTGTGTAAAAGTGAGTTAAGGAACGTTTGGTTGTAATTTGAATTTCTTAAAACTACTGTTAACTCTTGACATGAACATGCAGTTATAATTAAGGTGTTGCATTTCGATATAACATGGTGCAGTTAGATGATATTGCATGGATATGTGCATAAACAATGGGTGATGTTAAACATAGCTGGCCAAACATTGTAATCAGTAATTGACTGTCAGTAATTTGTTATTGGCGTGAAAAGTAATCAATATATTGAAACTTGGCTACTGGAAAGGGTGAAAACAATCAACCAGGCTGACAACAATCAAGACTCGTTAATAATAACATGTAAAAATAATTAAGTAGATTCCATCAAAAAAGCTTAGGTAATATCTAGCCATAGTTTAAATGATAATACAAATGACAATAAAAAGTAGAAGCAAGAATATGAAAAGCTAATCAGATTAACATGAAACATTAGTGTTTTAAAGATTCTCACGCAATCACGATAGAATCAGAATCATTATGGTTTGCTTGTTATCATGCTGAAATCAATTTATCAACAAAGTTTCACTTTTACTGAATAAAATTTTCAACTACATTAATTCATTTCACAATTGAGAACAGATCTAACATTTTTATTGTCAATGCAAGGTTAAAAACTGACAAAATTTGTATCATTGCCATTATAGTTAGTCATGAAACATCATGAGTTTCCATGAAACAACGAAACTGTTAACATTGAACGTTATAAGAATAAATTCAATGTTATTTACACCATTAAGATGATGTTAAAACAGCTGATCACTATGATAACCAGTTTAGATTGATAGTGTGACGTTGACCTGAGGTTAAATACATGAAATGATTGTTGTTTATTTATCTATGGATTTTAATTGTAATCTGAATAAATTATTTGCAATAAATGTCTTGAGCAATCAGAGCATAACCATTAGTATTAGGATCCATTAATTTTTGGACTCAACAAGCAAACATAACAACTAAACCAGGTTAAATCTGTTTTGTTGATCAATCATTTCCACCTTTAACTGATCAGCTTTGTTTTACCTGAAAAATAAACCATCTAATTAATGAGCTAAATATGTTTCCCAATCAAGATCCTAACTGATGAAATCACATTTAACCATTAAATGATTAACCCATTTCAACTGATCAACAATAAGTTTATTGATATCTTTCGACTTTTATTATTTTAATGATTAATCTTGCTCAACTACAATAATGAACAACTCAGATATTCATATCAAATCCTTGTAAAGATCGTAAATGAAGCTGTTAAAATTAAACTGTTATCGTTAATGTTCATTCATCTAAATGTCAATGTATTCATGAATAATAGACAAACATGGAATTGTGTTGTAGCTAAAGGCAACAAATTGCATCTCAATCAATAAAATTTGATATTTACTATTAAAAATGTCCTCGAAATGATTTCAATTGAAAGTGTGAGAAGCATTGAAAATATTTGTCCATTTACCTATTTTTAAGGCTAACAAAGAGGCTGACCAATATTGATCATCAATTGAATTTGACAGTAATAGAAATCGATCAATCAACATTCTAATTCCAACTCGATTGTATTCCCTTTTCTTACATTTAATAATCACTTTAATCTAGACACTATTATAGCCATTAATAGAGTAACAATTTTAGTATTCACTGGTTGCAGGTTAATCAGAATTGAGTTGATCTGTTGGACGATTCAACCTATTTCATGCGAGTCTAAACTCCGATAGTCAACTGTTGTAGACAAAGATAGATAATTTTAAAGATAGTCGTTAATTTTCAATCAATTAAGAAGCTTTCACTCATCTTCTAATTAGAGATTTCAATGCAATGTTGATGTTCATTTTCAATAATCTAGCATAATATTTCATGATCTTACCTTGATGAAACCTCTTGTCAGCTGGTTGTGTAAGTTGATTGCGTGATTCTTGTTTTGCCTTTTATTTCACTTTTAACATTCCGTTATTTCTGAACCTTGATTAAATTTGGTTTTTCATAATCAATTTGATTACACACACATAAATATATTGATGACAGCCTAAAAATATACACAATCAAATTAAAGAGATGGCAAAGCTGACCGTAGACAACACGATGATGTAAAAATGGAGGGAACCGGCAAGAGGAAGCTCTTGTTTTCGTGATTAATTTAAATCTGATTAACCAGAGATTAGATAGTGAAAATATCCAGGAACCATTAGAGACTAAATGGGTTGAGTAAATTTGGGTTGACGACATTTGAACAAGCATCAATGTAAAGGTTAGAAGCACCAGTAAAAATGTCAACAAATAAAGCTGTAGCTTTGGGCTTTAGGTTTTAGGTTTTAGGTTTTGGGTTGCAACTAATGATTATTTAGGTATTAGATAAATTGAAATGATTGCATGAAAAGGATATGAATGGTCTGACTCGGACGGCCACCACGACATGATCTGATCCAGCGGACATTGTGAGGTTGGTTAGTTGATGGTAAAAAAGTCCAGTGTACGGAAGATATTTGTTGCACTATTAGATTTAGTTTCACTTGATTTGTATAAAATTAGATAATTTAGAGTTTAACAGATGATTTTAAGGTCTGGCAATCCTGTCAACCTTATTAGTTGATTTGGTGGCGAGTACTTGAATCTGGTAAGTATGAGTGAGATTGAGAGTTGGCCATTGTCCAGGCAACCCACAATGAAAACAAAAAAATGGTTTAAGTGTTTATTTTTTGCTGTTGTTTTGTATTTCATGGGTCATTTAATTACGCTCGTTATCATATGGTTTAATCAGCTTGCTACACCAAATTGAAATACAATCACGATTAGATTTTTGAATTGATTCAGACTAAAAAGCTTATTTAAATAATGTGTGTTCATTGGATGCATAAACTGTCCAACATGACAACTTGTATTAGGATTGCTTAAACTTGAATTTGTATATTTATTGGTAATGTTTCAATTTTAATTGCGTTGAAATGGGAATAAAATGATAAAATGTATCACTTTTCAAACATTATTGTGTTTATTACAGTTATAAGTGCCAAATTAAAATTACAGCGAAAATATTGCTCACAAATAAGTACTAAGTGTAACCTAAACACATGACACACATTAAACTGATACAAACATTGCTATATTTCTGGTTTCTTCAGTTCCATTTTTATGATTTTGCTTTTCAAGTTTACATTTGGTTGGATTTACATTAAGATTTTAAATTGTAGCGATTGTTGATGGTAACTTTAATTTTCTTCATTTTAATTGAAGATAGTGATTGCTTTGGAATTTTATTTTTTGATTCTGGTATTTCACCTTTAGGTTTTAGTCCGTGTTCAAGGCATTGTCAGCATGTTTCTCTTTAATTATGAATACCAATCAAACCTGTGAAGATGGGGAAATAAATCAGTGAGTTAACCTAAAACATGTGAATATGGTTTTTAATTTATCAAACTGCAACTACAACTGTAATTTATCTATGATTTCAACCTCTTACCGTCACACGAAAATGTTTGTCCGTCTGAATTCAATTTACATTTGTATTGGAGCTTCCCTGAGATTGAATCGAGTTTATTGTTTAAAATAAAATCTGTAATTAAAAGAAACAAAATTAAAAAATAACTTAAGTAACCCATAAGCAAATATGCGCCATCTTGTGTTAATGAAACTTATCTTTAACCCAAAAAAATTAATCCAAAAAATGAATGAAAGGTTATTTTGACACTCAGAAGATGGCGTAAACTAAACTCTTGAGCTCAATTAATTAATGTCAACAATTTACTGATTGTTTCCTAAGTGCCTGCTTTTAATGGTAGATCTTAAACCATTTAATCAACAGACTATGGCCTTTACTAACCAATGGGAAAATATTAGACAAAATGTTTGTTCGATAACTTCTTTACTAACTTAATTACTTAGTTAGTTAGTTAATCACTTTAGTTTGGATGACATAAAATCTCACAACTAGTCCTTTTTTGGTTCATGATAATCTCTGATCACTAACATCGTTAATTTTGAATTTCTTGCTTTTCTTGGACCTATCAGAATGATTGGAGTACTTCTTGGTTGATTTTTGGACTCGTGTACCACTAAATCATTGATGTCTTTAGCAATCAAATCATTAGCTTTTGGATTCTACTAGTAAATGTTTACAAAAATCTCTCGATTGGTTTAAGGTTAATGATTTGGAGGTTTGGAAGGTTCGATAGCTTGAAAATGAAAGTAATCGAAGTTCATTGAATTAATTGCTGAATAATGGAAATATCAGTTCAAAACGATCCAAGAAACTATTATACTTCGCGTCAAACTTGTTTGCTCATGGAAAAGGTTGAAGGCATTAAGCATTATAAATTATCTGAATCAAAATGGGAAAATTTCATTGTTGGCCATCTTAATATCTGGTTGACGAATCACTTTAGCCAAGGTTAAGCAGACTTTTTTAAGAAATTTTGTGATTATTCATCAAATTTATGAGTTATCTATTCGTCTTCTCGAGAAAACTACATTCACCAAGAACATTTAAACAGCTTTAGTATGAAAATTGTTCACTACTTACTATTATTAATAGAAATTTTCACAAGTTAATTTAAGTAACCAGAAGCCACGATGAATTAAAAATGACTTGAATGTGCTCTACTCTAGAAACTTATACTGACAATAAATTAAAGCTAATCCTCGATTCCTGTGAGATTTCATTGCTCTAATTATCAAATTCTGAGAAAAAAGGATTTATTTGATACATATTCTATTCTCATATAACTTCTGAGTTTTTGTTACAATTTGTTTCTATCATTCCTATCTGACATACTAAAGCCATTTCATTACCGAGTTACATTTTTAGTAAATCTTTAACAAAGTTAGGATTAGGTTAGGTTAGGGTGAGATCATGCATTATTGAAAAGTCAACCATTTTGAACATTATTATCAAATAGAGTTCAGTCAATTTGAAAACTGGAATCAACGGCACATGATATTGATAACAAGTCTAAAAAATGGATCTCAAATGTTAACTGGATTTTAAGTGAACGAATGACTTTAAATGAATTTGTCTGAACTATGGCTGCAAAGAGTGTACCATTTATCATATGGGGATATCACATCAAAACACCTTTCGATCTTTTCAAATCGATTTTCAAACTTGATTTAAACGAGATTAGATTGAATTCATTTTGCATTAGATTATCAATATCATGGTTAAACAATGCCAGACGAGTTCATAGCCCGAGATAAGTTTCACTAGCAATTCACATCCATTATAAATAATACGATATTTGATATTCAATTAATTCATCAACTCTAATTTACGTTCATGAATTTTACTTGAGACAAATCTAAAAAAGACTGATTCCGTTAATTGCCTATCATCTCATGTATCTTTTATTAATAAAATACCTTTAATGAATCTTTTGATTCATCTTAAATGTCCCTTTCAATGGATCAATTCACAGACGTATTTTGTCTCGTCGAATCCCATATCAAATCGTCTTATTAATTACTTATGCAAAATTAATCAATTGTTATGTCATCTATTGAACACCATTTTGAGATATTCCATGTAATCATTTTAATTAGTTCTCACAAAATTTAATATCTGATTCTTTTCTAATTATTGTTCAGGGTATTAATAGTGGTTATTGCAATGGACATTAACTTACAATTTTTTAATGTCTCGATCTTTAGGGCTTATATCGTAGAGGAAGAAAATTTGAGAGACATTTTGGCTTTTGTTTCGCTAGTGGTTAACGATATTCAATAATTTTTAAATAAGGATATTGTATTGTAATCTGTTGCAGTCCTGAAAAGTGATTTACGGTTTTCATTATGAATTGTTTTCACTTTCCTGATTGTTTATGTACTTTTCAGTTACTGCAATACATTACTATCTTTAATTAAAAATAAAGACAAGGTGAGATGATTTAAGACTGAAATCGGCTGTTAAATTAAGAAAATTATGTCTAAACGAAAGATTATTCTAGCCGTTAACGTTTTTTGAGACACAACTTTGAAGCTAAATGCTGATTCTTCAACAGAGAAGAACAAGAGTTTTTCTGAAATTCCTGTCAACATTAAATCTCTGAACTGAAGATGGAAATATAAACACAATGATTTGATGGCAAATCCCACTGTTAATTATAAACAAGTGAATTGATTGCTATAATAAATCAACTTACTTTGTTTTTCTTTCCTCAGAGAGTTTACAAGAAGTCGCCTTACAACTGGATCCGATCTTCCGTATCTTCCATTCATGAAAAACATTCGCTCCTTTGCCTGTGAACTTTCCCAAAGTGTGAATAAAACAACCAACGATAATAACTGAACCAATGCAAATAATTTCCTTTGCAACATTATGCTTCTGATGTAACAGCACCAAGAATGGCTATGGAAGCACAAAAAGATGACCAAAAAAGCTCATGAAATGCAGACAATCCATAAAATTGGTGATAAAATTCATCCTTCAACAACTTCGATCAGTAAAAACATTCCTGAATCTTTTATATCAACAAGTATTGAGTCCTATCAACAGCAAAAAAGCAGCTCAACTCAACAAAATGATCATTAACTTATCCAATCCCATGAAAAAATTAATCCTTCAAATCGCAATGGAATCGACTGATTGACTCAATATTATTTTGAATTAAACTGATTAAAATGAGAAACCACTCGTTGATTAACCTGAATCGATTTCCAGTTTAGAAATAATTTTCTCACAATTAATCCAATTCCACATGAAAAGGGTCAAACAGTTACAATCAAGGATCACATTGAAGTCAAATTTGAGTTTTGTAATTAACTTACCTAAAGTTATCTTAATGCTGAATGATTAGTTCTTTAAACTAGAATTAACAAATTTTGCTGATTTCCAGGTGACACAATTGAAACTAAGAAACTGTTATCAACTTTGGGAATGTTCAAAGGTTATCAGAGAAGTGAATAAGATGTATTTTTTATTCATTTTATTCAAGTCAACACCAAAAGTGATAAAGCAAATGTCATGCGTTATAAGTTATTAGCTCTGAATTTCCTCAAAATTTTCTTCAATAACATGATAATTCTTGTGACATTATTCAGCTAATATAGAAGCAATTGAGTTAATTGGTTGAAACATATAATTGAAAAGATGAAGAGACACTTTAAATTACAAGTGAACATTAAATATTGAAAATAATACAACAATTATGTTACCATTGAGTTGATTAACCAATCCAATTAGACTAATTACTAACTGTCATTAACAATCATTAGTCAACCCGATTGAAAAGAATCGGAAATAAATTAAATTGATTTGATGCCGAGTTTTGTTCAATTAAAGGATTTCAATTCAATTTCATTGTGTAATTACATTCAAACATTGAGCCGACTCTGAGAAATACATTGAAATTTAAAGGAAACTTTGAGGGCGAAAACGTTATTGATTGTTGATATTAAGATTGAGTAAATTTTGAGATTCATTCAGATGAAAGTTAATTTCCGTTTTCATCTCAACTAAATTGTGAACGATTTTCAGTTTTGGTGAAGAGAAGGCATTAAAAATAGCAAATCTAATGCATTTTTTATTAGTTACATTTTGTGAAAATATTTTCACATCTTGATATTAAAATGTTTATCAAGAATCTAAATGATAATTTCACATTTATATTCACAATAATATCATTCATTAAAGAATTTTTTATCGCTCAAAATGCATGGAATGTTCATAACAATTATTGTTAATATCATTAACTGTTTCTTTCTTATTGTGACTTCTAATTGTTTCTACTCGTCTTGTTGACATTTAAATTGTTGTTTTCAAGAAAAATCTGATTCTTCCTTTTCATCTCAGATTTTTTCTTCAGAATTCTTGGTCAAATTATGAAATTTTCATATATTTCAATCAATCATTTCCACACTCTTTTAAGGTAAAAATGCCTGAATCTCTCAGACTGAACATTAATTAGCATTTTCTTGATTAATATTTAGTTTCATTTATTTTTCTTCATTTTGAAAGTAATTCTGAAAAGTTCAATTACTCTTATTGCACCTGAGTTTCACACCTTTCTTATTTGATCTTAAATGAAATTAACTCAATTGATTTAAATTAGATTTACTTTTAATTTGTATTGTTACATTAAGAATTATTATTAGAAAGTCAATGTCTTTTGACTCTCACATCTTGAGCATGTAGTAATACATTTAATTAGAGGATTACTCTTCTCGATTTAAACGTAATCAACTAATTTTACTGTTCAGTATTGGTTAACAGTTTTAAGTGTTTAGTTTGATTACAATTAATCTGTTTGTTTTATTTGCGGATTATTTAAGCGTCTGTTTGTTTGCTTGTTAGTGCAAAAGGGATTGAAAAATGTGAATTAAAATATTGTTAGTAATGACCATTGAAATAGTCTATTTGCTTCCATTAATCAATCAACATGTTTTAATAACATGAATCAACTGTTTTCCAATAGACTATTTAGTCATAACAAATCACTAATTACAATTAATAAAAGGCAGCTTTGTTAACAGGATGACCAATGTAATGTAAATGATTAAAAATCTAATTGTAACAAGTAAAAAGCAAGCAGCTGACTACAAACAAACAAACAAATGAGTGAATGAATGAAATGAAATTTTGTAGGAACAATTGTATTAACAATCCTTTTGATTGCTTAACAAAATGTCAATCCTGTTAACAGGTCTGTACAACAATTGTCAACTCTTATTAGTGAAATGCAATTGATTAACAAAGGTGTATCCTTGAGTACTCCTCTATTCTTGAGTCTTTAGTAACAATATGTAAACGGATCCATGTACATTCAAGTAATATGTATGCATCCAAGGTGTATCATCAAAGGCCGATATAATTATACTCTAATTAATAATAGTAATAAAGTTCATTGAATTCGATTCCAGTTGCTTTGAAAAATATCCATGAGTGTGCTTCACCATCAACAATTTCACATTGTGATACTTTACCACGATGTCCTAAGGGAAAAGTCAGATAATTAGAATAAAACAATTATTATTAATATTAACATTATTCAACGGTCGTAAGCGCATAAATATTAGATATTTGCTGAGTGGAAACTTCAGAAGTGGAAAGAAATATAGAGAAAGTTGAAGTAAAGTGAAGTATAGCACAAAAACTGTCAAAAGAGGTTAAAAGATGGCCAATTAATTCGTTTTCAACTCATTATTTAATTTCAAATCCTCCGCCAGGTTTGACTTGTCCGATAAATCCGGGTCGACATCATTAAGTGATATCGGTATTTATTTATGTGGTCGTATTGATTGGACTTGAAACAGCGGTTGAAGTCCTTTAAAGGCCATATTTTTACACTTTGATAGTTTTTTTATCTTGACTGTATTAAACCGTTCAATGTACTTATTATGATAAAAAGAGGATTACTACGCACCTTTTATGACAATTATATCGTCGTTAAGCGAAGTTGTTTGAAAGGTTAACAACAATTCGTTTAGGTTACCGCGCTTAATTGCGATAGGCTTCTTGAGCTTAACATGGCAATCCTTATCCTTAGAGATGACAACGTTAATAGAATCATCAATGGTATCAAGTAAAATTGAATCATCAGCTCGAGCGCCCATCGCAGGCTCACTTGCCACTCCAGCCTTGGAACTAAATTTTAATTGACAATCAAGCTTTGGAGTTCGTACAGAATAATAACTAAACCATGATAGAAAACAATAGCCAAAACGATCAATAATTGATGAAGAAATAAAGAAAACCAGAAAACCAGAAAAAACCAGAGACAATGAAAAACAAAAGAAAAATTAACGGTTAGATTGTGAAAGTGTTAACCAATGAGAAGCTATCCTTACCCAGGATCCAAACGAATGGGAATTGAAGCGCCCAATATGAATATATCAGCATTCATTACTTGAAATTTAATTGAAATCATTCGTATTGATTTATTATTACCCGATGCGACCAGACTAGCTGCTGTAGCATAATTAACAGGTTTATAACGTTTAACAATGAAAAACTCTGGTGGTGCGGCTCGAGGTGTAGTTTCATGACATAAACCTAAAAATGAAAAACAAAACCAGTCAAACTGAATTATCTGTGTTATTACTTGAATTTATTGAGCTGCAACCAAACTTGAATACCATTTAAACATAGAATACCTATGATCAAGTATTGTTCAATAAGTGATTAGAGTATAATAATTATTGTCCAACTTGTATTGTAATGTATTGCTCGTACAGTTCAATAATATGGGTTTCAGGGTTGGGTTTGATACAGTATAATAACAATACCAATGAAAAAATAATGAGATTGAAGGAAAAACGGAAAAATAATCATAATAATGATTATATTGTTATATAAGGACAGTAACAAAATGCTTCCTATCATCATTAAATGGAGGCAACAAAAGAGTTGCTTGATTCCTTTACATATTTTAACTGTTACTATTGATAATTGTGATGAACCATTATTACCACAGTACAATACAGATTAACTTTAATCAAGTTAACATATTAACTGTTTACATATCATTAAACTGTTCAACTTGGTCATTAACTTATTCGATGATCAATTTCCGTTCATTCAAGTTTCATTAAACATGCATCTTTAAGATTAATTGTCAAGCTTGATCAAACTTTAAATTTTTCAAGTTATTTTGCTGTCTAAAATAGAGAAGTTGTTACTAAAAAGACACAAATAAACACAATTGTCACATTCATACACAAATTGACACAAATGGGAAAAAAGGCAAAAATTAATTTCTTTAAAATTTAGAATCTGTTGGGTTGTGAGGACATAAGAACTGAGTACATTTTGTGCGATTCAAAAATTTCTAGCATCGCCAGTTCTCGAGAGAATCGCGGTCAAAGTTGAAACTTCGATCGCCTTTTGTACAATTATGGAAGAAGATTTTCTCATGAAACTCATTTTAACGATGTAAATTTTGATGACCAACCATGGTCTTATTTTTTAAATAAAACTTTAAAACTTTAGAACTTATCCTTTAAAATCGATAAGTTCGATTTTCAGTTAAACCGATCGTTTTCTATAACCGTTCGAGTTAGCGAGCTGAAACATATTATTTGCCCATAAAAATTGTTTGTGAACACCATGGAATAAATAATATTTTGGATTTATTAATAGTTCTCTTGATTTTGACCATTACCCTTAAAACTTTAAGTCTTGATATTTCGAGGATGGCATCGCCTACTATCATCATTCTTTAACCAAATATTAGATTTCATCATGGACTATAACATTATAGCACTGAATGCCAAATAAAATCTAAGCTAATTCATGCAAACGTGATTTGTGTTTGAGTAACCGTCTAACTTTATCAACCAAATCTCAATTCTGCAACTTAAGTAACACAATGATTTAACTTTTTTGGCAGAACCTTGGATAATTTAATATTTTGATACATTGTAGCCCACAATGAAAACTAATATTAGGTCAAAGAATGATGATTGCAGGTGATTCCGTTCTCAACATATTTATGTTCAAAGTTTTTAGGTCAATGGTCAAAATCAAGAGAACTATTGATAAATCCAAAAAAGTATTTGAACCATGATGTGCACAAACAATTTTTATGATCAAATAATAAGTTTCAGTTAGCTAACTCGAACGGTTATAGAAAACGATCGGTTTAACTGAAAATCGAACTTATCGGTTTTAAAGGAAACAGAAAATGTTATTTCTTAAAGTAAGACCATTTTATGATTGTTCATCAAAAGATACATCAGCAAAATGAGTTGCACGAGAAAATCTACTTCCATAGCTACACAAAAAGCGATCGAAGTTAAAATTTTGACCTCGATTTTCTCGAGAACTGTTAATCTGATGAATCGTTCAATAGTACCAATAGATCAAGTTTTTTTATGTCTCCACAAATCCACCAAGTCTCAACTTTTTGCTCAAATATTCCAGCCTTTGACATCACTATTTGCATTACATTTGCAAGTTTAACCAGGAAAAGGTTTATTTACCTAGATATGGACTGTTATGAGTTTGCTTTGTTGCATAAGTTGTTACTCGTGCATTTAAAGCCCAATTATCATAATTCAAATGCACTAATGGCGATTTAGTAAACTGAATCAGATTTTCAGTTAGTAAAGACTTAAATTGGTTGAAGAATTATGGCTGTATATTATTCTCGAAATATCGAAGCTCAAAGTTTTCAAATTAATGGACAAAATCAATAGGACTGTTGTTAAATTGTGTAAAAAATTTAATGCATGGTTTGAAGCAATAATTTTTATGGGCAAATAATAAGTTTGAGGTCTCTAAGTCTCAAGGTAACAGAAAGCGATCGGTTTAATTAAAAATCGAACTAATTTGATTTACAGAAAAGCGAAAATTTTATTTCACAAAATAAGACCATTTTCTGGTTGTTCATCAAAAGTTATATAAGGAAAATGAGTTTCACGAGAAAATCTGCTTTCATAACTGAACAAAAGCCGATCGAAATTTCAACTTTGACCTCGATTTTCTCGAGAACTGTTCATCGGATAAAATATATAATGGTACCAATGGACTCAGTTTTTGTCTTTCTCTACAAACCCATCAAGTCTCAACTCTTAATTCAAATACTCGAGTCTTTGGGATCACTCTTTGCATTCATTTGTAAGATTAACCAGGAAATTGGTTTATTTACCAAGAAAAGCTGTTTAGATGAGTTTTGTTTGTTAAATAAGTTGTTTTTTGAACATTTAAAGCCCGAAAATCATAATTAAAATGCACTGATGGAAAGTTATTAAATGGAATTGAACTTTTAACTAGTAAAGGATCAAATTGGTGAAAGAATGATGACTGTAGGGGCCACCATTCTCGAAATATCGAGTCTAAAAGTTTTCAAATCAATGGCCAAAATTAAGAAAACTGTTGATAAATTGACAAGAAGTGTTCGCTCATTGATGTGTATCAACAATTTTTATGGACAAATAATAAGTTTTAGCTCGGTAACTCAAACGGTCACAGAATGCAGTCGGTTTAACTGAAAATTCAACTGATCTGTTTTACAGAAAAAGCAAAAGTTTATTTCGCGAAATAAGTACATTCTATGATTGATCCTCAAAACTTCTATCAGTAAAATGAAGTTACATTAAAAAATCTCTTTCCGTAATTGTACAGAAAGCGATCGAAGTTTCAACTTCGACCACGATTTTCACGGACATGGTTCATCAGAGAAACTTTTAAATCACACAAATGGACTCAGTTTTTATTTCTCTGCAGACTACTTGAGTCTAAATTTTCAAGAAATTATTTTTTACCCGTTTTTAACAATTTGTTTTGCAGTATTTGTAAAAATTTGTGCATAAATGTGATGTTTGTGCTAATCGTGTCAACAACCAAATAAAGATGAATAGTCTTACCTTTAGGAACTGGAGTGATTCCTGGAATTGCGAGATTCATGAAGATTGATATCTTCTCTTCTTTACTGAGTATTGAGTTGTTACCATCATTCGATTGATTATTGGATTGATTTGCTTGTTGACCTTCATCATTATCACCAGCAATTGTGTTCGTATTTGAAGTTGTGTGTGCGATTACACGACAAAACTCTTCATTCGACATCGTTAATAGTCGAGCATTTCTCATGATTGTACTTAACATGAATAAGAAAACATTAGAATTAAAAATCATTTAATTGTTGATCAGTTCAATTCTTACCTGTCTTCAAGAACACCTCGAACAATTGTCCAATCATTTGAATTAATTGAACGTCTTTTACATTCAGCTAAGGCCCATTGAATGATTGCATTGAACAATGAATATTCAGAGTATAAATTGAGATATCGACGTCCAACAATGAATTCCAGAGTTGATAGTTGTATTGTACTAAAAGAGTTAAACATGACAAGTTATCGATTTCATTCTTTAATATTTACATTGGAAAATGAAGCGAACAGAAAATGAATTTTTGATTTTTATGGTCAATTTGATGATTGTCAGTATTATTCAGCTGAAATGCTAATTTTGCGATTGTTTAATCGGTAATCAAGAAAATTAACCGATGATCATTATAAATGATTCACTCCAATAACTCTGACCCTAATCAGGTAAATTTATGACATCATCATTATTGACCAAATCTGCCATTGATTAACATCTCAAATTGGTTAAACTAATTAACCTGAAATGGAATCGTTTGAAAAGATTAAAAAATTTCAATGTTTAGTCTGTTCTTTCATTTTCACTCGTTTTCTTGGTTTTTGGGTTTCCATTGCTTTCAACACTTTTGTTGTTGTTGGTGACTTACTTGAAAGATTTGTGAGTTATTACATGGTAAGTTTGCCTGTCAATTATCTGAATTGATTGGAAAATTAATTGCTGTGAATTAAGTACATTTGCAAATTCATAAACAGCACAAGCGCACGATGGAGTTATATTTTTCTCGATGTAAGCCAAGCATTCCCTGTAAGGAAGGGTTAAAAGATAAAAATGTATAAATAAATATCACTTTAGTTTAGGTTGCATGGAAATGAAAGGTTCAATTCATGATAGAATGGAATTATAAAAAGTCCAAATCAAAATGGAATTAAGCCATTTTCTATTCATCTTTTCACCTTTGACTTTTTCTTTCTTTTTTTCTGGTAAATCGAAAAAGAATCCAATAAATGTAATTTAATCGCAGAAACACCGAAAAGAACTAATATTTTTAAAGCAACAATATCGATCGTGATTTATCAAATAATATCAATGTCTGGATTTCACAGTTGGACTGTTATAAGTTTCAACAATCTATTTATCCTACACAATATTAGGTTGTTATACATGAAATGAGACAAATTCAACGACTAAGTCAGACCTTGAGCTTATTGGGAAAGCTCAGTTAATCACATTTGCACAATCGATGAATCAAATGCAGGACAATAAAATTTGATTGAGAACTGTAGGTTAAACTGTACTCTTGATTCTTTGTGGCTTCCATCTAAAAGTCTCTTCATTTATAACGTTAATAGAAGTTCGCTTTGACCATCCATTTGTCTCATTGACTTCTGCCATTTCATATACAGCAACCCGATAGAACATTTAGTCTCTGTATGCATGATTGTAAGATTTTACTGAGAAAAATCTGTCAATAGAATTTTTGACATCAAATAAATGCATTGATATTTCAACGAAACCATCTCAAAATAAGAACAAAATCCGTGCATAATTGTCCTAACCGAAGAGTCTAAAATCATTTCGAAATCCATGATTGGTATACACTGATTCTTCGATTGAGAAATGAAGTTTTGAATGAACTGTACTTTTTGATTAAACAGTATCTAACATGGTTTTGATGGATTGTTCGAGCTTTGAATGGTTGTAATTTTACTAAAGAAATCTTTTCAAGGAAAAATAACTTGCATTGTTTGGTTTAGCTTCGGTTTTGAAATTTGGAAGTAACTATTGTTTCTGAATTGATCAGACAATTTGAGTTTTTGGCTGATTTCCCAGTTAAATTGCCAGGATATTTACATTGTTATGCTAACATGATTAAATGATTATAGCTTATGATTATTAATCTGCAGTCATTATATTATAATATTAATCAAGTACAATGACTTTCCCGAAATTGATTTTCAATTTGGAGTCTATTTTTAAGTTGAACACAGTTGATCAAGTTATTGATCACTTTTAGTCTTTAAATCTCAATCAAACTCCAATAAACTAAATTGGATTCTAAAAGTTCTGTTGGCTGTAAAAATGCTGTTTTAATTGTTTTCGCTTTCAACAATTGAAATTAGTCAAAACACCGTTGACACCATTTTTGTTGTATTTTTAAAGCTAATCTTGACTTAAATGAACCACAAAGTTTCAAAAAATACGCTTATTCAGCTCAATAAATAGATTAATGTTAAGCAAAAGCTAACATCGCCAGTTGAAGCTAATCTGATTCAACGAAAGTTTACTTTCACTTTACTCATTCTATGTCTTAATTTGGTTTCAATTGAAAATCAACAATGATAGATGAAAATGGAAACCAGAAATTAACCAGTAAATGATTTGTTTACCAACGTTCAATCAGTTCTGTTGCTTATGTTTTCACATTCGTTTCTGGTTAACATTAACATTGAACAATTTACAAAATTATGTTCAATTTAGTTGATCGATTTGCCTTTTTCGCTGTTAGTTTAGCATAGTTTACCAATAATGATGATTGAGATGAATGAAAATGAATGGATTACCTTAAAAGATGAGGAAGGAGATATTTTTTAGCTGCATAAGCAGTTAACATTGCATCTTCAACTGAATTCAAGTTCAATGAATCTGAATGGAAGAGAAAAAAGTCAATTAGAATAAACAATTTAAGAATAAACATTTACAAATTACATTAAAAGAGTGAAATAATATGAAGCAAATAGTCACCTGTATAAGCATAACGTAATAAATTTTCAAATCCAATTGGTGCTAAATCAGGAATACGAATCACTTTACTCTTGTCAGCCATATCGCCATAAAACATTGCCTCGAAAACTGTTAACAGAACATTTTTTGGTTACTTTAATGATACCTTTCTGGACAATCGCGTGATCACTTTAATTGCCTTTCTAATTGCTTACCAGGAGAAGTCATTGCCAAAAGAACTCGATGACCAACATATTTTTTTGAATGTTGAGGTGGTCCGACAATGAATGTGACATCGGTAAAAGATTTATTCTGAAGGAGATTTGAAGCTCGTGACACTAAACGATCGGATTCACCATTAATCTGTAAACACACAATTAAAGCGATGAGGATGCAACATGCAGCAATTAACCAGGCAACAGCAATAATTGAATAACATAAATTTAAAATTATAATATGAAATGAAACATCTTTGGAAGAATCAATTCCATTAACAAACCATTACAACTAAAGTCTTCAAAACTACCAGAAAATCCATCAATAAGTGCTATTACATCTTAAGAATCAACAAATTGCTAACTCAATCGACTAAATAAATTGTTTGACCGTCTATACAAAACACATCGAACCAAATGACCGCCAAAAAGACAAATATTCATCGATAAAATCCTGGTAATGCTATTCATTGCTAACAAATTGTCAACTACGAGAAATCGTTGTGTTTAGAATCTGGTTTATTTTCTGGTTTAATGTTGAAAAGGCTGCTTATGATCATAAATTAATTGTTTTTTGACTGTTGCTGTGCATTTTGATAGTTTATTTGGTCGAGTTTCAACTTTTTAGACCTTTTGAAAACAGCAAATCGATAATTGTACATTGTATTATCCGTTTATTAGCTGCAATCAACTAATTGCTTCTCTGTTTTCTGTACGGAATTGTTCCTCTCATTTTGGCTTTGCATGCCAAATTGAAATAAATTTTGGCAAACAATTGATTCCAATGATAATATCAAGTTAGCTCTTGACTTTCATCATCTCTACCTAAAAATATTCAACTTGTATTGTTGGATGGTTTCGCTTGAGACTAACATTTTTCATTTTACATCATCATGATCATCGCCTTCATCTCATCCATCTTAACCAGCCTACTCAAAATGCAGAAAACTAAAGTAAAGGGTTTACTTTGATGTATCCAGACAATTACTTAACCCATTTGATACTTTATTTGCTAATCTGCTCATCATTTTCAAGTATAATCGCACTCCTAACCAACAATGGTAATTAGTTCATTATCACCGTTAAATTAAACTAACCTTCAACAGTTTTTGAGTCGGAAATGAAATTCAATTTTAAGATTTCATCTGATAAAACCTTACGAACTTCACCAAGAAATTGTTGTAGCTTATCACTATCGAAATACTACTCAGGTAATTATAACAAATTATTGGGTTAAAAATGACAATCAAGAATTGTCCTGAATTAGTAAAGTGCAAGTAAAGATGTTTCAAGCAGCAAATGTCATAATGCAAGAAAGCAAAAGCACATTCATAACTAATTAGATCGAGCAATGACTAGTCCGTTTTAAGTATCACACAATCCAAATAAGAGATTTATTGGGATTTTAATTTAAGGATTATTTGAATAAGTTTAAAGAGTCTTTAAATAATAAAAACTTCTATCATAAAGCTACTCCATTTAACTCACAAGGGAAGTTACCCAAGTGTCACTCCTGGATTTTTATGTTTGATAGCTCATTCGATAGGGCTAAGGGCGTAGATAAATACCCTGTTGGGTTTCGTCTGCGAGTTAAGTGGTTCCTAAGATATTTGGGTTTAAAATTTGGGCATTTTCATTAAATCATTTCTAAATGTCAGTCAATGCAGTTGCATATCGAGATGAGCAAAGTTTTAAAATTCCCGATGAATTTGAGCAAAACTAAAGGTTGAGGTTAAATCAAATTCAATCACCTAAAAGACTGTTAGTCAATAAGAATGCATTTTTATGCTAACTAGACTATTAAGAGCTTAACACAATCCTTAACAGTCGGGTTTTCGTTCAGTATTATGAGACTAAATGAACGGACATTTTGCTGAATCTAATGAAAAGCGATTCGCCGTTTAATAACATGCTTTATCAACACTCTTAAATGATTGTACTTACCAGACGCTGAAAATCAACTTCCGATTTAATGAATGAACCTCCGTTTGGCTGATGATTTGACATTACACAAGTAAATCAAAATAAAATGAACGTTTTTGCTTCGCTTTCGTTTATTGGCCAAAACAAATATCCAACTTGATCAATGAAACTCCGAATGCATTAAAGAATCGATTAGAACTTTAAAACGGTGAAAACATGATAGTTTCTAACAAAAGTCGTAATCAATAAAGAATCGCAACTTCTGCGAATCCGATAAACTCAGCAAACAAACAATGAAACCAAGTTAATTGAACAATCACTTGTAACGATATTAATCATATCTAATTAGCTTTGAATGGCGAGAAGCGAGAATCTGATTGAAAGGAAACAAATGCAGATGAAATGGTGAAATGAACTGGACAAAATCTGGGTCAATTAAACAGACAAAAGGCAACAATTAAGTCAGCACTTAAAGGTAAAGGCTGATTCAGCCTGGGAATGAAAGTGAACTCTAAAAGGAGTGGCTTTAAGATATAAAATTTTAACTCCCAATCCCAATGAATAACGAATTATCCTGAATATTGTGAATTATCAAACGGGTGATGATTGAAGAAGAGTGAAAAGTGAAAGAAAAGTCGACAGAGAAGATGATCCAATGTCATGGATCGCTTATTGTTGCCTTAAAAGGTGGGTTTTAACTCCCATTGACCACTAGTCTATAACTTATACCTTTGGTTACTAACAACAAACTTTTAACAGCTTCGATGAACAATGTAAGGCTCCAATTATTGCCTCAATTAACCTTACAGAATCAACCATGAATATCAAGTTTGAGAAGTTTCTTCTTCTCTTCTTCTTTTTTTCTGGTTACATTCAAATGTACTTTTTGGGTTCTGATTGACTGATTTTCAGGTGGTTACATTGAAAGGTAATTCACTAGAATCGGGTTCATCATTATTTTAATTTATTCACAATCCTATTTGATTTAATAACAATAACAAACAGATCGCCCTCTAAACTGACCTCTTTTAACTTTCCATTTAACTATCAAAACTGACCTGATTTAGGCTCAAATCAAAATTACACTCAAATTATCGGGTAAATTATTTAGACTTTTAATGTTCAATGGTTCAGTTACAGTCTTTTAATTACTGGCTTTTCAATCAAACCATTTCATTTGATCTAAATACAATTGAATTTAGCAACAAATCTAACATCTTTTTTTGGTTATCAACATTTCAATGTTGCTCGATTCAGTTTCATCTCATAATTTATATCAATTGAACTCATTTTTCATTATTTTTATTTTCTGTTATCAATAATTTTCATACAAAATATACATTTGTTTGGAGCAAGAAATGAAGGAAATACAAATACTTTTAATGTTATAAATGAAAATGAATTTATTGATAAACTCTGTAAATTGGTGCTTTACATTGAATCCAAATTCTGATATTTTCTTCACGTTTCAGGGTAACTTGTCTCTTCTGTAATATATACTTTTGATGATTCCAATAATGTTCAATGAAGTTTATCAAATCAACAAATTGCGTGATTAAATGACCAAATAACCAGAATCACGTTTCCCTTTACAAGGTTTTCCTATTGATCAACTTTCATCTCTTTGATTTTATCAGCCGAGTTTACGTTAACTCTTTTGATTAATCATTGCAATAACAATTTAGGTTTTTTAGATTCTTTCCCATTCTCACACTTGACCACAATCTTTGGCCAATTCACTGGTCTAGATGCATGATTAACCTTCTCAATTGCAATTAATAATTGTGGCTTCATTGGGAGAAACAAATTTCCTCATTCAATTCAATGAACTCAAATTGAAACACACTTCAATTATAATGTTAATTAATACTTTTCATTTGACTCGTGATTAGAACTGAGCTTAACAAAAACTAAAAGTAAGCTTCCAACAATTAAATTGATTAACATTTCCCCTGTAAATGATTTATAGTGAATCTCATTGAACATGCAATTCCACCGAGAAAATTATTACATTGAACAATTGAATGAATCAATTGGGCCAATCAATTGAGTCAATTTTAAGCGAAACCCAAAATCACAATTAACATTGGCAATTTATTGTTATAATTAATTATTGAAGGTGAACACTGAATGGGGAAACAGATTTGACGTATAAATTGTTAATAAATTAAGTTGGTTAGCAAAACGTAATTCAAAAGCATCTTGGATTTAAACCAAAAGTTTAAAATTATACTTTTCACGATTTGAACAGTTTATGTACATTTATTGGGTTAATAATGAACTCGTAACTATTTTAACAAACTTAATTTGGCTTTCATTGTTTAATTATTTAAGCTAACCCTAAACTTGAATTTTGTCATCCAAACTAAACCATCTGTAATAGCTTATGATAATGGGTTTCATGAAAACCTAAAAGATGAACCAGATTCTGGTAAAGATAAAATGCTTTTTTCTAGTCAAATTGTCATTCTATTATTAGCATTTTATTATTGTTTTTACATTAAACTAATCGAATTGTGTCTTTTTTGTTGAAGTTTGTCTGTTCAATGATCAGATTGATTATGGAATCAAATGGATGTTTTGGTGATTTGTTTTAATCTAATTTTCATGTCGTTCTTGATTTCACAGGTAGATTGAATTGTCTCTTGATCATAATAAATCTAAATATAAATCTCTTTGTGAACATTTTAAAGTCTTTAAAGGTCGTTTTACGGTTAAAAAATAAAATTCAGTCATTTTTGACAGTCAACAGTTTTGTATTAACATTTGGAAGAAACAATTTTACGCTTTTAAATAATGAAAGACACATTTTCTGCTCTTCTGAGTATCATGGGCCAAGAAATCAAAAAATGAGACTTTTTGGGGACAAAATAACAATGAAAAATGGTTTCTTCAAGTTGTCATGTGAATGTTGAAGCAATGTTTAGTTGTAGGAGTTTAAAGTTGATTTGGTTTTAAAGCCTCAATCAATCAATCTAAATTGTCAACTAAATAAAATGAAGGTTGTTGTGTATGAAGGAGAGATACCAGGAAAAGGGTTATAAGAATATTCATTGGAAAATAAAAGCTAAGAAATTGATCCATTTTTAAGGCTTTTTGCTTGTGCTGGTGTTTTCCCGTACTTTTGGCTGGTAAACATGTCAAGGATGAGACAGGACAGGAGATGAACTGAAAGTAGTTGGTTTAGGATAACTATTAACAGTAATGAGGATTTTGAAAGGAAAGAGTAACAGAGCGTTGAGTTATTACTCAGAGTAAGTTTGATGTTTAATGATTTGATTATGGATAAAATTTGGGATGAACGGACTTGGTTAGGTAAATGTGACTTTTGACTGGTTAAGTTACATTGACTTTAAATGGTGATCCGGTTACATGGAGACCAGTGAACATTATATTTAATGTATAAATACCAGGGATTTTGGTTCGGTAGATTAGGCTTAATGTGTTGTCAGAGTTTTTCATGAATCTCATCTCAGGTTGACCAGGTCCTTCCATTGAGACACTTAATCCTCCAATGACTCCAGCCACTTCGGCAATAGTCACTTCATTGTCTCTATTGACTCGACCGTCAGTTAATCCTCGGCCTGTGCAATGGATTTTCCGTAAATGTCCCCGACCCACTGAAAGTCCACCATCAATTTTACACAGAAACGGGCTTCCTGGAATCTCTTCGCCTAAATAACGAACGAAAACCTTGTAGACTCCGGGTAATGAGGGACACCATGAACACTCAACATGAGTTGGAGATGAACAAAATTTAATATCTGGCTTAGAGGGTCCTTCAAAGGCTACTGAACATGAGGTGGGGGCAAATGTTGCTTTAGAAGGTGCATAAATGCTGAATGAACAAGGTTCACCAACAGTACCTGAAGATAAGCCACTTCCATTGACTGTAACTTGGGCTGCTGAAGCTTCCTTTATTTGTGGTCTCCAGAAAAGCATGATTAACAATTTATCAAGTGAACACAATCAGGTGAACACTAACAGGTGCCGATTGAACCTTTAGTTAAAATTACGTCCAAATTTAGTGTTGAATTGGTTCGTTTATTGCTTATCACAGAATAAAAATAGACTTGTAGTAATTTGACACTTAATCAATTCAAAATAAATTGTCTTTTTTCTCGCACAACAAGCTGTAAGATTGGTGTGATTATTGAAATGGAGTTGTGTGTTATTAAATAGATGTAAATACATTAACAGAGACTAAACAGCAGTGAATTTGGCAGATGAAATAATTAAATCAAGATTGGTCAACAGCTGGAAAACAGCTTGATAGTTGAGGCTACTAATCAAAATATTGGTGTCTTTGTAAAAACCGAAGTTGTTCAATTTTGGCAAGAGTTGAGCTATGTTGTTGTTTTACGATGATTAAGTTGATTAGCGTAAAAGAATGTGTTCAACTTAAATCAACAAAATGGCAACTTGGGGTTGCAAGTTTAGTCCCGTTATTGTTGAAATTTATTTTCACTTTTTTTTACTGGTTGATTTGGTTGGAAGATGAACAAAACAATGATTAAAAGCAGGGAAAAACGATGGAAGCAATGATGGTGTAGACTGATGAAGATAAACTGGGAAGATGGCAGTAAAAAGAACGAACACGAAAAAATAAAGACTGAATAAATCAGCAAAAACTTAAACTTAACAAGATGTTTGTTAACACAAACAGCTACTCTAAGCCTTTCAGGCCAATGAGATCACGTGGTTTTTTTCCAGTTTGAAAATGACGTTGTAAGACAGTTGAAATGATTTTACCGCTGTTATTGCTTTTATAAATATTATTATTAGTGTACTTATCATGATTATTAGATTATTGAAACTACAGTGAAATCTTGAAGATCATTCAACGGTATATTTCAAATGGAATAGGATGAGAACATAAATCCAAACGATCTAAAGATTTAAATTCATCTTTATCTTCTGATCTTCAACGTATCTGTATCTTCTGATTCTTGTTGTTTTTTTGTGTGTGCTTGTGATCATCTCCATCTTAATCAATGTTAATTTTCAGGTTGCCAATGGTAATTGCTATTAACAAATTTACAGTTGATCATCATCTCTCATTGCTAATGTTTGCAAGTTTTGTAACAGCAACAGCAATAAACATATGCAAACAGCTTATTGGAGACGCCTTCAGAAACAGTGAACACACAATTATTTCCTGGCAAGCCCAATATTCCGGTAAAGATTTAGACTTTCTATCTTTAGATTATCTCTTTTTTTCTCATTCTTTCTATCCTTATACTTTTCTCTTCATCAGCATCTTCTCACATTCCTATGAAAGTTACTGAAACAAGTATCATGAGCAAATTTACTGTCAGTTTGTCAGATCTCTTCGTATTCTTTACTTTTCTCTGCTTTTTTGCTCATCATCTACTTTAACTACATCATCTTTTATCAATACTTACTTTTTGTCTTTCTTTCTCTTCCTTTCGTCACCAGTATCATCATTAGCATCATCGTCATCATCACCACAGCCACAATCGAACATCGTCAACTCGAAAACCAAAGGAAACTTTCCATGTTAACTGCCATTGATCTGCCTTATCCTTGAAACTTTTTTGCATTCGACTCACTTATTTTTCGTCTTCATCATCACCATTATTAAAATCTTCCGGCTCTCATTAACAAGTTAATTTGATCAACCTATTCCTGACATCAAGTGCTGTCTTATTCGGTTTGTCAAAACAAAAACAGTTAATTCAGTTGAAATAGTCGCCAATTTTTTGCTAAAAAACATTGATTGATACTAACATATTGATTAATAGCTCAACGATTTTTTCTGCTGATCAAAGTTAGAGCCACTGAAGTTACTGCCAACACTCACGAAAGCATCTGAATTTCATCTGCTATATAAAGTCTTTATAATGGCCTCAAAAGAGGGTAAAGTATAAATCTTTAATTTATATAGAAATATTTTATAATTGATTTCATTGAATTTTAAAACTCCCTGATTTCCTTGACATTTGTTTTTGCAGATGATAAGCTTTCAGCATCCAAGATAACAGCAAGTGGTCCTGGACTTGTCATGGGTGAGACAGGAGGAATATGCCAATTCAACGTTTATACTCATTATATACCTAAATTCAAAGGAGATTTTGATCCTCGAAGTGAACTGGCCTTTTCAATGGATGGACCTTCACTCCCGGTTCCCTTGAAAGTTGATGCTGTGGACGAGACTCGGGGTGTGATGGATGTGACCTACACACCACTCTTACCAGGAAATTATTCAATCAACATTAAATATCATGGTGAACATATCAGTGGAAGTCCGTTTAAGGTTAAGATTGAAGGAGAAAGTATTAAACAGTTCACTCTAACCTCCAAAGTCAAAGTTTACGGACCTAATTTGAAAAATGGCAAAGCTAATGAACTGAACACTGTTTATATTGATATTGATGATCCTTCAATTAAAGGTGGTTTAGCTGCTTCAATGGCTGGTCCTAAAACAGCAAAAGTTAATCTTAAAATGGTCGAAGAAAAGGAAACAGTTTTTAAGGTTACTTATTCACCGACAATTAAGGGAAATTATCTGTTGTATGTTAAAATTGCAGAAACAAATGTTCCAGGGTCACCATTTAGTATTATTGTTTCACCCTAATGGTATTATTGGTCAGATAATCACAATTCAATGTGTCATGTCAATTGTGTGATTGTATTTCTGTCCAACTGATTCAAAATTGTTGCTTTTGGTAATGTTCTAGTCGTTATATTGTTGGTTTGCTCATAATAAAGATATTAAATATTTTGTAAAAGACATACAATACAATTGCCTTTTGTTATATAAACTAAGAATCGGATTAACAAATGAATAATCAAGCCATGATAAGGAATGCAAGGGAATGCTGAATTGCAATTGTAAGAAAGTATATTGCTGTAATTCAAGTTTGTTCCAGACATGTCTTGGTGGTGAACCAGTGCTTTTGAATCTCATTCATTATATAAAGAAACTAGAGATGTTTGTTACTAAAAAACACAATCCTCAAATTAATGCACAAATTGACACAAATGGGCATAAACGGGTAAAAATCAATTTCTTTCCAATTTATAGACTCCGTTGGTTTGTAGAGGGAAAACTGGATCCATTTGTGCGATTTTAAAAATTTCTCTGATCCACAGTTTTCGAGACAAGCAAGGTCTAAGTTGAAACTTCTATCGGCTTTTGTTCAGCTATGGAAGCAGATTTTCTCAAGAAACTCATTTCACTAAGTTAACTTGTGATGAACAACAAAGAAATGTTGTTATTTTAAGAAATATAACTTTTCTTTTTCTGTAAAACAGATTAGTTCGATTTGGAGAAAAGCCGGTCAGTTTCTGTGACATATAGCGAGCTTGTAAGATTTAGCGAGCTGAAACTTATTGTACTTGCGTAAATAATGTTGGTGCACAACAATGACCGAAAACTTTTCTCAATTTATTGACAATCCTCTTGATTTTGTCCATCGATCTGAAAACTTTGAGCTTCGATATTTCGAGAATGGTGGCCACTACAATCATCATTCTTTAACCAATTTAAGTCTTTACTAACTAATAATCTAATTTCGTTTAATAAATTTCCATTAGTGCATTTGTATTATGAAGTTTGGGCTTTCAATGCACGAGAAACAACTTATTCAACAAACAAAACTCATCTAAATAGCTTTTCTTGGTAAAGAAACCAATTTTCTGGTTAATCTTACAAATGAAATGAAAAGAGTGATCCCAAAGACTCGAATATTTGAATTAAGAGTTGAAACTCGGTTGGTTTCTAACGACAGACAAAAGCTGAGTCCATTGGTACTATTATGTATTTCATCCGATGGACAGTTCTCGAGAAAATCGAGGTCAAAGTTGCAACTTCGATCGACTTTTGTTCAGCTATGGAAGCAGATATTATCGTATATTTACCAAAAAACTTTCTACATAAATATGTCGAGAACGGAATCACCTGCAATCATCATTCTTTGATCTAATATTAGTTTTCATTATGGACTATAACATTATATGACTGAATGCCAAATAAAATCTGAGCTGGGTCATGCAATCGTGATTTGTGTTTGAGTAACCGTCTAACTTTATCAACAAATCTCAATTATGCAACATAAGTAATACAATGCTTTAACTTCTTCGGCAGACTCTTGGATAATTTAATATTTTGATACATTGTAGCCCACAATGAAAACTAATATTAGGTCAAAAAATGATGATTGCAGGTGATTCCGTTCTCGACATATTTATGTTCAAAGTTTTTGAGTCAATCGTGGAAATCAAGAGAACTATTGATAAATCAAAAAAATTATTTATTCCATGATGTGCACAAACAAATTTTATGGACAAATAATAAGTTTTAGCTCGCTAACTTGAACGGTTATAGAAAACGATCAATTTAAATGAAAATCGAACTTATCGGTTTTAAAGGAAACAGAAAATGTTATTTTTCAAAATAAGACCATTTTATGATTGTTGATGAAAAGATACATCAGCAAAATGAGTTTCACGATAATACCTGCTTCCATAGCTGAACAAAAGTCGATCGAAGTTTAAACTTTGACCTCGATTTTCTCGAGAACTGTTCATCGGATGAAATATATAATAGTACCAATGGACTCAGCTTTTGTTTGTCGTTACAAATTCACCAAGTCGCAACTCTTTGCTCGAATGTTCGAGTCTTTGGCATCACTCTTTTCATTTCATTTGTAAGTTTAACCTGAAAATTGGTTTATTTACCAAGAAAAGCTGGTTAGATGAGTTTTGTTTGTTAAATAAGTTGTTTCTCGTACATTTAAAGCCCGAAAATCATAATTCAAATGCACTAATGGAAATTTATTAAATATAATTGATTATTAATTAGTAAAGAATCTAAATGATGAAAGTATGATGACTGTAGGGGCCACCATTCTCGAAATATCGAAGCTAAATGTTTTCAGATCAATGCCCAAAATTAAGAGGACTGTTGTTATATCGTCTAAAGTATTTAATGCATGGTTTGAAGCAGCAATTTTGATGGGGAAATAATAAGTTTGAGGTCTTAAGGTCACGGAAAACGATCGGTTTAATTAAAAATCGAACTAATTTGTTTTACAAAAAAGCGCAAATTTTATACATCGAAATAAGTGCATTTCCTGGTTGCTCATCAAAATTTACATCAGGAAATTGGGTTTCATAAGAAAATCTGCTTCCATAATTGTACAAATGGTGATCGAAATTTCCACTTAGACCTTGATTATCTCGAAAACTGTGGATCAGAGAAATTTTTAAATCGCACAAAGGGCCTCAGTTTTCAGAAAGTGATTTTACCCGTTTTTATGTTCATTTTTGTCTATTTGTGCATCAATGTGATAATTGTCTCTTTTTAGTAACAACCGCTAGATATGCATAAGCTAGATGAACATTGATATTTTCTCATACATTGTGACTCAGGTGAGGATAGCTCAAAGCTTGGAGTCGATATTAATGGTCACCTGAGCTTAATAACACATAGATAACACGCAGATAAAACTATCTTGCTAGACACTAGAACCGTAAGACTATGCACTTCATAAACAATGTGAAAATATCGAAATATATGAACGTATGAACGTTGTTATGGATTTCGAGATGAATCCATCCAAACTTAGTGACTAGCAAGAGAAATTTGAAAGCAATTTCAAGCGATTGTAAATGTATTTGATTGCTTCTCATTGATACTTTAGTTGATTGCTAGTCATTTTAGAGTTGCATATCCTTTGGAAGCAAAATATAAACAAATCAATGGTCGGATTAAAAGCAAAAGGTATGCTTAATTTCATTTAATTGGTAGATTGAACAATTAATTTAAAGAAGTTTAATAAATTCAATAATTTTGAACAAAATGAATAAATATTATTTTATTTGGTTATTTCAATTTAGTTATTCAATTTTATTATTTATCAATTGAGTTGATTAATGTTGATGTTGTAGGTCTTTGATCCATTTTTACTTGAAATCAGGAGTAACATCAATGTTGACAGTTCAAGGAGCAACTGTTGAGAAGAAATTTAATTAATATCGAATATTTTGATTAATTTTATTTGACGCACCCGAATCATAAGCATGTAATTGTACTGAAACATGCCATAACAGGTAAAACATTGGTTGTTAATAATATCGTCTAAAATTACGGTTAATCCTAGCTTCATGCCAATGGATAAATCAAGCCTCATTAGTCTGTGCATTGGATGAGATAACCTCTGCAACTGAAAGTAAAATTAAGAAATGATCGTCATTATTATCAACATATTAACTTATATAACAAATAAAATCTGTGATCCTACATCCGTCATCCAACAATCATAATGCGTATAAAATATTTACATTGATTAAATACTCAGCTATTTTCAACATATTCATGCAATCAATTGAGTTAAGTTAATCGAGACGACCAACAAGACTGAGAGCAAGATTAAGCGTATGAGTGTCAACCTAAAGACTGAAAATAAAACATTCCGGATAAACACTTAATTAATTTTACTTTTCTTAATTTGATAAAACCGCCAACAATTTGTGATGAAGTGGCCTTGGAAGTTTTTGATTAAAATTAGCAGGGAAGGATTTTCAAAAACTAACATTTTCTTTACTCTTCCTAATCAAACTGCAAATATACAAGCAATCTGGTTATGCGATTACATCGCTAAATCAAATCAGAGTTTTTTGCGATTGAAAAGCCAACAATTTGAATGAAATGGTTATAATTAGCAAGAATTACTTACATTGTGACGGAAGTTAGCTGGAGCAAGAACGTTAATCAAACAGCCATTAAAGAAAGTACATAAACCAAATATTGTGATTGCAATTGCTGTTGATGGCTCCATATCAACAAAAAAATATAAATAAACAACGAGAACAGATGAAGCTGAACACCCCAAGAATAAGCCAGAAATTGAACGATTCCAAAATTTGGTTGCATGAAGTAAATCATTGTGAAAACAACAATATTCACGAATGATAAATTGGTAAAAATGAAGATGATTAACTGTTGATTGTGAAGTTGCAATCCTTCTGATATTTCTTTTTTCATAATTAACTAAATTTTGTTTGATTAATCGGCACCAAAGGCGATACTGGTTACAAACTAAACTAAATATGATAGAAATCAAACCAACAAAGACTGTTGTAATGTAACAATTGGATAAACTGAGCAACGTTTGAATAAATCCAATGGTAATTAGATACACAAAGCCAAATCTGAGTAAGACCAGTGAAGCCAAGATCATTCCTGAGGTTGTTACAATCAACATGTACCATCCAATCCTACAAATTTTAACCATCTTGGGATAAATTTGAGTGAAAACGTTTTTCTGTAGACTGGACTTGAAGATTCTCGGCGGTGGTTGATTGAAGAGACGGAAAATGGTCAGCCAATATAAGTTGTTTTTCAGGTATGAGCTAACAAAGCAGATCTGGGATGTAATTGTCGATAAAGCCCAAATGGCGAAACATAAGTCACAGTAATCCTTCGCATTGCCAAAGTCAACTGTAATGTCTCCCAACCAATAGACCCAAAAGTCATCGTATCCGACAAACAAGAGAATCATATATTTAACGAGACCAAGAAACTGAATGATGATTGATCCAATGGGCAAAATTAGTCTTTTTGCTGGTTGATTAGGGGTCAATGAAGGAATTATTGTCCAGTAATATAAATGTTCTTCAATATCAAACATATCCAAATCAACTCGTCTGCGGTTTCTGTTTTCTAGAGAGTTGGTGTAATGATTTATTAACTGTTCTTGGATTAATTGCTGCCTTTTCACTTTTTTGGGCATTTTTGATAATTTAATCAATTGTAGGATAAAATTTGAAGGCTGAAAACTGTTAGACTTAGGGAACACTATTCAACGATATTTGTTTTGATGCTTCGAATTTAAGTTTTGCGTAAGATTTCAAGTCAATAAATAAAAATTTGAAAAACATCAGTTTTTGCATGCAAAAACAAATTTCATGAACATGAAACGCATCTTAACAAAAAAAAATTAATATTAAATGCCCAATCTCACAATTTGACTTTCATATTGCACTACAATAGAACCATTTATTGAAATTATCCGAAGTATACTGGAGATATTCAGTCATCAAAAACAAAAACTGGAATTGTTCAAGACACGTAATTTAATTGATTGATAGTTCTGAATAATAAGATAATTTAATTTCGATCGATAAGTTTATAGTCAAAAGTTTAAAGTTCATAATTTCATCCATTTTCGAAGCATATCAAACTTGATTAAAGAGGGTTAATAAGTTATAAATCTTTATCAATTAGATTACATCTGTGAATCTGAAAATGAGCAAAAAACTTTAATGTAACCAATCCCAGTCATTCGCGTCAGTTCGCACAAATTTATGGCCGCTGATCAAGTAACTCGTGATTTCCTCTCCATAAGATTTTTCCTTTTGGATTTCGTCAGTAAATTATCCAGGCTTGTGACAAATGTCCAACGTTTGATTCTTTCGCCATCTAAATACATGTATTATGACATTATACCAGGCTTTTCAACCAATTTAGATCTACCAATCTATTCGTGCTTATATCTTAGGAACCGTTTGAGATAGAGACTTCATATTGCAACTCTGATCTACTCATAACTTAATTATCTTAAATCCCAACTTTCAAGGTAATCTATGAACATTTTCGAACTTCGACCCATTTTGTCCTTTCGAGATTGTTTTTTAATGCAGATATTTTTCATGATTTGAATGCACCATTTGTCACCACACTATCACAATTAGTACTCAAGTTATTCAATCAAAACAGATTTTTGTCATTTTTTTGTAATTCGTTGCTTGGCTGGAATGTCAATAACCATATTGATCTTGAAAAAAATCGGTTTCCATCGTAAGTCAATCCGAATGAAATAAGTTGGTGAGAATTCCCGAAATGCATAAGTTTCCACATGTTAATTATCAGTACGATATCCCGATAGTTGGCTTGACCTTTAAGATTGTCAATTGGCGAAACTTGAGATTAAAAATTTTATCATTGAGTAACAATTTCAGTCTTTTCTTCTGCATATAACTCTGATGACTCGAAGTTCAAAACGCTTGGCTTCTAATTTCGACTCATTAATTGATGCAGAACGAGTACCACGGATGTTCCACTGTAGATTCGAAAATAAAATGAAATCCATTTGATCTGGCTAATGGTGTCCATCCAATTTTCAGGTTCATCCAATAAGATCTTATTGCTAATTTTAAAGATCGTCAATTCTTCGACAGCCATTCTAAATTAACGCAAATGAGAAAGCAACAAATAAAAGACGAATTAACAAACTATCCAGAGATTGCGAGAGATGTCCAAAGACCAGAAAAACCAGCCTTGTTTTTATCCGTTATCCTTAACCAATTAAAATCAGCAGTCGCTCGATTACCCAGAACACAGTTGATCTTCACTCTTACAAGTTTTGATTGTCCTCTGACCAAATAACTTGTCCTTTGTGAGAGGTTGCCCAAAAAATTTTGATAACTGATGACAACCCTTCGTGAGAAAAGATCATTTTCATGGATTATTTAAACTTTGGCCGAGAGTATTTGAAAAAGGATAAAAATATAAAAGACTTCAATTCATTGGAATTTGCTGTAAGATGAACAAGAATATTGTTTTAGGGATTTTTACCTAGGCTTGTTGGCTTTTAAGCTCTGACTTGCAATCAATATTAACTAACTAATCCTGAACTAAAAGCACCATGAATTAAATTGATGATTTGATTATCGTGTCTATTACTCTTGTGTAAGACAATTGACTTGAATAGATATTGTAAGAGCCTATTTACCTTTAAAAAGGTTTTCAAAAACTATAGTAACTTGATGTCAATAGATTGGAAGTTATCACGATAAATATGAATAACTGACTAAATTTTGACCAGTCAATCCTTTAATTTGATTCAGATAAACGCAACTACAGACTATTTCATTCACAGGTTTTATTTCTATTCTGTTCAACTGTGATTACAAATGGCAAACAAAAAATTAGTCCCATCTCAATGAATGTCAAACACATGACAATCATATCTGATACTCTATATCAATATTAATGAATCATCAATAAACTTATCTACTGGAAATTGAAAATTGTGTAGTCGAAACAATCATTGATTTTGGTGATTGTTGTTATAGAAGTGATAAAGATTGTTTACTCAAAAGAAGCGAAGAAACATGAAGAGAAACTAAATTACAAAAGCTAACCAAGACAATCATGAGCTTTCAATGAGCACAATGTGTACGAGTAAAATTGAAAGATCAGGATCATCAGGTAACCGTGACAAGAATGATTTGTTTATCAATTGAATAATGGAAGAGTGGAAACCTTGATTGGTATAACTTTGAATATAAATTGACGTAAATTGAAGTAAAAATATCTACACTTCTTAAGTAGTTGTAGTCATACATAAATACTAAACAGGATTAAACTTGCTTCCAAGTGAATAATCATTTCCTGAATAACGGGAATAACGACTTTTCTTGATTTGTTATTGTAAATTCCTGGCATACCAGACTATCTTTGAACGTTTGCAGCATTTTAATCATCAGATATTAATAGGTTACACAACATGTTGCTGTCTGTGATTTGTTGATCAACAGTTAATTGATTAACCTCTACCAAAGCTACCTGGTGAGAAAGGAATGAGAATTAATAAACATAACAACGAATTGAAAAGATTAGATTGAAATTTACCTGTCATAATTAAAATTTGATCCACCGAATGTTCATTACATCAAATTTCTTATACTTATTAACCATAGGATGCTTGAAACAATTGATGATAGCAATAACACACACGAATTATGAGCTAATATTGAATCAAGTCTAGTATTGAATTTAGACTAACCAATTATTGTTTTACTTTAAATTTTAATAAGTTAATGATCAAAGATATGCCATAATCAATTGATACATTTGAAGAGAAAGCCGATTCAATGTACACTTTGAATACTGTTGACAATATCAAAAATAAATCGCAATAAACGTTGGTAATTTTTTTAAATATAAGTTATGTTAATAGTAATCATATAAATTTCACAGAAAAAATATTCCAGTATTTTTTATACAAATCAACCTTCACGTATTCCAATTATCAATTAAAGGGAGGGATGATTGTATTGAGGGATAGGGGGATAGAGGGATAGGTATTGGGGGAAGAAAGTGAAAACGAAGACGGTTAAGCGAAAGAGATGGTGAGGGAGAGAAAAGGATATGAGAGAAAAGAGGGAGAGAGAAAGAAAGATTGAGAAGATGAATTGAAAAAGCATCAACCGTATAACAAGATTTGAAGGAGTAAAGGATCATCAATCATCCTATCGGTCTCAGTTTTGGCTTCAACTGTCTGATCCACTTCCTCCTTCTTTAACTCTTGTTAAGAATTCCTTAACCATGTGAACTGCACTACCCTTATTTTTTACACGAAGTGAGTCGGCTTCCCAATCAATAAATGCCTCGTCGGATATTTTGGCTTTCCTATGGAGACATTCAAATATATCCGTAAGCAATCCTGTGAATAGCAAAAGAAAATATTAGAAATTAAAAAATTCAATTAAAAATGTCTTCAAAACATACCTTTAGGATTTTCATAATCTGATAGAAGCTCTTGAACTGTAAAGATAATTTCTAATTCTAATTTTTTAAGACCATTATGGAATTTGGCCAAAACTGCACAAAATTCACTAAATTTTTTCCCGTTCAATTTATGAGAAACATTATTGGATCCTAGAAAATAAATAAATATTGCATTATTAATAGGGACACTTTCAAGTAAAGGCGAGATAAAGAAATTACCTGTGACAATGCATTTCATCGCCACTGCTTGGGTCAAGGCACGCAAAAATTTAGGCTCTGTAATTTCTTCGGGTGTGAATTGTTTCTAAATGTCGTAAATAAAAGAATTAATATTGAAGTTCAGCATTTTTGAATAAAACATTGATTGGACAATTTACTTACCAATAAATACTCTCCAAGTTGAGCTGGACTAAATTTATTAACAATATTGCTCATTTGGTCGAGTTTCAATTGTAACTCAAATCGAGGCAAGGTTAAGTTCTGAAATAGATTAAACATTTATTAGGATAAAGAAAAAAATAACCATATTATGTTTCGATTTGGTTATCGAATAAACATAGGATTTACGAAAAATATTACACTTGAGCTTACATGTTTCTTGAAAAACTCATCCGGGCTTTTATTTTTATCTTCAGGAGGCAAAAAGGAAGACCATTCTAGCCCTCCGGTGACCCATGCAGAGGCACAATCATAAGGGAACTGTACAGAAGGAAATTAGAGTTATGGTTAAATATCATAGACTAGATCTTATTGAACGTGGAAACTTACTTTAGAAGTTTTCTTAAAATTTAAAAGATGAAACATAGTTAATGCGGCGCCCTCGCCTTGTTTAATTGGTTCTAAGATTTTATTAAATAATTTTTTCCTAATAGAGTCTTCTATACTGCAAAACAGGGGAACTAAATTGTCAGCTAAATTATTCCAAAGTTTTGGGATATCGATTAGAAGTTCCTCAGAAATTGTGAGAAAACTGTGTAACCTGTTTGAAACGAAATAAGGTTAAGAATTAAAAAGTTGTAAATATCATAACAATCCAACATTCCATTTAATCAGGTTATATCTACTTACCCTTTAACTAATTGTTCTTGTTTGATGACTTTTTCTTTCAAAAAGAAAGCCAAAACCTCACCAGCAGCGAGTTTTTTATCAAGACTAGAGAATTCTAAAGAAATACCGAGCGCAACCTCGACGAACACACCGACATTGGATTCCGTGCAAATAAGAAGAACGTCGTCACGACAGGCATCTTTAAGACCATTCACCAAATACTGATTGAACGCGCCTTGCAGCCTCTCTTCAAGTTTAGAATGATTTATGGCCGGGTCACCCTCAAATTTGATACCTGAAAAAGACAAAAACGTTAATAAATTGCATCCAACAAAGAAATGTGATTCACGAAGATTTTTTCAGCTAAAATACTAGTTTCGTCATAGTTTTATAAGACAGGGATAACTAATTGATTCATCATAAAGATATTGATAAAGATGCAAATTAAATAGCAATGTGTACATACCTGAAACGGCTTCTTTTTTAGGAGATTCACGTGCAACATTACTACTACTACTAGATCTAGACTCCACGAGACGACTCTTTTCCATACTATTGCTACGACTTGAATTATCTCTTTTAACAGAGTCTGAGGAACTAGAAAATGGAGCCACTGTGGATGGCATTCTACTTCCAGTGGAAGCTCTACCGGGATAATCGGAGTGGGATTGTCCTTCCAACGAGGAGAATGGTCGGAAGGAGTGACCAGATGATTGTACACGTCCTTCCATTGAATCCCGTCCCATGGTATTGCCACTAGTCCTAAGGATAAACATAAAATGATTAATATTTGACTGTTGTCAGAAATATTACACGAATTTACCTTGTATTTCTATCTCTTTCATTGAGTGAATTTCGACCGAAAATACTGTCAGAATTTTGTGATCGTTGAGATGATCCAGCTCCTTGGCCCGAAGAAGCTCCTGAGCCCCAAGTTGGTGGGCGAAGAGAAACATTCTCTGTTTGTGGAGCCTAAAATAGAAAAATTGATTAGTTTCATCTGCTTCATGACCCAGAATTGTAAAGAGAGATTTAATATCAGAAATTACATTATCTTCAACAATCTTAAGACAGGGATAACTAAAAATTCATCATTTAAGATATAAATTAGCATTCACAAAGAAATTTACTTACATTGGCAGATACTTTTTTCAACGTTTCAATCATCAGAGCCATGTTAGGGGCATTGGATCTGTTATTTCTTTGACTATTCCATTCCTCTTGTTTTGTAGGAATTTTTCTGGTTTCTCCAGTTTTGATGATGTGTTGCTGGATTTCGTGTTTTTTAGTCTGTTCTTCTTGTTGAATTTCAGCATGTAATTGCTCGATGGTTTTTGGCTTGTTGTCTGCTTGTATTTTTCTTACTTTCCAGCCAGCTTGCTTCATATCCAATACATCTTGAATCATAAAACGGACTCTGGATGATGTTAAACGATTTTGGACGATTCCTTGAAGAACACTGATGCAATATGTGATTTGAGAAACGCCATCTGGCTGTTTGGGTCTTTTAGCATTATCTTGCTCCCATTTAGCACCCACAGTTCTTAATAGAGTACACAAGCATTCAAGTGCCTCGTCATCTTTTTGCTCAATAAGTCGAAGAATACAGCTATCCATGATAACAACGCTGAGCATATTAAACATGTACAATTCACCGATAAATTTGATGATTCCAAGACTACGTTTTCGAGCTTTTCTTTTATCCTCATCGAGTTCAAGTTCAGCTATTCTTTTCTTTTCTGGATCGTTAATTGATGCAATTTCTTTCAGACGACCTTCAATGTCGATGTCCTTGTAAATTCCGCTTTCAAATTCTTTTTGACATCTTGAAAGCAATGCTTGACGAAATTGTTTCTCTTTAACTTTTTCGTCCTTTTCACTAGTATCGTCTTTTTTATCATTAGATTTCTTCGATTTTTCTGCCGTTGAAATATGCTTACACAATTTAGCATAATCTGTACAAAAAGCCGGTTCATCGACAGCTTTATCGAAAATGAGCTCTAAAACCTTAGTAAGCCTATGTTCAGTATCGATAACTAAAGCATCAACCTGTTTAATAAGGTCGTCATATTTTTGGGGTGTCAACTTGTTCAGAATACCTCTGAATCGTTTGACCAATTCAACCGTCTTCTTTTCTTCTTCATCTGCACTATCGGTTGGCTTAAGAGCTGGGATAGCAGGTTTCCATGCATTTTCGACGGTATGTAGAGAAATATCTTGATTAAGTGAAGGAGAGGGAATAATTTTTATTGGTGGCTTGGATGGCCTGAGTTCTCTACTATTTCTACCACCAATACGAGGTGGTAATGAGCGATTATTACGAGACGGCGCCATGTAAGAGGGAAGGAAATCATTGATCCGATTTGTTTGCTTCTCTCTGTGGGGTATTGGCTATAAAAAGTAAAGATATGATTAAGTATGTGATATGCAAACCGAAAGTATTCACCAAAAAATACACTTACCACTTGTTGAACAATGTCGAGATCTGGGAGGTCGGGTTTTTTCAAAGACAATGGGTGACTTTGTAGAGATCGTAAGAATTCGGCCTCATATTCATACTTTCCTTTAGAATTAACTTTAGGATAATCTAAGGCTGGTTTTTCGGTTTCTGAAGCATCACCGGCAACTTCATTTGTTGAAACTGAATCAGCTGAGGCTTCAGATACATCTTTTGGAGAAGAAAGTTCGTCTTGAGGAGAGACCGAGTCTTCTCTAACCATCACAGCTACATGATCAGCGTCGCTCGGGACAATTGATCGAATTTCCTCGGATGGAGTGTCTTTAGCTTCGGATACCGGAGAGGAGTCGACTGATTTTGGAATATCTTTATTAGCGGAAGATATTTGAGTTGGCTCAGCAGCTTTGAGCTCTGGTTTATTCTCAATCACAGTTTTGTTAAAGGGTAGAGTGGTCGAGCCATTAGTGGGTTTAATTGAGTCTTTTTTGGGCTCTGGTAGTACATCAGTGGCAATCGTCACTTGGTCATTATCTATTCGAACATCTAGATTACTAATTTGTTCTTTAACTTTTTTCTCTGGACCAGCTTTGGCTGATAAAATGAAAAAAGAATACATTAAAACAAGTACGAGATAACACAATTAATTATGTATTAAGAGCTAGGGGAAAAGTATACAAGAGTTGATTGAGAGAATTATGTTTCAACGGTAATCGAGCACAACAAAGTAATGAGACAAAAATAAATCATCCTATCAGTATTTTATTTCAAACAAAGTACGCTTCAATTGACATGTATAAAACAAACCAGATTGAGTCTGAAAAATGAAGTCTTGTGGGGCAAGTCTCAATCAAAATAAAAACCATAAAACAAGCTAAGTAAATATCTGAATAGAAAATCTTTTAAATACCATAGAATGATAATTAATTCAGCTAGAGATCATGCACAAAGCAAAACACACATACTATTGATGAATAATTTAAGTTAAATGTGACATTTGAGATTTTAAAGATAATTGGATGTTTACACGTTGACAATAATCAGTGCAATTTCAATGTGGAAGCTGAATTTTGATGGTGCAATAATTAAAGAAAAATAAACAGAGACGCAAAATGAAAAACAATTGATAAACTGAAACCGTTCAACATGAAAAACGATTAGCAGCTCGACATGTGACCCAATTAATGTTCAATTTAATCTCAATTTACTACTTCTATCTTCTACTAAAAATTGTAAGCGCAACTAAATTTCCGGATGATCAACTTCTCTCAAAAATCAGTCTGGAAAATGCATGAAATTTTACATCACTCTATCAAAGATGAATTCAGCATTTAAGTTCATCGGAATAGTTAGATAAAATCATTTATCAACTGTTTCAAAGCATAGTCTAGTATAAATTACCCTTGTAGTTTTGTCTTAGACTTAGAACATTGCTTAATGATGTAACACAAAAATACACTTGGAGCTACCAAAAAAAACGTTGAAAAGATACGGAAATTGCAAGATGAGAGAGATAGGAATAAGGAGATTGCGTGTAAAGAGAAACAAGCGTGAAAGAGAGAGAAACAGTTTTCAATAGGAAAGAAATGAGAAGTAACATGAAATTGAGAACCACCGGTAATCTAAATAACTCAAGCCAAGAATTTCACAGAGTTGTGTCAACCAAAGCCGGTGAGAGTTATTTGCTTTTTAATATTAGAAGTCAAATTCTTAATGACTGTTCGCCAAATTAATCAATAAAGTTAACTGTTTGAGTTTTTATCAAATGAATGAGATTTAAAATGTTGATGTAAAGACAGGCAAAAAGAGGAAATGGAAACAAAACAGACTGTAAAATGTGATGACTCAATCTCTTGGTTGGTGAAAAGGGTATTCAAAGAAATTGGAATCGGAAAATAACCCGGAATCGATCAAAATCAGTGTTCAATACTAAGAACCTAGGAATCATTCTAGAAATTCCATGATTGAACGCTTAATGAACTAGATATGCAACAGTTTAGATGATTAGAAATTAAATACTAAACCATGAAGTGGTCAGCAAATAATTTGAACGTGAAAAGATAAAACTGAAAAGGAACGAGTTAAAATAGCATAAATTCACGGAAATAAGAGTGGAGAACGAGCCTATTAATCGAAACCAGATTGAATGAATTATGAATAAGGAAAATCAGAAGCAAAATATAGCAGTAGCGTTGTTGGCAATAATTAGCTCTGAAGGTTAATAGTTAATTCAAAGAGACTTAGAGGTGAGAGCAAAGGAGATAACAATCAAATAAAAGTAGGAAAGGTAGATTTGCCGAAGAGGTACGAATAGACAGAAATATTTCAATGATAACCTAAAATAATCAATTTGAATTCTCAAAAAATCTGCATTAGGAAACAAATAAACTGATGAAATAAAAAGATCCATGTTGAAGCTTTTAAAAGCCATGTTGCACCTATGACCTTAACTTTGAAGGGCAAGGTTTAAATGAGTATACGATAGTTAGAGATAGTGACTCATGACGATTGATTGATTGTAAGAGATAATACAATGAAAGATGGGTCAAGTAGAAATATGAAGAAGTTGAATAGTTAAGTTGCCTCTCTGAAACCAAGGCGACATTTAAGGAGACATTGCTAAACTATAAATGCATTCAGTGACTTCAGCCAAATACCAAAATAATCAAGACACCAAATATAGAAATGAGGAGTGAAAATAGACGAGTGTGAAAATCTAAAACGGTAAATCTATCAAACATCAAGATATACACAAAACACAGAACTTGAAAATAGAAGAACATGAAATAGAAGATGTAAGGTAAAATCTGAACACAAATAATTGTTAACAATTAATGATGAGGTAAATCGATGCTGATGTAGCTGAACAGTTAAAACACAATTGTAAATACTTACTAGATTGTTTTCTATTCTTTTTTTTCGAGCCCATACTATTATGAGTTAAATCTCCAGATTCTTTGGATTGATGATGATTATAATTAGTACAATTGTATAAATCTCGATGATGAAGAAAACGATTACTGTTATGGTAGACTGTTGAAGATATACGTAAAGTAGTAGTAGAATGAGAAGAAGCACTTTTTAATCTATGTGAGACATTGTTTGATCTACTGATACTATGACCAGTTTCACTGGGCAACAATGTAACAATTGTTTCACGATTCTTAGCCATCTAAAGGAAAAAACTCTTTGCAACAAATTTTATCGATAAAATAATCATAATAGATTACTATTGGATATTTTATCAGTGAGATAAACTTTCAAATTGGTGATAAAAACACAATTATTGGGGAGATAGAAAATGAGTAAATAAAAAATGGTATGAGAAATAATCAAAAGAGAAAAAACGATGGCAAAGACACTCTGAAGTAAAAAAAACTTGTCTCACAACAATCAAGCACAGAAAAAAATGATAGGGAAACAAAAACAAAATTAAACACTGCTAGCATCCATGTAAAAAAGTATCCAAAGGGGACAAGCTAAAGTGTGATTTACAAAAAGGAGGTAATTCAAGTTAGGGGGTTGAAAACCAGAGATAGATAGAGAATATAAAATTGTGATACTGACGAGATGGAGTGAGAACTAGGTGGAGAGAGCGAGTTACATAGGAGGAAATGAAGTTAATACACAGAGTGGAAAAGTGGAAGAGAGCAAGTTAAAGGAGAGTGGAGCCACGTGATTGATACTAGGGCAAAATAATGTAAATTTTTTAAAGATCCAAATTTAGAGCATGCTAACATCACATAACGAGGTGAGTAAGATACAAATAGAGTGTGCAATCTATTATCGTGGCGAAAATACGACTACACCACTGACTGCAATTTTCTTGAAACAATGGCTAGTCTGAAGAAATCTTCAGAGTTACGATTAACCATCAACCAACTCTTATTTTTTGGATATAGAAGATTTGAAGAAGGAATAGCTCTTAGAATGCAATCAGACATACCTGATTCGGTACCAGATGGTTTAGCAGCCTTATCAGCGGTGGATTCACCCGATTTAGTCGGCTTCACAGATTTTTTAGATTCTGAGTTATCTGGAACACTATCATCTTGAGATGATTTAATCGGAACATCTTTTTCTGTGGTAGATTCCTTCTTTTTAGGAATATTTGAATCACTAGACTGCTCCGCTATTTCAATAGATTCTGCACTTTCATCAGAAGTCTCGGTTTGAATAATCAAAGTAGGTTCTTTACTTAATGACTGAGGGTAAGTATCATTTGGGAGCGTAGCTTCTTTTCGATTAGTCTCTGAGGCAGATTTATTAGTTTTATCATAAATATTCGTTTTGTCCTTTAAAAATGTTGCTGTTGCAGCCTTAGTTATACCGTCCATAAACTCCTGTGTCTTTTGAGAACGATCATCCGTTGCCTAAGATTAATTGTAAAAAAAATCGTAAAAAAGAAAATGGAAACTGAGTCAGAAAAGTGCCAGATATACAAAGAAACTGCTTTAAATGAAAATATGCAAACAAACTTACAGATGCTGCATTCTCACGCGTTGTTGATGTGGCATTGCTTGTGGAAGATTTTGAAGGCTTAGTCTCGGGCTTTAAAGGAACTGGTGATCTGAGATCATCATCAGTTAATACTCTATCAGTGTTGGGATCCCGAATCTCTGCTTTCTTACGAGCTTTGGGTTCATTGGTACCCTTAGGAGGCACCACCGGTGCAGCCATGTGTTGCATCCCTGGGTTCACAGAATTCACATCTTGTGCTGGAGGTTGTGTCATATATTGGTCATTATAATATGAAAGATTCTCATTGCTTGTTACCATTCCCTGACCAACATTGTAAGGTTGATTTGAGGTTGCTCCCGGTACAGTTCTAGCAATAGCAGCAAATTGAGGACTGTGTAAAAGGGCATGGTTGGGATAGAATATAGTCGGTATTTGCGTCATGTACTGAAAAGGTATTTGTTGATGTTGGTTAGGCGTAGGGTACCTCTGTGGCATCTAATGAAAATATAGAAATTTAAATTAATAAAAGCACAAGGATTTAAAAACCAATAATTCCAATTAAATACCTGAGGCGGCATTTGATGATGCATCAGACCAGGTTGACTGTGACTCATATATTGATGATGAAAAGGTATTCCAGCGTTAGATACGGCTTGAGAGATATTTGCTGAATTAGGTTGCATTATGTGTCTTGTCTGATGGTTCATGGTTTGTGGCCTATTGGCTCCAAAAGTACGCTGTGAATTGTGGTTAGGTTGGACACCACTATGTGAAAACCCACCATTTCCTCCTCTGTTTGACATTTCGTAGTGTATGTGGATACTATATTCACTACACTTTTTTCTATTTTACACTTAATCAGATGTAAGAATAATTAACAGGGGAAACATTAATAATGACAGAGTTAATTAAAAAAAATTAGATTGAGGGACAAAGAGTAAGGAGTTACTTTACTCTTTGGTAAGGGACCTCTTTTGCGATGCTCTTGTCAATGTGTTCAAGCAACACAGCAGCTCCCGGAAGTTCAGCTTAAACTGCACAAAATGGCGACCGGTTGGTTCGTTTGGTTTGTTCCATCCTCACTAGATGGCTCTAATTCGATTCACATTTTTTTCGCCCAAACTGTTTAAAACCCAAAAAACAACACGAAAGTTACCTTTCCCGATACATTCATTGATTCTTAATGGGCAATTAATTGTTAACGAACTCCAAATTTGCACTTTCAATCTCGTCCCATGTTAGTGGCTAGCACTCAGAGCGACCAGACAAACCTTTTGTCATCACCTTAACCATTTCCTTTGAACATCGAGAAGATCCGAAGGCGAAATCACGAAAATCTTAAAATTGATTATCTTCACTAATTTTGTGAGTAAATTCAAAATGGTAAAAATTAAAATTGTTTGGCTTTGTTTTACATGAAGACTGATTCTCGTTCGAGTTATCGATATGCTCGACACTGTAACAAGTTGAAACAGAAACAAGTTGCAAGTAGAAGACACTTGATTAAACTAAACTAAATTAAACTGAAATAAAATGAAATGGAAGCAATAGTTCAATTAGTATTAAGACGATTATTCATAAATCTTTCGACATTAAAAGCAAAATTAGTCAAATTTGTCATCAAACTTCGAGTTAAACTTTTAGCTTGCTTACATTAAAAATATAACTTTCTGATAAACTGAGAACAGAAAGTCCGTTCTTGATTTAAATGAGACTAATTAGTGTCTGGTTAGAAGTAATAAATACAAAATTATGGCAAATTAGTCCCATAATTAACTGAAAGATGTAAATTTGTCATAATTTAATCTTTTAAACAAGCAAAATCAGAAAAACATTAGACCTTAAAACCTTAAGACAATTATTAAATCGATTGATAATCATATTAATTGCTGGTTTAAAAGTGTTGGTCAGATAAAAACAGTTTACTCAATTTGCCAAAATATGTAAATGTCCAGCAAATAGTCAGAGGTTTAGTTATAACTCTCAAATAATTTCTCATCAACTGTGCATAATTGTTCAAAATTTTGTCCTCAATTCGCTTCAATCTTCACAATTGCTGTCAACGTTCAACTGATTTTTTAACTCAAATAACACGTTCTATTTCTCAATCTTGCAACGTTGATCGATCAAATTTCAGGTTACAATCAAGTTTAAGGCAAGTTTATAATTGATTGGTGAAAGTGTTTTATCCTCTTATTAGATGTAAAAACTGAATTTTCAATGAGACTCACCCAGCTTAGATTTTTATTTTTATTGGAAATATTCAATAAAAATTTAAATGGATTATATTTTGATTTGACAATACAATTAAAATTGGAACAAAAATTTTCCAATTTACCTCTCCGTTGCTCGATAAATAAGCAGTGGAAATAAGCTATTTTAAGATATTCACATTTATTGGTTAGTTTGCTTTTAATAACAACAGTTTGGTTTATTAATAAAATATCAAGATTTTAGCTCAGAATTTTTGTTCAAAAAATTGATGTTCCAACAGATAAAGTGGACTTGGTTGCAAAAATCTGATTCATGTTCATTTGGGATTATAATAATAGACATTTATTAATTATTGCTATTGTTTGTTTGGTTTCTAAGCGATACTAGACTGTAAATCAGATTTTTTACTTAAGCTTTTCACTTCTATTCTCAAACATCTGAATCTTTGCTGAGCTGGTTTTAAAAACCTCTACAATTAACACCATGAATTAGATGTTATTTTTTTTTCTTTGTATGCTTATTTAAATTATCGCTGCCTGATTTTTTGACTCGTTGTTTAATGACCTCTATTTGTAAAACTTCACCGTGTTGAAGAAGTTATTCCATTTTTTTTTGTTCAAAGACCAATATTTTTTGCTGCCTCTTCAATCAAATATGGGTGAGTTTTACATTAGAATTGATTGAAAATTGAACTATTTATATTGACTTTAATCGCTGATAGAATGTTAATCCCTGTAAACATGTTCTTACCCATGAATTCTTTATTTTTATCTATTTCAGGGGGCCTTATTAGCTATTTCAAATCTCTCATTGGTTCCCGTGAGATGAGGATTTTGATTCTTGGTTTAGATGGTGCCGGTAAAACAACCATACTTTACAGGTTACAAGTTGGTGAAGTTGTAACAACAATTCCAAGTAATGAAACAATTTTCTTGACCCTTGAATATTATTTTTCGGGATAACTCAATCTATTTTGTTTTTTATTCAACAGCAATTGGTTTTAACGTGGAACAGGTTACTTACAAAAACCTTAAATTTCAAGTGTGGGATCTCGGAGGACAAACTAGCATAAGGCCATATTGGCGATGTTATTATTCAAATACTGATGCAATCATTTATGTGGTTGACAGTTGTGATAGAGATCGTTTGGGTATATCAAAGCAAGAATTAGTTTCCATGTTAGAGGTTGGTTCTATATCTTCAATGTCTTCTGTTCTATGATTTAATTGTGATGTGTCTTTATTTTCTTTCATTATCGCATTCAATTCTATTATATCCTCCATGGCCTTGAATATTTTGCTATCTAAACTTGGATTATCTTGCAATAATCTTGATCGTGGGGCCACCATATGGTTACTATCAATTAGGAAGAAGAATTAAAAAAAGCCGTTCTAATGGTTTTGGCAAATAAACAGGATCTCCCTCAAGCAATGAGTGTAGCTGAGATTCACCAGGCCCTTGGCTTGGATGCCTTAAAGAATAGAACTTTCCAAATTTTCAAGACATCGGCCTTGAAAGGCGAAGGACTCGATGAAGCTATGGAATGGTATGTTGATGTAACTGTCAGTCGAAGTAGATTTGTCTTCGAAATCTCACTGACTATTATGCGTTATTTGAATGTTCAATATTAACTACAAAGTGCAAAAAGATTTTTTCTCAGAGATTAATCAACATCTTATTCATGCAATTCCCGCTTGCATTAATCCAACTCATGTGAAAATCTCCTTGTGTTTTGATATTCAAATAACGCATAGTTTAGTTATGTTGCTTATGTGTTACATGCAATATCTAATTTTTCATCGATACGTGATTTATTTTATCTAATTGTTTTATTTCTCTTCCTTTTTAGGTTATCCAACGCTTTAAGTATGAATAAATAGATTTCGCATACTTTTGTCATCAAATCCATAAAATTATTGAAATTAATAAAATCCTCTTTAAGCCATTTTCTTTTCGCGAGAAGAAAAATTATCTGATTTTCAATCTTAACTTTATAAATTATTTTATGTCTTTTGTAATTCAATGTTAACTTAAACCTTAAAATCTCTTAGAATGATTTAATATTGAAAATACATCTGTGAAAATGGAGTTAGACCTCGATATCTTAATGAGTCTGGGATATTTTTTTGATTGAAATCACTTAAAATGATTTCTAGTCAGCTACAGCCTCTTTCCATATCGAGAACTAAATCAATTGTCTATGAATGGAGTATAAGTAATCAATTGTTTCTTTTAATAAACATATAAAAGCAACTTGCGAAAAAAATTTAATAATTAAAGATGAAATGAAATCTAATCTAACAATACCATTGAATTGTTCACAGAAAATAAACAAAATACAACAAAGATTGCAAGAGATTGAAAGAGATTTTTGAGTAAAATTCATAAAAAATTTATCATTATATATTAGAAAGCTCTGAATGAATCTTGACTTGAAGAAGATAATTTAATTCCAATGCTCTGCGTTGAACTTATTGGGTTTTCATTGTCTAATAAAAGCCCGAAAAGCAAGAAACTTTCCTTCAATTTCCGTCACTACATAATTTAATCCTGGAGGTATAAAGTAAATATTGCTTTTCTTTAATTTAACCGTCGGGTTGATTCTGGCTGATCCACATTCGATTATGATCAATAATGATGCGCTATGTAAGCCTTCGAATCGATATTCCAATGTTTTTGATTGATTTCCATCGATTTCTATTTTTTCGATAGCAAATTCGTCAACAGAAGGGGAATATAAACATGTGAAAGGATCCTTCAAAGTCGGCTTTAAAATAATTTCATCGATAGATTTAGGTTTGTAAGTCATTGTTTCACAAAGCAAATCGACGTCTTTATATTTAGGTGTCAATCCAGCTCTAATTACATTGTCAGAGCAAGCCATTATCTCAACGCAATCTGAGGAGAAATAAAATTGTGATTAAAAAATAATAAAACAATGGATAATTCAAAGCTTACCTCCTGATAAATAACAATGAGGTTGATTGACATCGATAAATAAAGCTTGACCAGGCTCTAGTTTAACGTGATTAAGGAAAAAATAAGCAAAACTTCCAACATCACCAGGGTATTCACTTGCGATCTCGGAGAAGATTTTCAAATCATTGTCACCATTATCATTAGCGGCCATTTCCAGCAAACTTTTGATTTTATCAGCAATTATTTCTTGTGGTTCTTTTAGCAACTTAACAAAACATTTCTTCAAACATTCAGCTCGATCATTTTCATTTGCGCTTTCATACTCGGCAAGCAAATCAATTCCAATCAAGTCTCCTAACTGCTGGTACCGTTTTGCGAAATTGATAATCTCATCATGAGGACGAAAGTAAGCAAGACCCGTGAAAGGAGTCAAGGCAATTGCCATCTCTGGTTTATGATTAGAATCAGGATAATGTTCAGGGCGAGTCTTAAAAAGTTGACCAGCCAAGGATTTATCTGGGTGCACTTGAATGGATAAGGGTTTATTGACAGATAACACTTTGAATAGGAAAGGTAATTGATGACCATATTTTTTGTATATATCCATGTTTCCAATAAATTCAGGAAAAACAGAAAATAAATCAGCTAACGGTCGATTGTCCAGGTCAGGGCCAAGATCACGAATGCATGATGAGCCCGATTTATGCGTGCCCATCCAAAGCTAAAAAGAGTTGTGAGAAATAATGACATTAAATGACTGATCGGTGAAACAAAAATATCTTTTTACCTCTGCATACGGCAAATTTTCATCAATCGGTATCCCTTGATCAATTAATATCTGACCAACAAATGAATTGCTTCCAATTTTTCCCCAATCGTAATTTTTGACTGGACATTTGAGAGAAATCACTGAAATATCAAGATCAAAGTAAGATGAATTGAAATTTTACCATTTATTAGAAAATGAAAGCAAATAGTTAAATTTTAAATCCTAAATTGGTAGAATCTTCCAATTTAATTGTGGATTGTACATTCAACAAGATAAATAAAGACTGAACCACTATTTAATCAGAAACATAAAAATTATATCAAATATTGAATTAACTCACTTTTGTTTGGATTTGATGATTTGTTTTGATGACAATTGTTTCAATTCTCAATGATGAAGATTTGAATTAAACAGTATTTCTGAAGGCCCTAAGCTGCTGAACGACAAAACAAAAATAAAACAAACAGCAGCGAGTAAGCTTATTATGCTCATGATCAAAAGCTTGATTGACTTAAATAGTTCTGACTATAACAGTAACAATAGCAATTCGACTTTTAATTTTACCTCGCTTATTTTGAAAATTCAATTTTCTACAACAGATGGCGATAAAGTACCATTTACATCCATCCAAGATCCATTTCCGTCGGAACTTTCAAAACTGTATTTAAAGCACGAGTGAACCCACATTGTCCCTTGTCCCTTGTCCCACGTTGTTAGTAACTTGACTCTGGTTTGAATTATGCGTATCTCTGGGCCAACGCCATTATTATCCACGGTAAGTCACCATTTCCAATTGTACTCTGATTATTTTAACCAATGATTAAATAATATCCAGTTCTGCTACTGAATTTACACTGAAGACATCTATACCAAACTTTATGAGAATAGAATTGAGTTATCCATATAAATTTATTGGAATACAAGTTACTAATTGGTCTTTTATTTTCTTACAGATACCTTATGGTTTTACATGAATCGAATTGATATTTCAAGCTGTGAAATGGTCTCTTGAACTTTACAATGGGGTAAGTTTTCAATGCTTTCTTTAACTCACCACTACTAGTTCTAAATGATGGAAAACTATGTTTCATTGTATGACACATGATTACACACCCAGCTCTCTGAAAACGTTAATTGGTACAAGCCATTGACCCAATTTCTAAAACTTTTATTAATTAAGGTTTTATTTTTGATTCTTTCAACAGGTTCCATACCCCTTAGCCCTTGAATGGATTCTTCGGGCTTGGTCTTCTTACAAGATCTAATTGCTAACTGCTGATCTTACCACCGAATCTGGTTTTGAAGTGATGTTGGTGAATGATTCAATGAAATTAATCTTGAAAATGTATTGTGAATTTGAATTTACATTTTAATTGAAGAAACTGTTAATAAATAAATAATCTATTGATATAATTGCAGGTGGTAATTTTTTTTCTCGGAAAGAAAACAATTTTTATATTTGTTTGAATAATCTGAATAAACAGGCAAGTTCAGTTTGGGCGGATTTTAATTTTCCCTCCGAGTTTGGCAAATTTTTCAACATCCAAGTTGATTAAATAATGAAAGTTCTCATCGGGTTAGAATGTAAATTGTAGCGAACGTAATCGTTTAGTCATTTTTGATTTTCGAGTTCAAAATCCAGTGAAGGAGTTTGCCCTCAGTTTGATTGTTTTTTTGATTCAAGTTATAAATTTTATAAATTTGTAAAGTAGTTGGTAATGATAGAATAAATTTTCCTAGTTGATAAATAACATTCAATATTCTATATTGCACGTGTTTCGTGTCCGACGTGAGTATTTAAGAGCAAATTTATCTCCAAGGATACTTGTTACTTCAAGAGCTTTGTCAAGCATTTCTTTGGTATGAGAGGCTGAGAGGCAGAATCTAACCCTTGATTCAATTAATGGTGTTGCAGGATAACCTGCTCCAACTGTAGCTACACCTAATTTTTTAGCTCCAGCAACGAAAGCACTGAAAAAAGAGAGAACAAGAGTGATAAACAAAAGATAAATTAAATCTGTTTGATTGGTTGGAAAGGTGATAAGGGTGGAACTGTCAACAAGAAATTAACAAAGACTGAGGATAAAGAAAATTGCATTGAGATGATCAATACTAGGTACTTCAACTTACACAATTTTTCCTGGAAAATAAATTAGTAATGGAACAACTGGTGAGTCATCGTTACCATAAACAATAAAACCCAGTTGTTTAAGTTTCTGGCGAAAATATCGTGAGTTTCTGGCAAGTCTTGATATCCTTCGTTGTCCTAAATTGCATGCAAAGAAGAAAAGATCATGAATAAGTTATAACTCAGGATGATTATACCAAAAAACCTGCTCTATTAAACTGCAACTTTTGTGAATTAATAATGACATTGCATGGAATAAATAAAATAGCTTATTTACCTTCTCCATCACCCACAGTTCCCATTATGGTCTTGAGTACACCTAATATTTGTTGGGCAACTGGAGCTGCCATACTACTAGCATAGCCAAAACTATGAGAATGTAAACGAATGTGATTCATCAATTGTTTTGAACCAGCAATATAACCACCGGCCGAGCCAAAACTTTTAGTGAATGTTCCCATCAAAAGGTCAACATCTTTTGTGTCAAGACCAAAATAATCGCACACTCCTCTTCCGTGTTCTCCAATAGCTCCGATACTATGAGCTTCATCCAAATAAAGATATACTCTATACTTTTTCTTGAGTCTAATTATCTCAGGTAAGTTGACGATTGAACCTTCCATGCTATATACACCTTCAGCAACAATAATAATTTTTTTCCATGGACGAGAAGTTCTTGGTTCACCCTCGACGATAGCTTGACGAAGTTTGGCTTCCAAGTCAGTCATGTCTAAAAGTGCAATAAGAAAACATAAAAGTCATGATAATGTAAGATCCAATGTTCAAAGATAAATATATAAAAGGAGTGAGAGCATACCGTTGTGCTTGAAAACCTTGATTGTTGCACCAGATAATTTACATCCAAGAATGAGAGAAGCATGATTTAATTCATCACTCAAGAGGAGACAACCTTTTCCAGCAAGTGCGGGGATGTTAGTAGAGTTTGTCGCAAAACCCATTCCAAATACAACAGCATCTTCAACTTGCAAAAACTCAGCTAAAAGTTTCTCAAGCTTATGATGAATATCCAATGTACCTAAAAATACATATAAAAATTAGATGAGTAATGCTCACATAGAAATAAGTTTTATAAGTTTTGAGTCATTGATTTGTAGATAAAATTACTTTTCATCTATTGTTAGCAACTTTCGAAACAATTTTTTACAAATAACTGTGAAAAGTAACAAAGTCTCAATAAAATCAAAGAAAAATATCTAACGCTCATGCAGCAATATATTCCAAGTTTCAAGTGTTGCAATATGGTTTGATTCAATCAAAATCAACTGAGAAACAAAATGAAACTCAGAATATGACGTAACAAAAATCGATAAGATCCATATTATATTTAAACTAGAAAGACAATAATCAATTGCAACTCATAACTATGAGTAATACATACCGAATTCATGCCTTGGAGATCCAACATTTGTTCCATATTTTAAAATACTTTCTTGAACTTCATCTGCTCTAGGACCAACATTTTCAGCAAATCCTAAGTAATTATACGATCCCATGTTGATACACTTGCTTGTTGTTCCCGGGAATCTAAAGTTGAGTTTAGAAAGAATGAAAAACACCACTTTAATTATCCAATTTCACAAAATGCTTGTCAGTAAATTTTTTATCATTGAAGTTTTGCTATGAAATAATTCTTACCTGAAAGTCCAATTGTAGTCGTCAGTATCCCGATCCATAATATCAATGGTTGTACCAGGCAAACTACAGATTGGTTGATTCCAACCATGGCAAATACGGCGATAAATATTTCTTGTATAAAAGCTTTCATAATTACTGTATAACGGCACATAACCCTAAAGTAGGGAAAAAGGGAAAAGATGAAATGACAAAAACAAACATAACTAAAGGTAGGGATTCTAGAGCGCATAACTTACCGGTCGGTTACGTTCAACGGCACATTTGTTCTTCTCTATACCAGTGTTCCGAAGAAAATCACGTAAATGTCCAAAAAAATTCAAAATAACATAGGAAATATAGCAAAGAACGATTATTATGAATGGAGTCGCTTCATATTCTTCAATCAATTTAACCGATGAACTCTCTTCACCAGGAGAAGTCTTTTTCAATCCATTTGACAAACCATTGGAACAGCCATTAGATAAACCTTTGGGTAATCCATTAGCTTTACCATTTGATGAACCATTTGACAAACCATTTGATAAACCATTTGATGAACCATTAGATGTACCATTCGATATACCATTCGATTTACCGGTAATAGAATTACCATTGGCATAGCCGTTAAGCTTACAAACCATTGTTCCGTTTGACATCTAATAGTTGTCACCAGAGCAGAAAATATATGATGAACGGAAAATGGAGAGAGAGAGCGAGAGAGTTGAAATGAGAAGGGGAAGAATCGGTTAAGAGTAAAAAGGAGGAGGAAGAGGAGGGAAGATAGGAATGATAAAGAGTTACAGAGGAATGTTTTGAGTTTACCTCTAAGTACGTCAGACCAACTTATTGGAAACCTAAAATATACAGGTGTACAGTATATGGCTTATAAGGCGCCAGAGCAAGGAATGATGATCAGTTACCAAAGTAACCGGTTATTAAGTTAATAATAATAAATAGTAGATGCTCTTGGAACCGGTTACTTCAAATTTAGTATACGTTACTATTTTTGCTCATCATTGCTATTTGTTTAAAACTTGTTAGTAAATCATCTTAAATTTAATCAAATTTAAACTATTATAGAGATTATGAGCGGTACTTAAAAATTTTGAAACATTCTCAGTATGTTGTGAGACTGATCAAAACTTTGACATAACCTATTTTATGATCTATCAGGCATCAACCAGAAAGTTTCTATCAACTACTAATATATTAATAGCAAAATTTACTGTTAACCTTCTGAAACCAATTAACCGTGAAAAATAATTAATGAGCTAATTTTAATAATACAGTTACAACGAAACATGAAAAATGTTATAGACTGTTGAACAAATTTGTTTTGATTTGTTTCGCCGAAACACATCTACATTATTAATGACAATTTTGTTTAATACACTTTATAAAATTGTTTGATAAAATTATAAGTCTTTCGATTGTTTAACGGTTTCATATTACGCTGTATCATTAATTAATTTGAAGAGTCTTAATGATAATTTAGATTTGAATATAAGATAATACAAATAATGGTGCGATTTACATTTAACTTGAACAAATGTAACTATTTAATCTGAATCAGATTAACATTGGATTGATTCACCGTTGCTCAATGCAATTGAATGAAAGATAATTAAACTGATTGAGTTAAATTATGAAAATCGATATGAATAAGTGAATATATCTGAAGTAAATGATTGATTCATTGGTTTTATACATTAATCAGTTTTCTATTTATTCAGCTGTCAATGAATCTAATTACATTATGATATTATGAATTTACCTTTTTGTTTCTTTATTTGTTTTGAAAGCAAACAAATAATTTTTTAAAATTAACAAACCGATCATTATATTTTAACTAAATACTGTGGTTAATTAGTGTAATTATTTGAGATCGTCATTGCATTGCAATGAAAATAGTCTGTTATTGTCTACAAATAATCTATAATGAAACGTTAAAGGGTTTTACAATCAATTTGATCTTTGAGATCGACATTTAAACTTGAAATAAACCATGATTTAAAAATTAATTGTTGTCTAGAAGAATAGTTTAATAGTCTTTGCATAATATCAAAATATCAAATAGGTAATCGTACATATAAATATGAGATGACAATTAATTTTGTATTCTTTGAAGCAAGATCTTTAACATATCGCTCAATAACGAGTTTCAGTTCAATTTTTAACTAGAGTTCGATAAAGAGTAACAAACGAGAATTGTTGAGGCATAGACATGCGAGATTAGGTTTCACAATAAGAATTAAATAGAAACACAAATTAATTTTAAATTAACATAGAGACCAATAAGACACAATAGGAATCATAAGATAGAAATTAGACGATGGTTGGGTTTTTGATGATATCATTTTCATACCAATTAACATCATCTTTGTAAAGATCCTTTTTGTTAATTGAGCTATCTTTAGTTATTGATTTACTGTTTGAAATGGGTCCATTTGACTTTAATGGGACTTGGTCTCTATAAGGCGTTACATGGCTGGCACTGGAAACTCCTTGAATTTTTGGATTCGAACTGATAAGCTTGTTATTTGAAACTTTCGGTGTTGTTGTGGTTACAGGAATTGAAGATGATGTTTGTTGAGATGCTATTGATGTTGTAGATGTACTATTGGTACTTATTAACGAGCTACGACTATTTCCCGATTCAGTCAAGGTTTTTTTACGATGTTTCGCACTGTACTTAAAGAAATCAGATAGCTCATAAGGTTTGGTTTCTTCCCAATATGGTTGAAAATGGCCCACGCTGACAACGTTAACTTCAACACCATTTGTCGCTGTCGGTATTGTTGGTGATAATGGAATCGACGGTGGTCGAGGAGAAACTTTACATGAACTAGTAGATGAACTACTATACTTGATGTTCCTCATATGTGAATCTATTTGTTCAGAAGGTTCAATATTCTCATAATCATGAGAATTTGCACTGACCACATCAATCTCTGGTGGATCATTGTAATAGATATTATAAGAGCTATCGTACTTTGGATCATGTTTACGTTCGATCTTACTGGGGTGTGAATCTAAATCAGTTTCAGACCAAACCTTAGGAGGAGGCATATTTGAATGACTTTGTTCAAGACTATCAGGGTTAAAGGTTGTTGCTTTAGTCGCAAAGAAAATATTATCATCATTATGAATGGTCGATGCTGAGCTGGGAATGGAGGAAGGCGTTCGTGGTGGTAGGTTAGGAGCAGGAGTTGATGGTTGACGGTTATTTATCAATTGAGAAGCATCAGTAGAGCTGGTCGAGATAGTGATTGCAATAGGTGTTCGAATGATAGAGCTTCGAACAGCTTTTGCACTTATATCGAGATGATCATCAGGTATTGATGACCCTTTACTAAATTCACAAACATTTTGATACAATTTAGATTCATCTAATTTAGAATTGTATGAGCAGGAATCAGTATTATGAATTGATGGTGAGGCTCGAGACGAAGATGATGAACAAGAGGGTGATGGAGGTGGTGGTAAGGGTCTCGAAGCCATGTTTATTGACGGAGGAGCAGGTACACATAATGGTTGAGTCTGTCGATGGCCTTTAGTGATCAGCTCGGGTTGTGCGAATTCTTCACAATCTTCTGTTAATACACTATTATTCAAGCAATGATAATGATGCTGAGGTTGGTGGTGCAAAGCTCCCGAAATGTGAGGTGATTGAATAGCTGAAACGTAGCTTTTTCTTCTGGTATTTTCAAGACTATCATTCCTGGTCAACAGGTTTAGCTCACTAGAGTTTTGTGCAATATTGGATAGCTTAGGTTCACCAATATTAGCCATACGTTGAGTTGATCCAACAGATTCAACAGTCACTTCTCGTTTGGGTAAACTGTAAAGATGAGATGAAACGGCATCCAAAGACTCACTTGAATTACGCGTCTGTAATAAAGATAAAATATTTCTTCTTTTGGTGTCATTTGTTACTCGGAAAATGCTGCTTTCACAGCTACTAGCACTTCCAAGCGAACATGAATCGTAATCATGAGAAAAATGTTCAGCCGTCTTACATCTTTCGGGTTGGTGGCTGTCAACTTCACATGTACCCTTTTCAAAAGGAAAATGGACAGAGGATGGACGAATATCATATCTGTTTGATCCGGGTGTGATGGTGTTAGGTGGTGAGATGGGCCTTATATGCCTCTCGGGTTCACGAAATTTTGCAGGGGTTGAAGGAGCTGAGGTAGACAGATAACTTTCATTGTGTTCAGCTGATTCTTCATCATCGTCAAACTGATTAATATCTGATACCAAAGCCAGACTACTTTTAGGTCTAATATTAATTGAAGCAGAGTCAGAACTGGAAAAATTAATCTCACTACGGGCACGCTGATTTTCATATTGACTTCCATCTTCCATGTTCTTCTTCATATCTAATAATTTTTTCTCTAACTCTTTCAATTTGAGAACAGCGTCTTGATAACTTTGAAATCTTTTCTTTTTAACATTCTTTTTGAGGTTAACTTCATTGGTTAATTTAAGGTTGGCTTTGACAATTTTCCTTTGAAGTTCCAATTCAAGTTCTAATTTAACCAGATTCTCTTCTTCAAAACACCGGGCCTTGAGAAGCAAATTTTGATTTAAAATAAACTCAGCACCAATTCGTTTACGAATCTGTGGCGCAGGTTCATTTGGATCTAAAGGAGTCTCTGGTGGAAGTTCCCCAATTATGTCTGCTTCTTTAAGACATAAAGATTTCAATTGTTGAAGCTTAAGTTGCAACTTTTCCTCCAAGGCCTGTCTCTTTTTCCTAAGCACTTCATAGGTGTCAGATTCTCTCATCAACAGGTTCCCATCATTATCACAAGGTATAGCTGGCAAACTTTGCGAGCTTACAGTTTTATAAACTGTGGTGGTCATTTTGATGATAAAGGAAAGTTAAAATCAGCCAATAAGATTATCAATATCCAGAATGGATAACTTTGATTGACCAAGATTATTACTGTTGGTAATGATAATGGTTAAAATTTTGATGAAGCCAAGAAGCCTGAACAAGGAATACGTATGAGAAATAAAATAAGAAAAACAAGAAGATAAAGTTAGATGATGATACAATTAGAGGGTGAGTTAAGTAGAAAAGGAAACAATTAGCAAATTACATGATGTAAACAAAACACTAATTAGGGTTATCACAGAAAGAAAACCAAAATGTAAGAGATAAAGAGAGGAAGAGATAAATAGCGAAAGATAGAGTGAGAGAGAGAGAGAGAGGGTCCTAAAAGAAAGTATGTTATAAAGAAAGAGACATAAGCACAATAAAAGAAACTTTGAGGCCCCTTGTCTTTCCTTTTCTGTTGAGTATAACTTAAACTTACTTACCTTTTTTTAAAATAAGTTCACTTAATTTTTGTCACTTGGTAAATGAAAGTTGAATTAATTACATAATAAAATCACAGGTGATATTTATAATAAAGTTGTCATCAAGTTAAACAAGTGGTTTTGGTGAGAAGAAACGTTCAAAAGAAACTTTTGGGATCCGGATATTTTAAAGAAACCACCTTAAAAACATTAATGTTTAGTTTGTCCAACTGATTGTAAAAATTTACCATATTTACTTGACACTGTTCAATTTTGATAAAGTCATCAGACTATGGTTACAATTATCCAACCTTTACCTGGTCCGATAATGCAAATTAATTGGAGATTAAATTTTCAAACAGGTTGGTACTCTTTAACTGAAGTATCTGTTGTTGTTTAAGCGTCGGGATCAAATCAGATGGGATCGATACTTGGTTGCTTGGTTACCTTTAAAATTGTAAACAGTGTTTCAAAAACAACCGATTGTTGCCTTTGTTTAAGCACAATATTTCAATATAAAACTGTTTCCTTATTAATCAAAACATCCCTATGAACACCCCTTGAATCACATATCCTACGACTCGTTAAATCTCTTCCAAATATGGCGCTTCTAACAGTCATAAGTCAACTACTCCCATGTCGTTGACTGATCCTCACTTTTTTTCAGAATAACAAACATTTGCATTTCGCCTGTAAAAGTCATGAGTTTCTGTCGGTGAATTTAACTGAGACCGAATCTCTTACTAAGAAACATTTTAATAACAGTTTTAGTTGCCACTGTCATCAAACTGATTATTAAGTTTCCTGACCATTATGGTTAGACTGATGGCTTAAGCTCCACCTCGCTTAATGTCTGCCAATTTTAACTATTTGAACGAACCACCTTTGATTAAATTCGTTGCCCATCTTAGCTGAATACTCGATCAACATGATGCCCAGGAAGTTGTATGTGAATTCAATTTAGCCTAATCAATCTTAGGAAGAGTGGCTCTTCGCTTTTATTAAGTTATGGTGTTGAATGGACTGACCAACTGCTAACCCAGAAATTGTTTATTTGACATGACAAAACTGTTCTCTCGATTGACCAGCAATAAGTGTTTGGGTAAAATGGTGTAAGATTTTAATTATCTTGTCCAATCCCTTATTGGCTTAGGATTAATCCACACTTTTACAATTGAAAATGAACTTCTGAAAGGTTGACTTCAACTGGCTAGAAATTGAGAGTTGAGAAACAAAGATTGAAAAATTGGAGAAGTCAATTTTCATCTCATCCTCTTTTCAGTTTTTGCTATCCAATAATAATTACTTTTCATATATTGACTGTTTTGTAATGAAAGAAGCTACCATGAAATCCATTTAATGGCACTTTTCAAATGATTACAACCATGAAAGTTTCCATTTCTACGCTTCTATTGTTAAAGGTTAAACAGCAGTTTAACAGTGAAATAGGAGTAAAGAAGAGAGAGAGACCAATGAAAGTGAGAAAAAAGAATGATTTTCTTTTCCATCAAATTAGGTCAAAACAGAATGAAATGATCATTTGAATAAACTTGTAAACACACAAAGTCACACATTTACGCACCTCAAGAACGATATAAAAGCCCAATCAGGCAACGGTTCCTGGTTTGATATTTCAATAGCAATTGATTGACTCTCGAATATTGATTGAACTAAAATTGCCTGAGGAAGAGGGGGCATTCAGAATCTCTCTCCTTCTTCTTCCTCTATATTCATGTTTAGATTCGAACAGGAAACTGAAACATCTTCCAATGCGCAACCTTATTCATCTCCCTCACTCTACCTCATCTAGTACATCACTGAGATTGTCTTCATCATCAACATCATCCTCATAACCATCACCATCTCTCATCATTCTTACCCGAGTCATATCTCATTATTATTATTATTACCAATATTATTATCAATAATATTGTCCCACTAATAATACATTTGTTTTAATGTTAACATTTCCATTAATATTATCGTTATCACTTTAAACTGGATTTGCTGTTGTGAACAAATTAATGGCCAATTAAAACGGGATCAACCAAACTCAGATATTTATACCAATATTGAACACACAACAAACTCCCAGCTGTATAGTCAACTACATTCAAGGTATGTTTTTCATCATCCATCTGATCAATTTACTCACAATACTTAGAATCATTTCCTTACCTTATCTCAATCCACACCTAAAAGCAAGTTAACCTTTCCATGTTTACCGACCTTTTTCCATGAATCGACTTAATATCATTTTACCAGCTTCTATCGTTAATTTGCACCTAGAAACCTCTTCGAATCGCTTACTCCTTCGTATATCCATTTTGTCAGAGCAACAACCAGTCTAATCTCATTTACATTGTTCAATCGTAAGAATATCATTTCAACAAATTAACTCAATTGATTTCTCGAATCAATCATTTACAATATCTTATTGTTGTCACTCAAGTAAACAAATAAATATAATTATGTGAATAAAATGGCAATAATGAGCGGTTCTCAAATGGGATGATCATCTCTTTGAGAGGCTCTCGAAAACAATCTCATCAATTGTAAGCAGTCTAACAAAAAAACTGTAACCTATTAATTATTATCATTATTTCATGATTACCTCAGCTTTATCTCCATTCAATTTAATTATATCATGGTTTTAATTGAAATAATTTTATTAAGTTAACCTTCTTTCATGTATCTGCTGTTTTAAATAATAACTTAGGCATAAGCAAAAAGAAAAATTATCTTCATTGAATTTTCCTTGGAAAACCACCAAAAGCTTCATTTTTAGTTCACATTCTAACCATGATTCTTGATTTATCTTCTTAAATATAACATTCTTAAATATTTATATATTTCAAAATTTTAATTTCATCTTTTCTCTTTCCATTTCCACAGTTAATTGGAATCATCAAAATTTGAATCTTAATTGAGAAAAAATTGGCGCACTCAGGAGTAAACATTACATTTGGCTGGAAAAGGTTTGACCCAAAGATTGCCAATTGTTTATGGTGGATGTTAAATGATTGAAACAATCAACCTGATCGCCATTATAAATAATAATCAAGATTCAAAGTATCCCCGGTCGTTCACGGGAGATAAATTGAGTACAGTGAAAAAGGTGAGAGATAGTGGGAGAGGAAGAGGGAGCTTGGAATAAAAATCCAGTTATTAGAGAGACAATCCGATTTAATTGTTCGCTGAATTCAAGGTAAATTTTATTGCAATATTTTCATAGCCACTTGAGCTATCTTTTCAACTAGACTTTTACTTCCAACCAAAACAAAATCTAATTCTTGTTTTTTCTTCGCTTAGCCACTATTTTCAGGCCTACCATATCTTCCTACTCTCTCCCCCTAACCTCTCTTTCCCTCTCTCTCTCACTCTATCTCTTCTCCCTTCTTATATTTTGCTCTCTTAATGGGAACTAGTTGTAGTTCATTAAAAAAAGAAGATAGACACAAATCATCAGTTGATTCTGGGTAAGTTATTAGAAATAGTCAATTTCTTCATTTTTAGTTTACTTGACCATTCATAGGTAATAAATACTCAAAGCAATCAATGTTCTAATTCAAGTTTCTACAATAGATGAAAAATTTCACTGTTATCTTTCTTCTCTTTCTTACAGGCCTCCAACAATCGAAGAGAGAAGATGCTCAAATAAAATAAGCGAAAACTGTCCAAATAATGGTTACGATCTACTAAAAGAGTCATCAGCAGGATCTTCAAGTAAAGATGATGACAAGAGAGGTCAATCATCATCTGTTGCCTCATCAGAATTGCATCCTGCCAAACAATCTTCTAATTTCAACCGTAAGTAATCTTTTTTGTGTCATCCACTGTTTTGTTTCTATTGATAAACATCTTCATTTCATGTATTGAATCTTCTCTAATACTGATAATTTATTTATACGTATTAAAGAAACGATTTGGCACTTTTCTCATTTTACTGTTTTGTTTATTGTTCATCTTGTACTAATCAAAATTTGGTTTTATTTTTTCCCTCTACCAGATGATAATCATCTTTGCGCTCCATCAGTCACACCATCACCATTACCATCATCTCAAACACCATCTCCTTACACAACTCCATCAGCCAACAAACAATTATCCATAACTTCTTCAGGATTACCGAATTTGGGAATTTTCTCCAATGTAATAAGAAATTTGCTAATCGGACAGAAAGTCACTTCACCAAGACTACCTCTCAACAAACAGCTGACTATTTATCTAGTGACCAATAATCTTGGTAAGTTTCTGCATCATTTAAGCAAATCAAGTTTTAATTTAATTTGATTTTATCTTTCTTGTTTGAACAGATAGATATGATCCAGTTGTCAATAAACTAGTGGAATCGCTTAAAAGCCAACTACTCTTCAAAAGCTATGAAATAAATTATTTCAACTTCAATCTCGATCATCTTAGTATTTACGATGATGAGCACCAATACAAAGAGATCTGTCTCAACAGTTTTAAATACCTCCAGGAAAGAGGTAAATTAATACCTCTAATCATTTTGGATGAGACGCCCGAAAGACGGTTACTTCCAAGGATTATCGACGATTCTTCATATAACCAAATAATCTCGCAGAGCAATGAAGAGGTTAAAAATTTGATAGAGAAATGGTATTTCAAAGATCTAAATCAGGAGCCACCTAGTTATATTCTACACTCAATTAGTGATCATTTACCTTCCTTTAAAAGTCATTCCGCTGACGAAAGGAAAAAATGTCTCGAAACCTGGTATAGTGAATCCAAAACAATAATCGACTTTTTGTTAAATTCAACAAATCAAAAGACATTTGACGATCTCATATCATCAGTACTTAGCGAAGAGGTTAAATTTCTAGCTTCCGACTCAGATGAAATTAATAAAAATACTTTACTGGTTCGTTTAGTACAATTGGAACAATTTTCATCGCATGTACAGAATGCCATTAATTTAATCGAGGAAAAAATAATGACAACAAGAAAGCTGTTAGCTCCAAATGCAAGTGTGGATCTCGATAAAGCCACTGTTGATAAGGAAATTTTCAATTTTTTCAATGAAAATTTCAAAAAATTAGCTGAATTAGCTGTTGAGGAGGAATTTGCTGCTGATTCAATCAAAAAGTACTGTGAAATTGACAATAATTTATTCTGTGAGTTAGTTTATCAAAATTCACACCGCATTTTTTTGGATCAACCTTTCATTGGTAGGGAATCTATTCTTCAGCAAATACAATTTTACATTTGCTCAGCTTCAAGATACCCATTGATTGTCCATGGACCTAGAGGATCAGGGAAATCATCTTTACTTGCCCGAGCATCTTTTGAATGTAGCTATTGGTCTCCCACTACTGTAATTGTCTATCGTTCTGTGGGTTTAACTAGTGAATCTCTTACTATTGAACAAACTCTTCGCAGTATTTGCGAACAATGTTGTACACTTTACGGAGAACACATTAGTTTTGCTTCTTCAATTTCAATAAAGCCCTTGGAAACGCTAGGTAAGCTTTTGAACAAAGCAAATGAGGAAAGACCTCTAACAATAATCATTGACGGTGTTGATCAATTTGCCGATTACAACTGGATTGAGTTTGATGTCTGGCTGCATGAAGAGCTTCCTGCTTTCGTCAAAGTTATCCTTGCCATGACGGATGATGATTGTTTGGATAAATTTAAGTCTATTGGGAAATGTGAATACTTAGATATTAGCAATATCACTTTAAATGAGATGGAACGCATCTTAGACGTCACCTTGCAGAATAAATCAAGGCGAATTACTGACACGCAAAGAGAATTTGTTTGTAAGCAAATGAAAGAGTCACGTACACCTTTTTACGCACAAGTTTTCTCTCTCAAAATGTCAGAGATAGCATCAACTACTCAACCAGAGGAAATAAATGAAACTTGTAACATTGAAACCATCATACTCTCTTTCATAAATCAACTCGGTAACATCATTGAACCAGCTCTGATGGCAGCTATCATAACAGTTCTTTCCTCAACTAAGTACGGTATCTCTGACACCGAAGTAATGGATATAATTTTTAAAAATCAATCGTTACGAGATTTATTTTACATTGCTCATCTATCTAACTTTCCATATTCATTTTGGTCTCTCATTCGTTTTAAATTATCACCTTTTATTGCTACAAAAGCAGATGATTCATTGATTAACTTTAAAACTCATCAAGTTAAAACAATCAGTGTTAAATATACACAAAAATGGAAAGATGTAACGAAATTAAGTCAAGAAGAGATGATTAATTATTTCGATATATCTCCCAAAGACTTGCTGTCTGATCAAATTTTCTCAGGTTCAGAGACTTTAACAAACCAATGGCCTAATCGAAGGAAAGCTCAAGAATTGTGTTATCTGAAAATGAAGCTCACTGATGATTTATCTTCATTTGTTGAACAATATTGTCTCAATTTGAGATGGATTTGTTTCAAGTTGTTGGTATGTGATCCTTTTCAATTTTTGGAAGACTTGGTGCTTGTCAAATCAATCTGGAAAAAAAGATCTCATTTAGTAAAGACAAATAGTGGTGATCAAGAAAGCGAAAAATATTCAAGTGATCTCTCAATTCTCAATTATACCATCATGATCTCAGCTTATCCTCTTCGATACCATGGCTTACAAGTCATCAGTCAAATCTATTCTCGGTTGTACTCATTTCTGGGTCTCTCGATCAACAGTCAACATTCTTCCTTATCACTATCATCATCAACAACCACCTCCGCCGTCTCCTCCATGAAAGTTAATGATTTGGCTAAAAAATATCCAAAAGCTGCCAATATTGTTGCAGAATGTAGAAAACCATTTATACCAAGTTTATTACCCCTAAATACTCAATTTATGTCAGTTAATGGTAATATTTTTGATGAAGGATCTGATGAATCAAACACCTTGACTACTGGACAATCAGGATTAGATTGTGTTGTTATTGAAGAAAATCATTATCAATATGATCAAATATTTCTCATTAAAGGAAACGATGCTCATGTAATCGCCCTTTCAACTGGTCGTGGCGAAATTAGTGTTTGGAACATTGGCAAACAAAAACCTGTTCGTTTATTGAAAGGAATCAACCAACCCAAAGATTTACGAATGATTGATCAATATCGAGCTGTGGTTCTTTGTAATCGTGATTTGCGAATCTACAATTTAGATGAAGGCTCTTTGGTTATGAAATTAAAAGGAGTTATGAATCAAAAGATGCCATTCTTTGGGCTACATAATGAAAATTATCTTGTTGCTCTTTCTCGTAATAGAATGTATGTCAATATGCAAAGCTTGAAAACTGGAGATTTAGAAACAACTTTTAAAGTTGGAGAAGATAGATTCCTTAATAGTCTTCTTGTCAGTGCCAATGGAAATATCTGTGTATGTGGTGATGAAACTCAAAAGCCTTTCCCTCTTCTTGTTTGGGATTTGATTAATCGAAAATTGATTTACGATTTACGTATCCCACACCATGAATTCATCACAAAGTTGTCTGCAATTAGTGATGATGGGCATTATGTTGTCTGTGTTAGCAAAGTAAGACAATTTGCTTCAAAGCTTTCAATTTTGCCAACTTATTAATTGTTTCTCTTCTTCTTAGGAACTTAATTCAACATCTCCCAATTTCATCATAGTCTATGATCTTCAAAGTGGAACATTATTTAAAAAATGGAAACCTGATTGTAATACTGTTAGTATCACTATATCATCCAGTGCTTCTTGTGTAATTAATTGCACAGAAACAGCGCTCATCTTGGTTTGGGATCTTTCAACTGGAGCTAAAAGGTACCAATTTGTTTATTTTCCACACATGCCAATTTAAACAGCTTTTAGATCCCTCATTAATCGAATCATTAATAAACTGATAAATTAAATTCAACTTTTCAGACTCACCCTACATGGACACATTGCTTCTGTGGATATATTACAAGTTGATGAGAGAGGTCAAACCTTACTTTCTTACGACTCTACTGGCAAAGACTTAAGTATTAGACTATGGAATCTTGATAATGGTAGGTTATAAATTTATGAGTTTGACTAACTAAGAATAAATTGACTGACGAAAATTTTTCTTTTTTTATTAGGTTCCTGTCTAGCTGTTTTCACACCAGATCAGCCGTTAAGCTGCTGTCAACTATCTCGTAATGGGAAAAGTGTTGTAGCTTGCCTCACTGATTCACCGCAGCTTCATACCTTAGTTCTTTGTCAAAATTCAACACCTGAAGAGGAAATTTCAGAATTAAAATCATCAATTTATGGCTCTCCTGAGAACGAATTTAAAGAATTTGACTTGTCGAAAGATGTATAGACAGGAAATAATGAAAGCTTTTAATCCATCCCAATATACTTTCAAAACTGTATTATATTCATGCGTTCACTTCAATTAACTTCTCTCAAGAAATCATTTGAACTTTAAACGCACCTTATCTCTCACACACTCAATTATCACAACAATACACACTAACACAAACTCGAGATATTTGCATTTGATAAGAAAACGCGGAGGCATTTGCCAGCTATTTGTTCAGTTCTGATTCTTGACCAACTTCTTCCTCAAAAAGGAGATTAGTTCAGGCTCTAGAATTTCGACCCTCTGTTTCTTCTATTAACTTTGAGCATCTATGTATTCATAATCATTTTCATCCTAATTTAATGACGTGCTTTTCATAGTCTTTTTTGCGCTAAGTGAGTTATCAATGATTGCTTTAAGACAGCATAATCATCATCATCATTTGAAGCTATAAGGGTGATGCTTAACTTTTCACCACAATCATATCCATCAGTTGAATTCCTGGAAAGTAAAACAATAATCATACCGCCATCATGCAACTTACACTTTTAATTTCTTCAATTGTATGTATATTTATATGACTTATAATGTAATATCGCTTAACAAACAAAGCTAAAAATAAAGTGAAAACAAAATTAAAACAATTTAAAACAATCATCATCATCACCATTACCAGTATTGAGTGATTATAATGGTTCAAATTTCAATTTGAAGCTGCTTTTTACAGAAAGTTTATCAAGAATCAAAATCATACTATAATATGATCACACATCAGGAGATTCATTTAAAGACAAGCCCCTCTGAAAGAACTCAACTCATTTATTAGCATTCAAAGGTCAACCAAAGGTGTAACTCCCAGTCGCAAGTTAATTTCAACATTAACTCGTTACTAAGATTACTAGCAGATATGATTAAAGTTAATGGACTAGGACGAGTTTGTGTAATGATCAACGATGACGCAAGTCACAAATTTCACTCAGACTCACTTGGAACAGGATATTTTTTTTATCTCAATCTCACTCTCTTTTACCACCGTTATTGCATCTTCTGATGGACTTTATTCAGTTGAATGATGAAACTTGACCTTATCAGTGAATATAAATAAAAAAGCAATCAGTTTGTAAACAATGTATTTTTGATTCTCACTGTTTGTTCAAATTTCAAACCAAACAGTCTTGCTCTCGTCCTAGCTCGATAATGTTGGTTGTCAGTCAAGAAACCGAGTTGGAACAAGCTTTAAGTGTACATCGACGATTGGGTAAAGTTATTGGTTTGGTGCCAACAATGGGTTCACTTCATGAAGGACACCTAAAGCTGGTTAAAGTCGCCCAAGCTGAATGTGACATTGTTGTCGTTACTATATTTGTGAACCCAACGCAATTTGCTCCAAATGAAGATTTTGATAAATATCCTCGAAATTTCGTTAGTGATTGTGATAAGCTGGAATCTATTGGCGCTGATATACTTTTTGCTCCTAGTGTTGATCTTATCTATCCCAATGGCAAGGACAGTTGCACCAAAGTTATTTTACCCGATTCATATACTAAAATATTGTGTGGACGTTCAAGGCCTCATTTTTTTGATGGAGTAGCTCAAGTTTGTACTATACTGTTCAATATTGTTAAACCTGATATTGCTGTTTTTGGTGAAAAGGATCGTCAACAAATTACCATTGTTCGTAAAATGGTAAAGGATCTTCACATTAACATTGAAATAATTGGTGTACCAACAGTAAGGGAAGCGAATGGACTGGCCATGTCTTCAAGAAATAACTATTTACCTGTTGAAAAATTGTCACTTGCTTCAAATTTGTTTAAAATGATGGAAAAAACTGCTTCTGCCATCAAAACCGGTAACCATGATTATGAGAAACTCTGTTCATCCGCTTGTCAACAATTAACAGCTGATGGTTTTCAAGTTGACTATTTTGAGATCCGCAATCTTCATGACTTATCGTCTAATCTCTCTAATGACATTTGTATTTTCACTGCAGCTTGGTTAGATGGAACTCGTTTAATTGACAATTATCCACTTCCTAGTTTTAATAACCATGAAGGTTGTGGAAATGGCAGTTGAAAATATAAAATATTAAATTTATTGCTTTAGTGATGAATTTATTCTTTTTAAATTTGATTTGAATTACATTTTATAATCGACCAATAAAATTATGAATCAAACTACTTAAACATGCTTCGGTGATAAAAATTAAAGCAAAATGACAGTTATTATTAATGTAATCCTTATAAGTTAATTACAGTCAGTTCAGATTGAAAGCATTCAAACTCAAAATGAAATTATCCAACTTCAAGATGAAAAAATCTCGTGCCACTGATTAGGATTTTTTTTATTACACCATTTAATTATCAATAAGTTCATTCCAGATACAACAGCGAAGTTAAGTTACATGTGATAATTGAAATAATAGTCACTTGATTATTTCATTACCGTCTTCAAAAGCAGAAAATAACAGTCCATCAATACTGGTTCAACACTAACAATTAAGTTACTTTCATTTCTATATTAGTCATTCTAACAAAGTTTTTCAGTGTCATTTGATTTTGAATTTTACCACTTTGAATCTGAATCAACTGTGAGAAACATTAGGTTTCAGTAAAATCACAATCATCCAGGATCAAGGGTGAAAAACACGAAAAACATTACTTATTGGTCGACGGCAAATAGGACAAGCATCTTGTCTTTTGAGCAGTAATTTACCGCAGTTGATACAAGTACACAGATGATGACAAGGATGGAGAACACAATCGCGATCTGTATCCATACAAACGACACACTCTTTCTCCTTGCGAGAGTTCATGGCCTCGGTGGTTGTGTCTTTAAGAGTATCCATATCAATTGAATTTGACTGTAAATCCGGAACAGGCAATGTTAATCTTCTTCCGATTCCTTTTTGTTCATTCATTTGACGGATAAAAGCTGCAGGAAAATGAAAATGAAAATCATTAATTGGCAATAAGTAACAATCATTAGTAAATTTTTTACCATTTTTTCTCGATTCTCTCTGTTCTTCACTCAGAACAATTGGTTCAGGTCCTGAACGAAAGAAAGCAACTCTACCCATTCGTTCGAGAAATTTACGCACTAAAATTAGAAGAATAATATATTAATGGAATCCACGTTAGTTTGAATTGTTACCTTTTTCCAATGTTGAAACTGAAGTATACTTTGTCGTCAAAAGCTCAACTTCTGGAATAAAGTAAACTGGATACAAGAATCTAATACCAAGGCATCGCTGGAACAGAAAATTATCGTAGAAAATTAATGATAAATCAAATTGTAAACTTCATCTGGATAAAAAAGTAAACATCGAAAATCGCCTTCTTCACTTGATGTGAACTGTGCTATTGAGATCAATAGATGAACAAAGAGTGTTTATGAATTCATTTTGTTTATGATTTCTGTCAGCTACCAAGTGGAGCCATATTGTATACTGAGCACTTTTCAATGATTCAGGATAGTTTCAACCTATTCATAATTTCAAACAGATTTTGGTTTACCTCACGGTTTTTGAGATCCTCAAATATTTCATTAACTGGAAGCCTCATGGTCCCAGTTGAAAGGATGGTATCTTCTGAACAAATGGAAATAATCTCTGATAGATAGACAACAATTAGTATATTCTTATATTGTTTTTCTTAAAACAATCAACATTTACTCTTGAAAATGCTTTTCTTTACTTGTAGGTCTTCAGAAACAGATTCAAACACGAACTGGACTCCCCGGACAGTATCTTCCAATGAACTGAAGCAAAATACTTCGCCCTGTAAATATAATAACGAAATTTGAGATCTATTATTATGATGAATTGAATCTAAAATGATTTGATCACAAGTATATATGGATCATTATACAGACCACAAAATCATTCCCCAACAAGAAGCCATCTTCGCGAAGAATCCTCCTGTCTTCGCTCAAGCGCAAGTATACTTTATTCAAGACACTGGCATCATTGTCGTAAACACGCACTTCATGTCCATTATACGCTAATGCACCTAAATCAAGAGATAAACAAATGGGCTTGAAGATTAATAAAATATAATTGAGCTCATATTATAAAGGACTTACCAATGATTTTAATACCAAGTACACCACATCCAATAACAGCAACTCTAACCATACTTGATGTAAAATTGAATCATAATTTACAAAATATTTAACACTCTAATATTGTTTATGACAAGTCATACCAATTCAATCGATTGCATTGATATTTTGTTCTGTTGATATGTTATCTTTTTTTATTCATACGTTTCCTTGGTAATCAATAGCATAATATATAAATTGAAGTTTTAGTCTTCGATCATTCATTCATTTCTCATTAAAATTGGTGTAACTTGAAGCAATCTTTCTTCTTTCTTCTTTTCATCCTGGATTCTTTTATTATTAGTAAAGGTAATATTCTTTCAGGTTTTCCCGAATTAAAAGAAAACTACTTCAATGTTATTTATATTACCAAAACAACACGTTTAATAAACGCAGGCAATATACAAGTTGATATAAAATTTACTACATTCATTGAGATAAAATTATAATATGCAAAGGTAAAAGACCTTTCAATGAGGTAGCATCGAGTGTTGGCAAAACATAGTTCCAGTTAGTTGATGTAACAAATGTAAATGATTTTAAGATGGCAGTGAAACTTATGGCTAGATTACATTTTCCTATCATAAAAATCCGGAAAAAAGTACCAAAAATGTGGACAATGAATTAGCGATGAATAAAGTAAGCTCGATGTAAATTGAAGTTTCTATTGTTTAAAAATCATGCGTTTTCATGCAAAAAACGTAAGTACAACAAATAAAACTACAGTAAAAGTATGAATATGATCTAGAAGGTGAATATGAAATATTTAGCACGATGAAATTGTAACTTGTGCATGAATCGTTCAGACAAACCTTAGACAGCTACCGTGTTTGAATATACTTTGTTAGGCAGGTCGATAATTTGATCTGGTCGAAGTAAACTAAACAATCTTGAGAAAGTTTCATAAAGCTGAAGAGTTGATTTGCTACCAATGAGGATTAGTTTCTTTGATGCTCGGGTAATTGCAACATTAATTCTTCGTTCATCGGATAAGATTTCTTCTTTAGTGACCATCATATTTGGATCTTGACTCTGTTTAACAAATGATACCAAAATACAGTCTTTCTCTTTTCCTTGATATTGGTCAACCGAGTTCACGAAAATATTGCTGGCTCCGAGTTTTTGCTTGATTAGAGAAACTTGTCTCTGATATGGGCTTATAACACCGATTTGATCATGCAGTAAGCCAAGATGTTTTACCAATTGTTGGATAATGAACGAAACTAGATCTGCTTCTACAGAATTTTCAATTAAACCATTGTATTCATTTGTATCTAAATCGATTTGATCAGTGTTAAGGAAAAGAAAAGATTTAGAGATATGACAGCTCAGCACTTGGTCTAACCAAGGTGTTCCGGTATTTATATCCACAGCTCCATTTAAAGTAGCTTGGGCAACTTGCTGATTACCATATTTAAGAGCGTCATCATAGAATAATTTACTTGGAATATTTTGTATTTCGGCATTCATTCGATATTGTATAGAAAGTTGAAGTGAAGAAGATTCTTTGGACAATAGTTGAGAGAATAAACTCATCTCCAATCCTTTTTCCTTTGCGGCTCGACTTCTTACTACTGGTGGTAATTGTTTTTCATCGCCCACCAAAATGAATTTAATGCTAGCAAAAAGTGGTCCAAGTGTAGTAGGTAGAAGAACTTGAGATGCTTCATCGATTAAACAATAATCAAATTTTTTGAATTCAAACAATGGCTCAGAAGCAACACCGAGACAGGTCACAGCAGCCACTTTTACAGAAGAATAAAATTTTTTCAATTCGGCAGGATTATCTATTGTTTTCGTTCGATTAGATATTAAATAATCTTTCAATGCAGGATTTATTTTAAACTCTGAACCAGCACGCACAAAATCAACATTATGTTCCTTTAATTTACACATGATATTATCCACAGCAGCATGAGTATGACTTGTAATTAAAATTGATCTACCCATTGCAATTAACATTCTGACTATCGCAACAATAACAGTTGTTTTACCAGATCCCGGAGTCCCCCGAATTAACAGATAATCTTCGGTATTTATCACTTTCAATACAGCTCTTTGTTGTTGTTCATTCAGTGGTTTAATTATTCTTTTTGCTATTTCGACGATGGATTTACTGAATTTGTTTTTGAATTGAGCCCCAGAACCGTGTATAACCAGATTTCGTAGTCTTATGCTTTGATCATCATCTGTCATCAACCTCAAAATATTATCGTAATTGATTGAATAAATTTGAGAGTATTTTAGTAAATCAACTCGAAGCTGCATGAGATCATCCATCTTATGATTAGGTTGTTCTAAAGAAATTTCAATTTCTTTAATATCCATCCGTAAAACGAAACCAATGCAAATCGCAACTTTTGACGGTACACCTGATTTTACATTTTCATCCAAGCTGATAGCGACCCTCTCGCCTGTCAAATCGCCACAATGGTTCATTAACGAAGTGGGTTCAGTCTTTTGTTTTTGTGAACGACACAAAATAATACTTTTGCCACTCGTATCTAGGATTTGCAAATTACTTAACCCCAAACCTTTGGTTTCACGAAACTCTGAGGGCTCGCTCCAAAAGGCGAAGTCATTTCCTGTTCCTTTATTTCCTTCCAATTCCAATTGGATCAAACTGATCCAATGTTTGAAAAAATCAATGTCTTGTACAGATAAATGAATCAAAGCATTAGGGACTAATTCTTCTTTCATTACTCGGGTGGATGAAAGAAGTTCTGGCTGGAAAGATTTCATCATGAGGCTGCAATCGAGTAGATGTTCACATTTACTACATGAATGAAGAGAATCCTTAGGTTGAGGACCTGAAAGTGGTCGGTTCAAATAAACAGCGAGTTCGTTACGTTTTTGTAATAAAGATGAGCTAACTAATCTCGAAACTTGGTTCAGTTTCATCCTAGGAGAATCTTTGAGATATAATAAAAGACCATCATCGTATTCCTTAAGATCCCGATTAGACATCATCATGGAATATAAACTGATTTGACCAAGATGCTCGAACGAAAAACTTGGGCGACCCGTTTTCAATTCAAGAGGAAGTATACCTTTCCTTATAGATTTTGAGTGAATTTCAACCTCGAGAGTGGTATCGATTTTACCTTTGGTACCTAAGGCTGGACACCATATGTTTTCTTCAATGTCCACTACAGAGACGACTTTGATTTTATGTTGAGGATCGTCCTCTAATGGTCCAGGTCCTTTAAAAATGTATTTTTCAAGCCACTCAACTATGCTAGGAATATAAGCTTGGACATCAGAGATCAGCTGATCAACAGTAATGTTGGACAAAAAACAATCCATAATACAATCATTTTGAGTTGTGATCTGCAAGAGTAAACTATTAAGATCTTCCGCAGTTTTTAGATTTGAACTACATGCTTTTTGAAAAAGAGTATGCACCGTTGTACCAATCAACATATATTTATTGCCGAATCCCCATCCTTTGAACTTTTCGCTTAACCATGTTTTGCGCATACAAAACACAGAACTGGACAGCATAGTTGAGTTTATCATTAAATCTGGATTTACAGTGATGAAACCTTGCTGATTATCAATAAAATAAGTTCCATTTTCAAACTTTTTACTTTGCATGTGCACAATATCGGCAGGGAAAATTTCACTGTGTATCCATTGACCAGACAATGCACAAAAATATTGTTGATTTGTAGCAATATGAGTAAGTTTTAGGTGCAATATTTTTTGTTGTTTTTCCACTGCTAACACTGCAAATCTATGGAAATGATTTAAGTCCAAAGGTTGACAGGGAGATTCACTATAAATTTTATCCAACTCTCTGAAAACTGCATCTGCACTAGTTGACAGCTTTCGTTTTTTTTCGCCCAGCATTTTCTGATGAAGAGATAAATAAAAAAAAAGTATAAAAAACACAAAAATAGGATAAACAACAAACAAATAAAAAACAAAACAACGAAACACGAAAAAATAAACAAACAAGCGAAATGAAAGCAAGAAACGGGATCTGATCTGTGATCTGCAGCAACACCAAACAGCATTGATAATGTAAATTTAATTGGATCTAGTTGATATCTGATATTTACTAGATACTGTTTGCCAAAATTTTCCCGGGCAAGTTTTGGCGCGTAAGGGCGGTTAATATGAATTATGAATAATGATTTGTTACTATTCTTTATTTAGATATTGAGTTAATTTTAATTTGTGTACAAAAGGTTGAAAATGTGAGGTACCTTAATCGGTTAAAATCGATTACTTTTACAGAAAAAATGTCAATTAATGAAAATGAAGGTAACAAGAAAAGTGTGGTAAACTGATGCCGATGAACTTGTTGAACAGGATGGTTTTGAAGATGATTTCATTATTTGTACAAATTACTTTAATATATTTGGACACGATACATACAATAATATAAGTAATCACCAATAAAAGATTTTGTATATTGACCATTAAAAGACAATAAAAGATGAGTAGAGAGATATAAATGTTATGAGGATGTTTCCTTTTTTGACATTGAACCTGAGCCAGAACCAGATTTTTGATCCTCTGAAGATATTTTTGGCGATGATTTATCAGATTTTTTAACGCAAACATAAACAGGTCGGTAAAGTACAATAGATTCTCCTTCACCCAGAGTTCCGTCATAGACTTGACCCAGTTGAAACTCTGGACCAATATATAACCCGCCTTCAACATGATCACAACATGGCTCTGCAACAAAAATACTAAAATGTTAGACGAAACAATAAACTAAAAATGAACAAAAATCGAATAGGTCATGCATGGAAGGGTGAAATTTCACAAGGAATGTCGCAATTTCAAGTGAATATCTCCATAAATCTTTGTGTTGGCCAATTCTTCTGATTCCTTACTAGTTTAGCCATAGACCTTTGATTCAGACTTTTATTTCGTAACTCGAAAAAGGTTTATCTCCAATCATAAAGAAATTTATTAATACCAGTCACCATACTAACCATATTTAATTATTGGCTGCTGAGCTGAATTAGGAATTCGGAACGGACAAGTTGCTATGGTTATGGGAAAATCGATATGTAAATCGTCTCCAGACTTTTCCATTTCAATCCAAATCTGATTAATGATATAAGAAATATAATATTAGATGCAAAAACAGTTTTGGCTTACAGTGGAATGTTGAAAAATATTAATCCAAGAAATGATAATTAATGATTAATCTTACTTTAAGAACATAATAAATTGATAAAAGACGGCAAACTCCATTAAGTGTTGGTGGCATAACAGGAACAATTAAACTCTGCGAACTATCAAATTTAGATTTACTCATGGGTTGGATAGGATCACCATGATATTCAAGAACAACATGATTTGACTCTTTATTCAGACCAAGTACACCTCGTTCAATGAAAAATTCTGTATACTTTAAAAATAAGAGGGCATTGAGAGTTAAACATTTTTATGTAAACTCACATTTTGTTGACAAATTATCACAAATTAAAATAAAGCCAAAATAACAGCTGGACTCTTGAAGTACAGTTTGATATCGATACTTTTTTATCGATACAAGTTGCAATACCATTGATCAAAGACTTGAATTATCTCAAGTTATTATTTATAAGGCATCAAAAGAGTCAATTTAAGTGTTAATATTTAATTTTTCTGATCGATATAAATCGTATTTCCAAGTTTGATTATATCTTGAATGGCTGAACATCAATACTTTTTGAAACTCCTTATTTCTATTGTAGACTACACGAAACTCATAATCTTAAAATTATCTTTGGTGGTGGTTAAGATATAATAAAAATTTATATTAGGCTAATCTAAATGATATTACAGTAAATATCACAGTATTTTCACTAAACTGTTCAAAGCTGTAGCTTAGATGATGCTAAATATTGCATTGCTGAAATAATAACAATTGTATCTTTTATTCAATTAAAGCGATAGTTAGATGATAATATTTTTCGTTGATTAAATCATTTTCTGATTCGCTAATAATGAATACAGAATAATATTTTGCATGCGAAACGTTTTCCTCAATCCATTTAATTAGCCATCATTGACTTGCAATCAATGCACTTTTCTTGTTAATTGACTAATCTAATTATGAATGGTTTATGGCAATTAATACTTACTTGGGTTAATTTTAATCTAAGACGAACATTTTCCTCACTTTGATTGTCAATAATTGCTTTGAATTTGATTGATTCACCACAACAATAAGCTGATCTTTCTAATGATGATTTTAAGTTGACGATTCCTCGTTTACAGCACAAACAACAAATCTGTCGTTTATCTTGGCCAACCAACGGTTTCTGTTAATTAGAAGCAAGATTAAAATTTAAATTGTCCAATTAAACAGTCAGGTTATAATTTACTTTGTAAGTTAATAAAAAATTGACACTAAAATAAGCTTTTCTGAGTCTTTTTATCTGCTCCATCATTTTAATTAAAGTGAGACAAACAACATTGTAATGAATAATTAATGAATAACAGGAAAGTAGACAATTATGTTGATAATTAACCAGATGACAAACTGTTTAATCACTTTAAAATTAGCTTAAATATGAAACCTTAATCTGACGATTACTAATTGACAATTTGAAGGTTTAAGTACAACATTGAACATCACTTGAACCTTTGATGTTTTAAACAAAAGCAAACTGAGATTTGGTGAAGATTAAAATGAGCGACTGAAGAGTTGGGCCAATTAATGTCAATTGTTGGACTAATAGAATGAAAAATGGTGAATCATCAGCTTTGGGATTTGTCAGGGAAGAAATGAAATAAATCCTGAAATTGAAACTTTGAATTCGCTTCATGTCTATATTACAAATTGAGATATAACATGATATCAGCATTTTTATTTGAGCAAAATGTTTGACCAATAAAAAAGATTCACTTGAGATTCAATTGTAATTTTTAGCTTGTTTCATGACCATTTTACCTTAAACTCAATCAAATTGGCAATCAAAATAATGATGAAAAAGAAGGGAAAAAATGTTCATTATCATTATCATCACATTTCTCAGTCTTTTTTGTTTTTATTTTCAATCAAAGGAATGAAGAATAATCTTGAGCAAACTTACATGAGAAGAAAACATTTTCTTGTTATTTTTACATCAATCAACAAATAATACAAAAGACAAATAAAGAGTAGACAAGACTACATCATCATCATCACCATCATCATCATCATTATCATCATCTTCATAATGAAGAGAAAAGAAGAAAAGAAGAAAAAGTGAAAGCTAAATCATGAGAGTAATCAGTTAACAGGGTAAAGTAACAACAGAATGATGTATTGTGAATTAGCTAATTATTTACAAAGGCAGCTTTTTTCATTGTGGAAACTAAACTTAATTACAAATGATAATTATCCCCAAACTGAAACAATGTTTAATCTTGATTTTAATGGTGAAACAAATTCATTTATCACTATTAATAATTCATTTTGCTCAACGTTAAGGTTGTGATTAACGATTGAATAGAAAGAGTTAAATGAAAAATCAGAGTTTTTATTGATTTCACTGTTTAAGTTAATTTGTTTTCATGTTTCTAAATGAAAAAAAAACTTCACTTTCATCTCTTGAGTAACTACAAAATGTTAGACAATATTGCATTGTAAGATTCAATTTAACAATTGATTTAATCCTCATCTTTATGAAACAACTTCAATTGAAGGAGAAGATGAAAAAAAGAGAGAAAAGATTAAAAGTTCAATGAAATCGAATGAACAAGATTCTGATTCTGATTTCCTTCATTTTCTCGTTACTATCAATTTTATCAGTGAAGATGAAGGAAAAATGTTATATCGAAAGAAATCAATCAGATTATTGGTGGTAAATATTAATGATGGACTCACACTGAATAAGAAAGTTGATATTGTCTAAGTAAATACTCGGTGGTTCAGTCAACTATCCACTCTTGAAAGTCTATTGAATGTGATGAAAATCAGGACTTCACAGCATTCGATTAATGTTAAAGATTCGATGGTTTCGTAAAAAAAACTAAATATTCATCTGTGTGGAGACAGGTCATGACCTGTTTCTGGTTGCTGTGTAAACCTGGTGGACATGAGTAGCACAAGCGTTTCAAGATCAGTAGGTTAAGGTGTACCTTTTAGGGCCTTGGATCTTGTTAGAGAGTGTGCAATACAGTTGCAGTTTTGAGCCATTCACTCGAAGATGTGCCATCGTAAAAGGAGTTGACAAAATTATCATTCTTTCACTGCACATAAGCTGATTGGGACTAACTAATAGAATGACGCTTTTTGCAGCTTTTGGTAGATTTGAATGCATTTGCATGAGGAAAGCATCTCAACTCTCGTGCTCAAATTACGACCAATGTGAAGGAGAGTGCAAAACGCTTGTTCAAGTGACAACAGCAAGGTGTACTAAACAGACACCTAAGCATTTAGTTTTCAAAGCTACTAATATTCCTTGCGTTATTAGACTTAGCCTGTGAGCTAGTGCTTGCGACTGTGACAGCAGTCACATTGGAAGTGAATCTCTGCTTGTCATGAACTCTAACGAATCAGACTAGTCTTTCGTTGATGCCTGTTTCTTCACCTGGTGTTGAAACAACTCATGGATTCTGTGGCCAGTAGATCGGAGCCTGACATGTCTATCATGCCTATCATGTAACTTAAGCAATTTAATGGCGAAACGAGTTTACACAATTTCATTAAATTTATTTGATTCAGTTGAGTCTCCTCAAGGTAGATGATAATCTGACAGGCTGTTACTTTCATGGGAATGATGAGAGTGAAGATTGAATTGAGTAACGATTTTTTGTTTACAAGTTACATGAGTCTTCATCTCAATCGTGAGAGTAATATAGATGAGAAGCGAATTTATCGACTCTTCAGGCTATAATGAGCAACATGAAACTCCCTCTGAAATAAACAGATAATAATATACTGTATCTAATGTTAAATTGTTTTTCTTCATTCTTTTCACTTTTGTTTTCATGCTTTGTCTGTTTTTGTCCAATTAGTTGTTCAATTGATGATGATGATGAAAATAAAGATATATATATAAATGATTTATCGATTTATTTGAGGAAAAAAATCTATTATTTGATTGCTACTGGGAGTGAAAAAGAAGTCTTTAGAATTGAATAAGAGGATGGAAAAGTGAAAATGAAGGTTTATGTTTGGGTTTAAGATGAAAGACAATGTTCAATGTTACATGATTGATACTCATGGAAACAAATCATCGCCATTATCAATATCATTAGAATAATAAACATCATTGTTATCTCTTGATTCGGGCTGATTGATCAATAAATCAAATGAAAAGAGCTAAAAGATTATTAATTGATATCATTTTAAAACATTATTCAAATTAATGGATCAATTTGTTAGATATTTGGTTAGAGTTTCGTGCAATGTTCAATAAGTTCACACTTATTTCCCTGTTTTTCATACATTTTTCAACAGTTTATCATTTCAATGACTTGCAAGTTGAGTTTGATTGAGTTTAAATTGAATTACCATGTGAAGGGAAGCAATGAAAAGTGAAGAATGAGCAATGAAAAAACAACAAAATTAATTTGGTTAAGAGTTGAGTTACTGAATCTTCGGGTTCGCTATTGAACAATGCAAACAAAAACATATTAACTAAACAGATTATATCATCAACTTGGTGTGTAACTTGAAATGTAAGGTAATCGAGTTTGGGAAAGAAATGAAAATTGGACCAAAGAAGAAGAGAGAAGATGGAAGAATATGAAAATTATAAAAAAAAGAAGCTCAAAATTCTGACGTGTCTTCACTTTACTCAAAAAATCCTCAAGTCTTCAGTGAGTGAAATGAGTTTTGAAAGGGCTCTTCAGCTACCTTTATCATTATCATCATCATTATCATCGTCTTCTTCTTCTTCCTCTTTTCTTTATTTTTTACGCCAACAACAAACTTTTTGTGTATAAAATCAATAAACTGACAGACAATTTAAATTTCATCTTCTGCTTTCTCCAACTCATGGAGACAGAGGAATGGAAAGAGGAATGAAAATGATTATCAGAACAGGATAGTTCAAGGGTTGAGGAAACAACAATATAATGATTAGAATGGAATAGACTTGTTTGGCTGTTTAGTTCAGGTAAAAATGGTTCAGTTTTGGACGATGAAAGTGATCAACTAAATAAGTTAACTTGCTCTTAAGTTTGCTTCAACAAAGAAACCATTTCTAAAGAAAATGCAAAAAACCAGAAAAGATGAACATCTTTCAGAAACAAAAGATGGGAACATTTGAAGCAACTTTAAGGTTGAAAATTATTGATGTTTCAACTGAATTTCAAAAGACAAGTTGAATTATTTCCATTGCTATTGAATGAGTAATTCAGAAGTTGTAAAAGCTTTTATTTTGGATATTTTAATGGAATAAATCATTTGAATGTAAAGATTAAAATACGATTATGGGATTTAAAAACAAAGGCTGACTAAGAATTGAACTGATCATAATTAATGTTATCAGGCAAGTCTGTCGATACAAAAATCGCACTTAATTATTTCAATGAATAAAGTCACTGAAACAATATTTAGTTCAAGTTGAAAAGAGCAAAATAAAGACATTAATTTTTGAATAAAATTGGAAAGAAACTGATTCAATTGATAAATTTGAAGATTCATTGAAAGAGATTTGCTCTGAAAATTGAGTTTCAGAGGATAAATATCAAGTTAACTTATCTTCTAACAATGTAATGAAAGGTTCAAGATTTCAATTTATTTAAAAATAAAGATTCGAATGAAGATTCATGCTTAATCAGCATTTATATAAATAGTAAAATGAAGATTCGTTTTATTTGATCTTCTTTATCAAATCATTGAAAGAGAAACTTGTTGACGTTTCATCATTTTCATTGGGAATATTCAATGAGACAAGAAGATCATTCATCATGTTATAACATTTTCAGTGTTGAACAGTTCAATTAAGAAGCAAATCTATTATCACTTATTGATCAAATTTCAAGTTGAAAGACCAAAAAACACTTTAAATTACAATTTAAGTCTCAATATTATTAGTGAATAAAGTAATGAAGAAAAGGGTGAAAAATATTTCATTTCTAGGTTTTCCAACTTATCGACTTTTCCTGAAATCTCAAAAGTTGAACATTCTCACAGACTTGATACCCAAATGGAAACTCTATCAATGGTTAGATGAAGCTTAAAGTCTCATGATTTTAGTTGAATGTGAATGTTGTTTGTTGAAACTGGTTGGATTGATGGCCATGAATGTTATTGAAATAAACTCACCAAATATTGTTCATCCATACAATCAATGTGAGGTCCAATAACAGTAAAATACTTCATTCCCTGAGGCGGCGATGCATATGGAATGTCAATGGTAACTTTAACATAATAACGGATGGTACATGGTCTCGCCTCAAAACTACATGGTAATGAGGTTTCCGGAAGTTGAAAATTGAACGGAAATGAATGATGTCCTCGAGGAAGAATAGGCACAGTTCCTTCATTTTTTTCTGAGAAATCAGTTGAAAGAGTTTGCATCAGTTAAAAGTGATTCAACAAGTTGATTAAACAGTGGATATTTATTGATTAGTAATATGGAAAAGAGGATAAACAGGAGAAACAGAAACTAATAGCAAACTGAACAAACAAAATGTCTCTATGAATGTGTCTGTAAACAGCTTTTCCTTTTCCACATCAATTAGATTTTGTTTTTGCATCAACAATAATCTGGTAAATCATCAACTTTCAACCAATCAATCAACCATTAACTTTCAACTGAACCTTTGCTCGAGTGAAATACGATATTTACATTTTGGACGCAAACATAATTTACATTAAATTCAATGTTGACATTTTTCCATGGCTCATTGTTTTCTGGTTTGTTTGGACATACAAGTGTTTACCTTTTTTCATTTTACAAATTGGTTCCATTAAACGATCTTTTTGATTACCTTTTCAACTAACAGTCTGATTTAATCAACGATGAGGGTTATTATTGATATTATCAAATGGAGACAAATTGAATTGGTAAAATAATAAACTGTTAAGTATCAGCATTTCAGTTTCTCGGTTTTCCTCTTCTTCTCTTTCTAATCCTGAATGTATTTATGAATAAAACTCTTATCTTTTTTTCCTCATGAATTAAATATCAAGACTGACCAAAACTTGGAGACCATTTTGATCAATTGATGATAAATTTTGACAAATTTAATCGCAACTCTCATTAATAACATGGCAACAACTGTTAATCTGTTTTATTTAAAAGAAGAGGATTATTAATGAAATTAATCAACTTACCTTTACCCCAAATCACAACTCGATCATCAATGAATATTTGATCATCTTTTACGGTTCGACGTTCACCACTAACTACAACCTTCCATTCTGAATGAGCTTTCCCTCTAAGCTGAACTTTAATTGCTGCAGAATAATCACAATTGTTGAAATTCAAAGTATTAATATTAAGTAAAAGTACAAGGAATGAGGAGAGAAGAGAAGAAATGAAATGACAATTTATTATTCAATCCTTTCGTTTCTCCTTTTGTTACTTTGTTTTATTTTATTCTCTTGATAATTCATTTCATTTCAATTATTAATTCCCATTTTTATCTCATTCTCTTCGTGGATTATCAAGCAACTATTGCCACACTTCAACCAGATTGACTATTCATTTGAATTCCCTGAATAAGATTAACATTGATTTTCGATTGAGAAAATGGTGCTTCAACTGAAAGCTTATTTTGCATTCAATTGATAGTGAATTTTGTTTGAAGAAAGAGAGGAAATCCTGACTCATAATTTTTCTGTTTTCTGTTTCAATCTTCATTCTTTCATGGGAATCTTTAATTCTTGTAAGTTATCTTTTCTTCTCTTTTTATGTGCAAATCATTTTCATGTTAGGAGAAAAAATGGAAAGCAAAAGAAAGAAAATTTGGACAAAATGAATTTCAATGGAAGCCTTAAACCAAAATGAAAGAATGAATATTTTGTTTGGAAAGTGATTTCTTTTCTTGACTCAAGGAAAAGTGTCGTGATTCTGGAACAAGGTTCATCATGCAAAATGAAATTACCTGAAACAGCAAAGGTATTTTGAGAAATGGCTTTCAATTGTGATAAATTAATGCTGGGATTGTAAATGAATATGCAAAGGAATGTATAAAATTACAATAAAAGAGGAAAGACAGGGAATAATGGAGTTGAAATGAAATGATGAAACGAAACTAACCTTTGAGCTTGAAATTTTCAACTGTTTGAAGGATTACCTGTCCATTGAGTGTTTCACCGGCATAATACATTTCCTTTTCCAATCTTATATCAAATTCACTGATGTAATCCATCTTTATCACTGATGTAAATAATTGATATTTGGCACAATAATAATGATAAGAATAATAATCAAGATTGAAAGATTTAGTTTTCTAGTACGCAACTCATGTTCATTCTGAGTTCATGTTACTTTGAATCACTCAAAACCATGTGATGCTAAAGAAGGGAAAAAGAAGAATGAGAAGAAGAGAAAAAAAGAGAGAAACATTCTCTTCTTTCTACTTTACTCTTCTCTTTCGCCTTTTCATTTTCATCTTCTTCTTCATCTTCTTTTCCCATCTTCTTTGTTCAAAAGCAACAAATCTTTTGGAATCACAGAATCTATTCACATTTCATTCGTTTCTTCATCTTTTCATCTCTTTCTCACTTTCTTTTTCTCTTTCTTTTCCCTTTTCCATGATTATCATCTTTCCATATTTATGCATCTTTGCTCTCAATCTTATCTGCTTCAAAAAGTTCTGGTTCAACTTGAAAAGGTTGAAAGGTAAGATCTTTGGGTTAAAATATGAATACAAATGTAACTTTAAACAGTTACATTGTCTAACAAATTAGGAACCTTCTGGATTTGATGGAAAACAGAATATCAGTTTATTCTGGAAATATTCAGACCAACATTTAACTACATTTAATTGAAAATTATTAAGATGTTTGCTCTTTAATCGCTAGAAGAGACATTGTTTTGTATTGTTATTATTATAGTTTTTGAAACAGTTATGATAATTATCATTATCAATATAAAAGTGTAATTAAAAATCGAAAACATCATTCCCTCGGAACAAAATTTCATGCAATACTGAGCTCTTTATTGAACTTAATCTTGCATTCAAATCCAACATGTAATAAGTTAGATATTTACATGCATTCATTGCAAGATCAGAGTAAAATTGAAAATATATTTTAAAATCATATACAGGGTGTGAATGTCAAATACGCGGTTTTGAATCGCTAATAACTTTTTTGTTCTTTGTCCGATTTCGTAATTTTTTTCGATTATATGTAGCCAAATAGTGCGAGTTTTGTTCACAGTAGTTCGAAAATTTATGTGATTGCATTCAGTGCGAGAAATTTCGCCTCAAAGTCTAAAAAGTTGATTTCTGCCGCAAATCACCTCAAAAATAGTCAAATTTTCGCAATTTCATGAATATTTTTTGCCTGAAAATTCAACAAAAAATTATCTATCGAATGATGTCCACTTTGTGGTTGTATGATTTTGCATTCGAAAAATATCGGATCTTGAAGGTAGGCAAAACGCGCATTGAACATTGACATTTTATTTTGGATTGGTCTACTTTTCTTATCATGATATTTTCACTCGAAAAATTTAATCATTCAATATTTTCAGGATTAGAATTACCTGATTTTTCAATTTTCCAATCTTGAATCCTGGCAAAAAAAAATTCTGGATTCGACTATTTCCGAAGCAAAAATCAACTTTTTTGACTTTGAGGCGAAATTTCTCGCACTAAATGTAATCACAAAAATTTTCGAACTATTGTGAACAAAACTCGCACTATCTGACTACATATAATCGAAAAAAATTACGAAATGGTACAAAGAACAAAAAAGTTATTAGCGATTCAAAACCGCGTATTTGACATTTACACCCTGTACATGGAGTCCATTTTTAACGGTCCTTTATTTTCACAAATGAAGTCATTATTAAAAGCCAAATTTTTAAAATGTGATAAGTTTCAGTTATTCAAATTTTATTTGAACTAATAAATATGACTAGTTAAATATGTGTCAATTTTTGGTTGCACCACCTTACATTTATTAATGATATCACATATAATTTCAAATTTAATTTGAATAGAAATATTAATATTTGTGTAATATTTTTTTTCTTGTTTATATGATCTATGGACAATACACTTTAAACCTTCCTTCTGTGAGTCGAGTCTTTCATCAAATCATTGTGTCGTGTAATTTTAATTATATCTCTAATTGATCAACTCTATTTCCTTGCTATTATCATCTGTACTACACTTTAAACCTTGCTTTACTCTTTCGCTCTTTTACTCTGTCGTCTTTTGTTACTCTTTGGTGATACCTCTTCTTTTAAGTCTTGAAGATTACAAAGAAGCTATACGGAAAGCACCTTACGTCGAAGGAAAAGTCATTCTTACACTTTGAAATGTGATGAAATAAAGTATTCTGAATTATGCTACCATCTAGGTGAACTAAAGGGGGCAACAACTAGAAATGAAGGGGTAAAGTGTGAAAAAGTAAACAAAATTTTTACTGAGTAAACCACAATTTTTCCAACAGTTAACAATGACTTTTTGATCTAATGAATTGTAGCTTTCGTTGACTAGTTTTATTGCTTTGTATAAATCCATTTTTGTATTAATTTCTTCACGAATATTTGCTTGTTTGTAACAAGCTATCAAATGCCTGGAAACAAGGCTTTTATATTTTGATTTAAAGGCTGCAATGATGCCTGCATCGAGAGACTGAGTGACAGCAGTTGTATCTGGAGGAAGATAAATTGGTACGATATTTTTACTGACATAATCACTTCTGTGACCACTAAAATTATCAAGGAAAAGTAAAGCTTTTGTATTTTTTCAATCATTAATCTGTCCATATATTGGACCCAGTCGGTGGAAATATCTGCCTTTATCCAGGCATTTTTGTTACTCCGATGGATAACCATTTCTTCAACATCATTTTTATCTTTGAAGTACCTCGGTTTGCGTGAAGATCCAATTATTAAAGGTTTGAATTTATTGCCATCACTTGCTACACAAAATAGAATAGTAATTCTTTCTTTTTCACTTTAATATTATTTGTTACTCCAAGTAGATGAATGTACGATCTTCGAGCCTGATTTTGGTACTCCAAACCATCAACTTTCATAAGCGTTAAGGAGTAAATAATTTTTATATTTAGCTAAAAGTTATGGTAAATTTTCAAACCAATTAAATGTTAGATCTTGATTCACTAGACCTCCTTCACCACACAGTCTTTAAGAAGAGATATTATCCATTATATTATTATTATGGGATAGATTATACATTGTATTGCTACCCACCCAAATCTCAAATCAGAAAAAGTGACCATTTATTTAAATGAGATTTTTTATTACAAGATTCGATTAGATTGAGTTCCTACAAAACTATCCAGAATGAAATTGCACATCATTTAGTTTTGTCCTCCGCAACCCTCCCAGGCATGATATGTGATAACCGAGTTTACTCAACTTATAAAGAATAATGAATCATCTATCATATACACTGTTTAATTGCTTGAAATGAGATAAAAAATTAACGAAGGAAAAGCTTAACACATATGATAAAACAAAAACATGCTATAACGTCTACTGCGATCTGATTATTTGAATGATAGTCATGAAAATAAACTGTTAAACGAGCACGAATTGCTAGTGCTCAAATCCAACTATATCGGGTTAAATCCAAAATCTGGTGGGAGTGAAATACAGATGCATGTAGTTGAACCTACAAAAACCCTTCTAATCAACCAGCATCAAAAATGACAATCACAGTGTTGACTCCATCTATTGATGGCTGATCCCACCTTTTCAAGTTCCCTGAATGAGCAAATGCAAAAAGATTCGAGTTACAGCTGTACGAGTTGTGACTTGGTGATCTTATTATGGCCATGAAAATATAAGTTCATTTGTACGTTCATTTCTCTGTTACACAATACGTTATAAAATCAGATCACAGTTCAATCTTTAGTGCTTTCTGTACAGTTATGGAACCAGATTTTTATCAAATCCATTGTCTGATTTGACTTTTATAATCTAACAGAAAATAAACTAACTTTGAAATAAAATTTTCTGTGGCTGTACACTAGGTTACATCGATTTTCGGTTAAAGCACTTGCTTCGAGCTACAAATTATCTTTCACTGAGTCGCTTTTCGATTTATCGGTATTCATTGAAAAAGTTTAGTTAAAAACAATAAATTATTTGATTAAGATCACTTTTCCTCAATCGAATGCTATTGAACAAAAATATTTGATCGTGTTTGGCGTCCATTCAAATTTACAAATTGAGTTGATTAAGTCACAGGTTCCGTTTGGAGGGAAACATAAGAATCGTTGTTGAGTTTTCTGTTCATCTCGGATTGACTTTCAATCAGTTACGATGAAAATGTACTTCAATATCTTTTTTTGTTTCTTTTCATATTCCGAGTCCTTCTTCTTCCTCTTCCTGTTCCATTGCATATCTTGATCGGTATCCAAGACTCATGATGATGTAGAAGAAGAGCATTATCGATGGAATCATTCCAACAATGAAGCCAGTTATATTGGGTCGTTTGAATTTGTATTCAGCGTATTCTCGAGATGAAGTTGCTGCAATAAATGAGATAAAAAACATTCAAAATCAATATCTTATTGATCTTCATTGCTAATGAAAATGCAATTTCTTGACTTTCAATGTCAACTCGACTAACGACTGTATTCCCTACTAGATTATCCTTGACTTAATTTGTGTCTTATTCTGTGTAATAATAAAGCGGAATATTGATTTTCAATAATTTATGATAATTAATATAATTACTTAAATGAGAAGCAAAAATTTATGGACTAATAATCATTCGTTTAGTCAATTGCGCAAATTAGTAAAGGTGATATTACCGATAACTTGAAAAGACATGGATTCGCCTTGTTCGGTTGATGAGTTGCTTTTAATAGCACAAGTGTAAAGGCCACTTGCATTGGCGCTGTTGATCGTTATTTTGAGTACATTTAAGATTATAAATGAATTTATTGAGTTGTGAAAAATTTGATATTCAGTATCACTGACTAATTCAGCTGATGGTTGTGATGATATTGTAAGATTGTCCTTCATCCAGATAACTTCATTCGAGTCTCTGGATTCCAGTAAACAGGCAAGTTTCACTTCTTCTCCAATGACATATTCAACTTTGATATCTTGATTCGAAGATGAATCGGGTTCATCTGAATAATCAAACAAAAAACAAAAAAGTTAATTTCACAATTGAAATAACTCAAGAATTGGTTGAAGGATATTTCTAGCTCTTTGATTCAGTGAAATGTCACGCATTTTCATTTAGTTTATTTTCAATCAATTTTTGATGTTACATCTCAAGAAATAATTATTGTAAGATCAAGAAGAAAAAGTTTTGTCTTTCATTCGAAAACTTTGATGCAGGTCGAAAGAGCATGAAGATCAATTAAACTTGTGAAATTGAAGTTTGACAATTTTGTTCTTAAGTTCTTTGTATCATGATATTTTCAAGTTTCAAGCTATCAAGTCGAGTGATTAAAATTTAAATTATTAATGATTTCAGTTGAGATAAAAATAGACTGACATTGAAAATGGACGCTTTATTTAATAGTTTAATCAATGATGCCATGAAATTGTTTCAAGTATGTCAAGGTTACAACAAAGCTGTGCAAAGAAATGAATGATTTATTACAGAACTGAATAAAAGCATTTTATAGATCGTATAATTGTTCAATGTTTCTGGTCTCGATTTAGTCCATTTCTTGCTATTAATAAGCAACTTTATACTGTTAGCTGTTATTTATTTATTGTATTCATTGGTGTAATATTTCGCTGTTTGAGTTTTTTCATGAAATCAGTGAATCTTCTGCAATTGGTCACTCTTATTATGCTTATTGAGAAGCCGAGGTATTGAATATTGATTGATTGTTGGAATGACGAACGAACTGATGAACTTTGGTGATTGCATATTGATCAATATTTTAATGTCAATCTAGATATAGATTTTCGGCTTTCTTGGAGTGGTTGTGACCATAAGAAAAGTGATATTTTATAGAACCTAACCTTGATAAGTTGAACGATGACAATTTGATTGATCTAACTAAAAGGTGAGATTGGTAGATCGATGGACAGGATAAAAATAATAATTGTGTATTCTTTTAGAACTGAACGTGATTATGCTTTTCCTTATCTTCAGCTAATTCAATCGAAACTCAAGGAAAAATTTCGTCTAGAATTATCTATTGATATTTCCCCTTCAATCGAAATAATTTTTGCTTCATTGACGATATTGATCAACTATTAAAATAATATTAACTCCAGCACAATTTTCAAGGCTCTAATCAATAGTAATCAATCTGAATTTGAATTGTCGCTTTTGAAGGTTAAAAGCTAGTTTAGTGAATTAAAATATAAAATAGTTATTAAGAAATTAATAATTAACTGTTAAAACAATCGATCTTCTGTTGACAAAATTTGTTTTGTTTTATTAATGGAAAGAGTCATGACAATTAGTCAAAACTGATCCTAAATGTGTGATCGTTGTTGATTCAAGATCAATCAATATTCGTGTTTTAAGCTTGTAAAAGGACTTTTGCTGAGTTTGATGAAAGTCGATGCGTTTGGTGCTGGGAAAAGTTGAAAGTACTGTTATGCATATCGATTGAAACTATTTTGACTTTTAAATGAAAAGGTCGAGCTTCTTCTTCTGATTCAAGGGCTGAACTATTAATGAAACGGATTGAGACTTACTTGGAGCAACTATAATTATTTCTTGATGATTTTGAGGATTAACGTCATTGCTCTTTTCATTATTCACATCATTATCACCACTATTGTCATCACTATTATTCTCATCGAATAATGTTTTCCTTCGGTGTTTATTAGCTTTTGATAATGATAGATCATCTGGAAAAGTGTCTTTTTTGGAGAGTTGAGTACAAAAAACAATTTCGCCTTTCATGCAAATAGCATTCACAGGAGAAGAATCAGATTCCTTTGAAGAGGGATAAAATTTACCTGAAACTAGAAACAAGAAATTGAATAAAAATTTTGAAATATTAATGTTACATAAAAGGATTTAAAAAATATCTAAATAGTTGAATACATATTGAAACATTCTTGCCATTTTGTTTCAATCAAATGAGTTTTTCAATTTCATTTCATTTGTATTAATATAACCAAAAGATTATGTGTTGCATGAATATTTCAGGGTAAAACTATTTAATAATTATTATATGAAATTGTCCAAGAAACTCACCTTTAATCAAAGTCCTCGATTTGCTCCTCTCTTCAATTGAATCAAAGTTAATGTTATCACCGTTGGCTGATTCAGTAAAACACAATTTATTTTTTTCCTCACTGGATTCAGATGAAATATCAGTTAATTTGATTCGACAACAAGTAGAATTACTTTGACTTTCAATATCAAAAATATTGAGCACTTGAGGTGAAGTCGATTCATTTTCATTGAGAATACAAACCAAGGAGTGAATTTGGCTCGGAGTGAAGTAAATCAAACCCAATGAAAGTTTAACCATGAAACACAAATGGCTAATCAAATTCATGGCAAATGTTGAAAAACAGTGACAAGGAAAAGAATCAAAAATGACGAGTAATCTGATCCGTTGCAAAGATGAAGTCACATTATAAAGTGAATCTAAATCGTTGACCAAATGAGCGTCAGACAAATGGGACAAAATATGATCATGAATGTAAAAAGTTTTTTCAAGTTGACCATTTGAAAGACCATTGAATGTGATGATGAACAGCAAACAATTTTGTAAAAAGTAGAAAAGTATAATTGAAAAGATTAACTAAAATAAAGCTGAATCAAGATTGTAATTTAAATTATTGGACTGAAAATAGTTTTGAAAAATGTTTGAATTTCATGTGTTCAGTTATGATGTTGGTACACATTGGCAAGCATGAAAGGTGAAACGACAATAACAACAACAATAGAAACCGTGAAAATTATTATGATAATGATAATAATTTACTGTTGACCAAGACCTTGATAATAGTAATTCAGTCCAATTTGAAAATTCCATTGAGCATATACAGTAAAAAAGAGAGAAGAGACGATTGGCGACTTTTTCATTTCATTTTTTTTCCTCTTTCCTTTCATGTATACAATGCGTTCCAGTCTTTACCTCTTTCATTGTACATAAATAATAATTCAGTCTCCCATTTGAACATTAACTCCCTGTTCATGATGATAATGGTGAGAGAAAAGATCGAAAGTTAAGAGGAAAATAAAAAATTGGTAAACAAGAGAAACAATTGAATGTTTCTATGGAGATTTTGTATCAAAATATGCTTAAACAGTCGGATTTATCATGGAAATGTATTGATAGTGTTCAACTAATTTACCAATAGAAATGATTCCAACAATTTAATCGTTGTAATCCAACTTGCTATCGATTGCGATGGCTTAAGATGAAGCTTGAATGAGCGTCAATCTAAAGTTGCTTACCTGTTAATCCAATAGTTGAAGGGAATTGAACAAATCAATAAAAACAATTATCATTATGAGCGTTATTGTTATTGTTATTTATACCAATTATTAACCTTGACTGTTGGTATCACGGTCATGGTCATTGTTACGTCTGTTTAAAGGATTTTTGTTTAGTTTTCATTCAATTTGGGACAAATTTTGTTTCTATTTAATAATCAATTGTTTAATGTTTAAATTGTTCATTATTAGATTTTATTAGTTTCTCAGCAATTAAATATGATGCAAGAAAAGGCTGTCAAGTTTACAATTAACTTTTCATTGGCAACATTTACATGAGTTGAATGGCTTTTTAATGGATTTCAGTTGCATTATCAATTTAATTTTGCGATTCCTTTGATTCTTTTAATTTACATTAAATTGTGTTCTGAATTGATTTTTTCATTAGTGATTCTGATACCGTTTTAATTAAATTAAATGAACAATTGATAGATTGTTTCAGTTTCCAGTTTGCTGTGAATTGTTGGACTCTGTTACAGATTCTAATGAATTTAGGTTATAATTTATTGGCTCATCTCACAGCATCTATAGATGGTTCCAATGGCTCGTTGGTTGCTCATCATTTGTCTAATTAATTTTCAAGTCTTTCATTTCATCAAGCTTGACCAGATCAAAAGGAAACGATGAATTTCAATGTTAACTTACGTGACTTGATTTTAAATTCAAGTGCAGAATATTCTTGTTCATTTATAAATTGATGGCTTTATTCGGATTAAATCAACTGATCGTTAAAATCTGTAAATCGATTATTGAATCAATCATTTCTTGCAGAATATTTTATTTGCAAATCAATTCTTTGCATTTTTCAAGGTAAACTCAATAAAAAATATATTAATACATATCGTCATTATGATCAATATCGTTGGATGCTGGAATGAAATTGTGTTATTTCGATCTGGAATCTTGAAGTTCATGATAACTGTTCACTTGAAATCCAGGGTTAATGATGGGAAAGGACAGAACCTGAAAAAAGTATTTAATCGAAGAATGGTGCTTAATTTTTCACTGTTAATTGAATTCGAAGCTCTAAAGGCTAATCAATTATACAAGCAAAGTATAAATCGTAACATCAATTGAATTTAATAATTCAATTGATCGTATCACGATACTGTTCAATAATATTTTTTGCTCGTCAAATAACGATTAACCTTGCCAGAACTTGAAATGACTCGTAACATTATTAATTTATTGATATGAGAAGACAAAATTCGCTTTGGAACTGGATTAAATATTATTTATTAAATAAAATGATTTATCAATAAAACTGATTTTCAGTACTAAACTCTGTGGTAATCACAATGTTTACCCGGTAATAGATGATTGTTCAGTGAATAAACAAAGGTAAAAATATCGAGACAAAAAGCTATCAGAAAGTTCTTGCTTATTAAGCGAGTTAAGCGAGAGAATTTGAAATCAGGTGTTTTATTGTTCATGAAATATGAAAGTTCCAAATTTTAAATTATTATAGAACGATGATTAACAGTGCAATTTAGAGCTATATTTACATCAGTATCTCTCTTTGGTTTCTGATGTAATTTCTTGCACATTTCCTCATGGAATGGACTCTTTAAAACTCTTGAAACTTGACTTATGATTGTTCAATTTGTTCAAAAGTTATCAGTAAATTTCTAATACGTTTCTAGTTCTTAATACGGTCTCTTTGCAACTTATCAGAGGTTTAAATGTAATTGGATGGAACTGCTGTTCAGAATCATTGGAAGTACATTAAAGCATTAAGATAATTAAGTTATTGTTGATCGGTAGACTTAATGAGTTGATACTTTATTGCACAAAATCAATACATTTTAATGATTTTGGCAAACTAACCATTATGCTGTTCATATTTAATTATCTGATTTAAATAAAGATTATCCCATTTGCATTTTAGGATAAAATAAGCCCATTAAAGGCACATCTTCTTATTAAAACTTATTTATAATAGTAGTTGGATTTAATTGTAAAATAATTATTTTTATTGAAATCAAAATACAAATTTTTTATCGTATTGTTAGTTTTAGCTTGAAGAATTGATTTCATTACTGCGATCACACTAATGAAATGAATTTTAAGATTTTTCAGTTTTTAGAAACATTGGTCTCTTATTAGGCGCAGGCTGTATATTTTTGACGCGGAGTATCAATTCTGGTCTTTCTTGTCTCACATTCCTCTAATGTATTGCAGTTGAAAAGCACTCGGCTTCTCATTTCACCTCAATAATTGCTCCAAACGAGTGCTACAGATATTCCACTGCAGATTATAAAATGAAAAAAAGTCACAGTAGGCTGGATCAGGCTGATTCTATCCCCTCAATATTTTCAATTTTACAGTCCGTCAAATCTACTTTGCAGACTTCTGCGTCAAATATTTTGAATGAAAAATAACTATACATGACAAATTAACCAGAGATAAAGAGAGATGACCAATGAACAGACGAAGCTGGCCTTATCTTTAGTCTTTATTCCTAATCTATCCAGGGCAACTCCTGCATGATCACCTAATAGCAGCTAATTTGAGCTTTTAGCTTTTAAACATGGCGCCTTCTGTGACAGCTCTTGCCTTTGAGTATTTTATTGGTGTTAAGCAAATGGTGTTATTTGTAAACAAAGAGTCTCTCGTTATTACATTGATTTTTGGGAACTAACAGACTTTATGGATTAGTTGTGCAGTCTTGTTTTGGCAATGTTTAAGGTAAAGTTAATTCAGTTATTCATTAATTCATGTGTTCTTGAATTAATCAATCCACATTTTTGTTTCAACCTGAACATATTAGTTAAATGATATGTTAGACCGAACGACAACTAATTTTGTTGGTGAAATGATTGGATTCCATTGATTTACGATTTCAAGTTTCTAATGTTTAATCATTAATTTATCTTCAAGGTTGGAACAACTTTCATTGCCGGTTTTGATGGTTCTTCAGAAGTTCACGCAGTTCATGTTAAAGTTTAAAAACCTTTTGTTTCTCAAAAATGATTAAATGTAAAAAGTGTCGAAAAAACTTAATCAGATTTGACAAGATAGTCAACAGCCACGGTGATCAACCAACGAGTTTCAATCAATCATGCAATGTGGACAATTGGTATGTGAAAGACGATTTTCTCGACTCTGTTCCATGGATAAAAACTCAAATAGACTCATCTGGTTGGACAAAAGGTAAACTCATTTGTCCACATAAATGTGGAGCGAGATTAGGTTCTTTCAACTTCATTGAAGGTCTTCGATGCAATTGTACAAAATTCATCGTACCATCTGCTCATTTCATCAAAAAACGTGTTGATTGGGATAAAAACTATTTCTCAAAATTTCATCCTGATCGATCAAATTGAAAAGGTTGACTCCAAAAGAAAGCAAAATTAGCTGTTCATGATTCACGGCTTCTTTCAATTCAACATATAATCCGTCAGAAATAAGTGATCTTTGGTGCTCTTTTGTAGTGTAATATTGGATATCTTTTTGTAAAACATTCACATTTATGGTCAATCTTGGAACAAATCATTTTGATCATCCTTAAAAGAGGAAACAAAAAATAAGGACAAAGAAAAATTGAGATGAAGTGTCGATATTATTTTATTATGTTATAAAAAATAGAAATAAAGTTGACAATAAAATGAACATTGCGAATCTGGAATGCTTTATTTGTCCATATTGTTACATTATTTTGCATTAAGTATAATGAAAATAACTAAAACGCAATAATTAACTTCATCATTACATGAAATAAATTGGATTTTTGTATTTCTTTCAACAATTTTGTTACCTAAACAAAGTAAAATTCAATATGCAAAATAACCAACATCAACAGATCTTTAAATTAAGTATAATCATTATCACTGCATTTCATTACTTAAATCATGTTGATTGAACAAGCTATTACAATTATTTGTTTTGTTTGAAATAATTCAAAGCGATGAAGAGATACTTATTCATCACAATTACATGATTACAATACAATTAAATAAGTTTTGTTGTCCCCGTTAAGAGAGTTATGAATATGTCTTTGGTGTTAATGTTGATATTAGATAATTGTCTATGTTAGTAACAGATTAAGTAAGTGTCTATAATTGAATCATCAAGTTTATTCTAATTTTTCTGTAAGAGACAATTTTGATTTGATACAATCTAAAATTGAAGGAAATTGCACTTTCAACATTCTGATGACATTATTAAATTATATGTCGAGTCAAACTTATTAATCTTGAAATGATCACAATTATGTTTCCACTTGTTGTAAAGAAAAAAAATCAACTTTGCTCTTTTCTCATTTCTTTCAAAAAACAAAACACATATTCATGTATAATCTAGAGTTACTAACAAAATAAGAGTTAGTTATTGGTTAGTTGTGACCTCAAATAAGTCAAGACAATCGAAAAATGAAGGCTTAACTCGATATTGTCTGATAGATAAAACAACATTGCATGTGCCTTGAGGCCCTGAGTGAAAAAATAAACTAAATTGGAATAGATCAACGTTGATTACTGATTTAAATTAAATAATAAAACCGGTAATCATAAATATTCGAAGGAATAGAAAAGGAATAAGAAATATAAAGGAAGAAAACCTGGAATGAAGATTGCTAAGCAAGAGAAAATAAATTAAAATTAGGATAGAAAAGGAGTGTAATTAACTTAATTAACTTAACTTGAGGAAAATAGGGTTAAATAAATAGTAGAGAAATATTAAGTCACAGATAACAAGAGAACGGATCACATTCGAATTTGGAATGTAATAGAGAAGATTAAACCAGATTCTTAATTGCTTATCGCCTAGTTTTAGCTTTCTAGCGATGATTACTCTTAATTTACGATTGATTGCACATCTTAATTTCCCATTTAAATTCGAATAAGAACAGTTCCAAGACCTTTCTTCACTAAGTCATTTGGAATGGATATTGTTTGGAATCGCACGATCGACGGGTTGTATGGAATGGTCATAGTGAATGAAAACTTAGTATCCATTAATAGATTAGATGATTTTGCATCACCACGTGTCTTTTGGAGATGAAGTTGAACTTGTTTAATAAATTGAGGTGAAATGGGTCCTTCTTCACCGGCAGTGTAAAGAGTAAGAATCTTCATAATTTGTGATGAGCTAAGATTAAAATAAATAAAAGAGTAGATGGTAAATTTACTATTATGATCTTGAAGTAAAGCGAATAATCAAATGAAGATGAAATAAAACTTACCTTAATTTATTACAAACTTCAACAATAGTTTCAATTGAACTTTCGGTCTTTTTAGCTTGAAGAAGTTTTGTTGCCTGAATAATTGGCTCTAATTTTTCAACTACCTCATTACAGTTAGGTATTTGTTGTTCTCGAGCCCATTGTTCCAATGCAGATAAATTAAATCTTATTTGCATGGCTTTGGTCCAGTGGCAAAGGTCTTTCCTCAAAAGTAGATTATTGAGAGCACTTGCACAAATAAAGTAAAACAACTGTTTAAAAATTTGGTGGATTAAATCAGGTTCAATAACGTGAAGCAGCACAATTTTATGTAGGGTTGACAATTCACGAATCAATGCCTCGGTATGCTTTTCGGTTGGTGAATTGGGAAGACTGTCTTGCTCCGAAACACTAGGCCTGTAAAATATATAATAACAGAAAATAAACAAAAATGATTTCAATTAAAATTAGTAGACCGTTTGGGTAAAAGTTGGCAAGCAAATTGATGATAAATCAAAGATGATTTGAAAGTTAAAAAATCAGAAAAGCATAAGAAAAATACTGACCTTTGTGTGTTCGCAGGTTGTGAGTAGATCCCTGAAGAAGCCAATGCTTCGTGTTCTAATATTGCAGGAACTATTAGTGATTGGATCAGTTCTTCTGAGTGTTTAACTACACCACTGTAGAGCCAATGTGAAAAATCAGCGAACATTTGACGATATTCACTTAAATCAAAGTTTTTAAGAGACTCGTCAAAAACACCGTAAGTTTCATCTCCTATGAAAATAGATTAAAGTTAAATTGATATAATAATACGATTGCATTTGCAATATTAAATACCTGAATATTGGCGAATAAAAGTAACCATTTTGCAACAGTTTGCTAACCACAAAACATAATGATCAAGATTATTTTGCTTCTTAACTGTGCGTTTAATAGAGATCATAAAATTATTGAGGAGGCTTCGTACCTAATGAATGAAAAATAATGAATTGGTTAAACTGAAATTTTAAACGAAATGTATTGAAACGATAAATAATTATTCAAAAATAATCTTACCATTAACTCATTATTAATGTGATCAGTATATCGAACACACATAAAAATGATAAATGCTGGCAAATGAGGAGGGAATTTAAGAGCATGGTTAGGATCTAAGTTGATTACAACCATCCTAAGAATGAGAGACTCATCTTGACGGCTGTATTTGAACATCCCTAATGTGTTTTTAACGTCTTCGGGAGGAGCATTAGTTTCGTTGTTAGCTTCATTCTCTTCATTCTGGTCACCCAAAACTTTGTGCCGCAAAAGTTTAAGCTTTAGAGCTTTAACTTCGTCCGTTAGTTGGTTACATTTTTGTTCGAGTAAAATTTTTTCTTGGAAAATTCTACTGCTATCGTTTGACGATGCAACTGAGTCCAAGCTATTTTTCATTGATTTGTAACCTAGACTACTGTTTGATCGTATAGAATCTACTTCCTCTTTTAACTCTTCCTTGGCTCGTTTTTCGATTTCAACTTCTTTTTCGAGTTGCTTAATAATTGATTTGAAGGCAGAGAAAACTTCATTTTCAGCAATCGGTTCTCGAATACTAGATTCTTGTCCAAGCACGATAGTTTTCAAGTTGGTTCGTTCTTCTCGAACTCGATCCAATTCAGATTGAAGGGTTGCACATTGCTGTGAAAGCAAAGCAGCAGCAGTTGATGATTCACTGCTGTTTGAAAAGCTTGCGAATGCTTCTCTCATTTCTTGATTTTCATGTTTCAATTTGGCATTTTCTTGTTCGAGTTCCGATAGTCTCATCATAAGAGAAACTGTAGATATATCAGGACCTTTTTCTTCGTAATCATTAATCACATCACCAGATTGCATTTTTTCCTCCAAAGCAGCATATTTGCGAAGTAATTGTTGATGAGCAGATTTTTCTGATTCTCTCTCGTCCAGTAAAATCTTTCGTTCCCGTTCAAATTTAGCAACCAAAATTTTCTCCTTTTCGGCCAATGCTTTTTCAAGAGCTTGAGCATCGAATTTCTTCTCTACCAGTTCTTGATTGACTCTTAGATCAGCAATTTCTTTTTCTTTACGTTTAACCAATTCCTCGAGTTCATGAATACGTTTACTATTGATTTCCAGTTCGTTTGTCAGCTTCTCATAATCTGTTTCATTAGCTGTTAGCTTGTTGTGAAGGTTTTTAATCTCGATTTCCATTTTAATTTTGTCACTCCTCAATTCTTCTATCTCGTTATCCTTTTGATTGAATTTGATTCTTTCCATAGTTAATGCCTGAATCTTTTGCTGCAACTCGATAATTTTGATTTCTAATCCTTTGTTGAGCGCTTTAACATGTTCAACACTACGCGCTTCTACTTTGAGTCGTTTAAGTTCACGCCGAGCTAACCACCGACGTACTTGAGATTGTGCAATTATAATCTTTTGTCGAGTAGCAAGATATTTTCGTCGAGCGATGAACATACGCACATTCTTTTGTATCACGATTGCAGCCAAATTTTGCTTAATGAGCAAGAATTTGCGACGAGCGAGTAAACCACGACCATATTTCTGTAGTCCATAAGCTAATTGTTTGAGTTTGAGATACTTTTTACGAGCAATATAGGCTCGCCAATTCGTTTGAATCATGACAGCAGCCTTGGTACATCTTAAATGTTGATAGAGACGACGAGCAAGCAAACCTCTAGCCAAACATTGCAAACGTAAAACTGATGCTTTGATTTTCAAGAAACGTCTACGAGCCATCCATCCTTTAATGTTTCGTTGTAAAATAGTAGCACATTCTCGTAACCTTTCAGTTCTTATACGTTCAAGGAGAGCAACTTGCCCTGATCGGAAAAATATTTTAGTTTTACCACATTGGTAAAGAGTTTGTTGCACGCGACTGGCCGTTTCATGGCCGATTCTATACTGAGAATAATATTGTTGCTCTGTTTAGTAGAAATGGAAAGTACAAGTTGTTATTAAATTGAAAATTGTATTTTAAAAATATGTAATGTAGAAATATTAAAAGATCAGTCGCTTTTTAGCCAATGACTCTACTTCGATTTGTGATAATAATTATATTTCAATTTACCGGTAATTTCAAAGAAACGAGACATTTAAAATATAAATGTTCGTAAGTCATTTCTCTTGCAATCGGAGTTAATCAAGTGGAATTGATTGGTTAATTAATTTTAAGGGATTAATAAACGATAAGAAAGCGACAGAACTTGATTGATACTTCTAATAACAAAAATTTATCAGCATAAATTGGCTTACCATATACGAGTTTAATGATTTCCAAACAAAGAGCTTTAACTTCAGGCGATGCTGTTGATCCAGCTCGAACCAATTTTCTCGGACATGAAGCAGGCTCTGAAATTGAAGAAGGCGAATGAATATTGGTGGAGGAGGAAATTAATATCCGATTTGTTACAATTCACAATTTACTGATACCTGTTTCAGATTGTTTCTTTGATTTGTTAACTCCAAACAACAACACTCTATATCGAGCAGCAAAATCAGAGTAAGTCCATCTCGATGGAAATCCATTAGAACTTATTTTGATTGTTTCAAGGACACCACAGGCTCGAAGTTGTTGAATCGCACGAATATTATGAAACTCAAAAGCTCCTTTGTTGTCATTTGGCTTTATACATCTTATATAGTGAGGTGTAGTGGCATTTAAAGTTTTCATAAGAGCAGCTAAAGATTCACGGAATTGTGAACCAACTGTAGCTTTGGCAATTTTCTGTTGTCGTTGCTGTTGTTGATTCTAAAAAGAGAGAAAAGAAAAGTTGAAAATGCAAAAAAGAGAGAAAAATGAATGAAAAAGGAGTGAAAAAAAGTTAAAAAGGAGAAAAGAGCAAAAAGTGAGAAAAATTGATGATAATGATGGTGTTGATAGTGGGTCTAAAGATGCTATTGAAAAGTTCAAGCTAATCTTGATTTAATTTATTCAAAAAAAGTTTCACAAAACATACTGCAGTAATTTTAAGTTTTTGTCCTGGTTTTTGAGGAGCAGAATCAATACCCGATTCCTCCATGAACAGAGGTCCAATAATACTTGAGCGTTTAAGTAAATCGATTTGCTCTTCCCAAACAGTGTCACGATTTTTTTCGAGAAATCCTATCAAAAGTGAGATAAATAAAAAAACCATATCGATCATTAAATTCTTGAATAAAACAGGAATGAGCTAATTGGATTTAATAATTTTCATGCATTTTTTCTAAATTGATCATATTAGCTGTCTAATAACACATCAAACAAATAATCATAATGATTATCTCATCATACCATCAGCGTGATAGACAACTTTATCGGCAAAATGTTGTATTATGAAGGTGTTTCTGGATCCAAATTTAGGTTTTTGGAATATGGGTCCAACCGTAAGTTGAGCATAAAGCTTAGATACCCAAGTTTCATCCGTTCCTACGCAAATGGGAGGAGACAGGAAAGAAAAAAAAGAGAGGGGAAAAGAACAATTGAGATGAAAAGAAAAAGAAATCACGATTAAGATGTGTAAACACGGAGATTCCTTCTTTTAAGGGTATACCTTTTGGCATTTTACATTCTTCATCCAAAAGGTTAAGAATTCCGATCGGTTTAGCTTCAATGAGATCAATTACAGGTTGATTGTCAGTGAATGTTATGAATTGCCAATCGATTCCCTCTCTAATATATTCTTCTTGTTCCAGCTGAAATAAATTGTTTTTTCAATTAAAATCGCCAAGAACAATAAATTTTAATGAATTGAGAATTGAGACAATTACCTTGAAAACATGCTGATTGAATTGCTGTTGTAGAGCCTCGTTCGCGTAGTTGATACAAAACTGTTCGAAACTGTTTATATCGAAGTGCTCGAAGCCATAAATATCTAAAACACCAATGAACACATTGGAAGACGAATTTTTCTCAGAAGGACCTGATGTAACAAAGTACAAAGTAAGTACAAAGGATAACCAAAGTCAGTTTCATAGAATTTTTGATGTCAATACACTCATTAAATAAGTTTGATTCATACCCAAAGCTTTGTTAATAAGTGAGACAATCCATAGGAACATCTTTTCATAAATATATTTGGCCAATGCATCTCTGCCATATTGCGCGGAATTTTTACTAACTGGAGTCACAATAACCTCTGATCTGCCCATTCTAATAACTTTATTGGTCAGCCACTTGACAGCTGCTGAATCATCCAAATCGAGTAATTCACAAAAACTAATTAAATGTGGATCTTGCAGATCAATTGTACAGGATTCATCATCAACCAGACGAAATTGGATATTTCCAGCGTGCAGAACGGCAGCTATAATTTGAAATATTGTTGATTGTTGCTTTTCGGTGAATCCTAAGCATTGCATTGCCTCATAAAATCGACTAATATCATCACTAGGATTAGGTTGCTCATTGCCCAGATAAGAAAATGAATATTCTTCGGATAATTTAAGATACTTGAAATCACCCGTTTTAAAATGATTGCACAATTGATAAAATACGTGAAAATTTCGTTCTCCCTCATTTTGCCAAGAGACTCGAGATTTTTCCAATAAATATGTTCTCATATTACCACCAATAATGGATCTTGTTTGAGGATCCATCATGATTTGAATATATTTACCAAACCGTGAGGAGTTGTCATTTCGAGTAGTTTTGGCGTTACCGATGGCTTCCATGATTGGATTACTAGCAAGAACTTTGTTTTCAATGTTTGATGAATGACTACCAGCAATGGAAGCAAAGTATCGCATAGCAAATTTGGCGGAAACTGTTTTACCTATGAATGAGAAAAGGTAAAAAGATAAAGAGATGGGTGAAAGCAAAGGAAGAGAATGAGAAAAAAAATATTAAAATGCAGTCGGAAACAATAAAAAAGAATATAAAGTTAGAGCGGATGCAAATCATTCTTCCCATAATTGAAAAGTGTTGCAAACGGACTGTGAATTATTTCTAATGAATTAAATCAATGAATTACCAGCGCCACTTTCTCCACTAACAATGATTGATTGATTGCAATTTTCCCTTTCCAATTTGGAATAAGCATCTTCAGCGACCGCGTAAACATGAGGATCTAATTGACTGGTTCCCAATGACCTATGATATGTTTTTATTGTTTCTTCTCCGTATATGTCTAACTCGGCAAAAGGATTAATAGCAACAAGCACGATACCACACCAAGTGTAGATTGATTGTTGATCGAGAAATCGAACTCTAAGATTATGTAGAACAGCAGGTTCATGGAGATAAGACAGACTGGTCAAATCATTAGCACCAATCAATACATCTGGATTGCGAAGAGGGGGTAACTTATCGATACTTTCAATTTTCAAGGTTACTTCCTGCAGTCAGGTTGTAGTAAAGGTAATAATTACAAATTGGTCAGCGTTAAAACAAAAAAATTGAAAAATTACATAGAGAAGAGAAATAAACAAATAGTAAAAGTAAGAAAAACAAACCTGCTGATCTTCATCAGTGACAACAAGAACTTGAGTATCTGGAACAAAGTTGTCCTTAATATGAAATAATTTCCAGACTTCAGCGGCGTCAGGTACCCACACTCGAGATCCTGATGTGTAAAGATCAGGAAAAACCGCCGAGGCCATAATTAAAGAGACGTTTATTAACTACTAAATGTCTTGAGATTTTCACTCTTTCCTCTCAAAAAAAGAGTGAAGAAAAAGTATGTAGGCGTTTCTCAATTTTAGTTTTTTTACTTAGTACCCTCTAGAAATCATAGATGGCATTATTAAAAATGATTAGTTGAACAATGTAATCGTCTAATTTAGACGATTTATTATAATTATCTAACTATCCTTTTGTCTATTTAATCTTTGCACTGATTAGTAATCAATTTTATTGGTGGTTGATAGAACGAAAATATCAACTGACAGACTCTGAACTATCCAACAATAATTTCTTATTGAATTCATCAAAATTTTCTGATTTGACTTGTTAAACTTATTTTGCAGCAACAAATAACGACTAAATCTAATCAAAAGTGATTATTTAACATTAAATTAAATTTTCATGTTGAAGACATGCCTAATGAATAATTTTTTCATATAAAGGACTGAGTAACACTGAGTAAATCAAAAAATTCTGCAAGATTGCACATGGAGTACAGGGTGTAGCGAAAGTTCGTGTAGGTAGGAGGGCTTAAGAGATGAAATCAGTTTCTCGATTGAGAAATAAAAGAAAATTAAAATTGGTTTCTACGCAGGGGGAAATATTTTTTTGCCTCCTACACGAACTTTCGCTACACCCTGTATGAACAAAGTAAAAACAATCAACAACACAAGTCACCACTTTAACCATCAACAAGATTGTAATATTTTGTAAAATAATTCTGTAATAATCTGAATGGATTATAAGAAAGATTCAGTTAATAAGTTGATTCAATGTTTCTAGATGAGTGAGTGATGGGTGAGAAACGGTAATAATCTCTCATGATACGCCTATTTATTCGAGCCCAAGTGCATTTACTGACAATTGTTGAGGGCAGGTTGCTCAATCAACAGGTAATCAAATGGTTAATTAAACAAGGAAACAAAAGGATCGAAGACACCAAAATCAAATGGACACTTAGTTCAGATTTCAGGACATCTTATTGCTAAAAGCTTCTCTTTCTAGTTTTCCCTTTTTTCTGTAATTTATCACTTTTTGCTTTTTATTATTATCGCCCTTGTAACCTTTTCCCCAAGTTACTCTCAACTAACATTTAACCTCACAGAATGTTTGAATTGAAAGAAATGAGAAAAATTGTAACTCAGATAATAATGTAAAAGTGAAACAGAAGAACATCTCTCTAAGAGCGTCGAGTAAATGCGATTTTCTCGTAGAACGCCCTGCTGGTACGAACGACAAACCTTTCAATAAACGCGAAGAGGCCAACGATTCTGTGTGTCCATTTTTACGCTCTTTCTAGTTGCCATACGGTACAATACTTGGGTTGACTGGGTTGTTATCTTATTATTTTCAACTATCTTATTGGTAAAATGGTCACAATAAATTTTCCTCTCTTGAGTCCAACACTATTATAACTTTAATTTTTACTTAATGGATGGACTCCTTTTCTGAGTGAATTGGATGATAGTTGAGCAATGAAACTCTTACCGTTAACCCCGTTAATCCGGACTAAACAAGCAGTCAATGATTCATGGTTGACTATGATTCAAACGACTCATTACCAAGGAAGAGACTGAAAATCGAAGTAATCTCGAAAGGTACATAAGGACAAAAACGCAAAATCTTTACGAAATCAAGATTCTTTGTGCTCTCTTTTATCCAGTTAATCTCACACAGAATACGTATGTACCACTTGCAAAGTCAAGAACAATTACCAGCATCAACCTTTCCAATATCAATGGGCACGGATTATTGATATCCCATTCTAATCTTAAGACTTATGTACCGAGCCAAACTTACAATTATATAGTTAGCAATGGGACACAATAATTAATAAAAAATCAAGTTTTGTGTACAAAAAACTCATTAATTTCCTTATTCTTATTAGCAGTTCGGGAGCACATTTATTAAAACGGTTTCGTGCAAAGCTCGTTCCTGGTAAGAATATCATTATTCATATACCTTTAGAAAATGTTACAAATGCTGAAATGAAACAAAAGCTTTTAAGTATTACGAATAAATTTGAATAATAATGGGTCAAGTAACACTAATGATATATTTTTAATATCAAACATGAATCATTTTGCTTTTTTATTGAAATGAGTTGTCAGTATTTACAAGTAAATCATCATAATAAACTGGGATTGGAGGCGCTGGTCCAAAAATTTCAAAGCAATTGTCAATCAAATATTCAATGACAAGAGTTTGAAGTGAATTGTCAAACAACATCGAAAAAACGTTACCATCAATATCCCTGTGAAGTAAACACAAAAATGAATGGAAAAAGAATCAGTTAGATAATCTTAACACTTGGAAAGTATTTTTCAATATTTCTAAAATTTCACCAAGAAAAACTATCAAATTCATTTAATAGTCTTTAATATTCAGTTTAATCTTTCGTGATGATTTTTTTCGCAAATGATCTGTCATAAACTGCATTACCTGACCAATAAAATTACCCTACTATATTAACTATCATTATAAACGAAGAATTAGCATAAATGGAAAAGAGTGATTCTTAACCAATTTACATTGGAAGTTAATGACAGATCATTTGCGAACAAAACAAAGTATGAAAGTGACCACTAGCTACTGGTACTTACTTCATTCGGAAAAGAGTTGGAGCAAAAACCAAACCAAGATTTTTGGTGGACATCTGATTGAGTTCCTGGTTGTTAGCAATGAATTTAAGGTGATGCATTAGATAGGCTAAAGTAGCTTTATGATTGGTCGGTAGCTTTTCAACTGTCTCCTTCAAATTGTTGATTATCTCCGCTCGTTTCTCGCTACTTTCTTCGGCAGTTCGATTTTTTTTGGCAACATTCATAAATTGTGAATATAAGTCACTTGTGAATATTGGTTCTGGAAGCTGAGGAAAGGACCGATGAAAGAGATGTCATCTTTTAGATTTAATGACTATAAGTGGAAAACAATTGGAAATAATTATTACCATACGGAAATATTCCTTTAGAACATGACCAATGTCATTTGGATTCGTATCACTGAAATCGATCAAATAAGGACTGTTCTCTAAACTGCGGACAAATTTTTGGACTCGAGAGATAACACCATTAACTCGATATATGCCTTTTATACTATAACCACGTTTTTCAATCTCCAAGCAACATTTGACGACTATGAATGGGATTGGCTCCTTGCTATTGGTTAAGTGGACTCCGAAAATCGGGTTAACCCGTTTAGGTATTGGATTGCGTGCACAACGTATTATCATTGATCGAAGGCATTTATTATGAGAAAATAGAAGGCACTAGAAAAGAAAAAAGAAAAAATGGATTAAGGATGTTATTAAATTATTATATTGTAATATTCAAAGACAGTAAATACTAAAGTCAATTTTAAATTGAGTCAACATTGACTTTCTTGGTTACCTTTTCGATACAAAACAAAACATTTGTTTGTTAACGCATTAACGGCGTTTCACTTTTTTATCTTAACCATACTCAATAGCTAACCACATTTCCAGCTGTTAACTTGTGGGTTATCATAAAGATTACATGAGACATCTTAAATGAAGTGACAACAAAGAGTAAAGTAGAGATTTCTGCTGCAATTCGGGCGAGGCAATGAACCACCTCTCTTAAGCTATGACAAGAAGATCATCTCGTTCGAGTAGAATATCACTTTCTACTGAAGATTTCTTAGTTTAGCGATCACTTGAACTTTGAAGCACTGAGCGCTGGAACACTGGTACATTATTTCAATATCAAACACAAAAGTAATCAAAAATTAAACAAATCGGTGAGTCCACTGATACTCATAGCATTTAACGATGATCGTCTAATCATTACTGACCGACAGTTGAACAATAAATGAAAATTATTGCTTCTTAAGCAATTGTAAGATAACTGAAAGATTAGTTACAATCTTCAGCCCCATCTATTGATCAAAAAGAAACACAATATTTCTCTAAAATAATTAAATTGCTCTTCAATTGCGGCAACAATTTTATCCATTTTTTGGTTATTTTTAACAAATGATTCTCATTTAACACTTTGGTCAATAATAGCCAGACACTTTTTAGATGGATAAAACAGTTGATTAATTGGAATTAAATGGTCATAAAGAAAAAGGTTCATCTAATTGTTCATAAAATGAGGATAAATTGAAATTTCATTTTCTTCCCTTAAATGTTGTCTCTTTTGCCCTACTCTTTGAGTGACAATCGGCTTGATTGAAACTAATTGTCATCTTCGATGTTATTAAAAAAGGTAATCATTGAAGTGGACCATGAAAATGATGTCCATTCATTTTAATCATAATTGTCACCTTTAATCACTTTCAAATCTCTTTACTCTTCACAGTCACTGCTATCATCACAGCCATTATTGTTATTGCTATGACCATCATCATCAATTTATCTGTCCAATTTAAGCCCAATCAGAGGGAACAATTTATCAGCTGATGAAAAGGTGAAAATAAATAAACATTAAAAATGAAACAAATGTTTTCTTCTTTGCTTTCTAATTTTAGATACAATCAGTGATGACAATTGTCCCATTGTTTGTTACCTGATCATCAGCAGTCAGTGAAACAAGTAACATGTTTGGCAACAATCAACCATCAAAGATGACCCTTTACCTTTTCAGCAACTTTTGTTCACCAACAAAACTAGAAATGAACAAGACAGATGATAATATTGATGAGATTCGTGTTTATCGTCCAGATAAACACAGGAAAAATAGTACAAAGAAATAGCATTGGAATGAAAAAAAACATGAAATCAGAAACAAAGACGTCAATTGAATTGGATCACAATAGACTAACAATTGTAAGTTTGGTAATATTGAGTTTGATGGGTTCATGTCAACCTCATCTCATTTGTTACAAAAGGATAACACTTTTACCCTGAGCATGAAGCAAGAAGCACAAAAAGCCATGGATTGTTCAATTAAAAGATAATTGATTAAACCAATAATTCCATCATCAATGCAATGAAAAATTATTGATGTATACAATATTCTTGAGCTAATATACAATAATTTGTTTACTGATGCCTCATCAGTGATCCTAATTATAATCCAAATAAAATAAATGAATGAATAAAAATTGTTAAATTAATAGCAAACTTGTTGATTCGGAAAGATATTGATTGAATTCAACTCCTGCTTTTCTTCATCAACTTATGAACAAAATTCTGACTTTGATGAAAAACAGAAAGGAGAGTTTTTTAACCTTCAGATACAAAAAAAGTGTCACTAAAATGTTTGTTGGTCCAAAATATCAAGTCTTTTATAATTACACCTTAACATTGTATTCGTTGAGTTGAGTCAATCGCCATAATCCACTCATCAAATCGAGCGATTAATCTGAAACTTATCCAGTTTCGTTTGTTTATTACAGTAAAGCTCGTTTGTTTGAAACAGTCAGAGCGATTCAATGAGACACTTTATTTTTGTTTAAAACTTTACATCAGCTCATTTCATTTCATTCACTAACGATGAATGTTATCATTGTGAAGCTGGTGATTCCAATATCAGGTTGACTTGTTAATCCTACTAACCTTCATTTTCATCTTTGATAACCTTTATTTGTGGCTCTAATCCATAGTCTTTGCCTTAAACGATCTAAAGGCTCTTATTCATTTCATATTAACATGTAAAAAGCATCAACCAATCTGAAAAGCTACACTCTCAGAAAATGAGCCTCAAATGTCATTAAGAGGTCAACTAACTGAATAACCTTGAAACTCTGTGGTCCTTCAATTTCATGAACTCTACTGACCGAATATCAGAAAGATTTGACTTCTGATTCGAAAGTTATCTGCACAAACGAGTGTCAAGTCAGGTCTAATTGATGAAAAAATTTCGTTGGCTTACATCATTGATCGTCAAACAGATTCACCGCAAATGCTGGTTAATTACTGAAGTGTTTTCATGCTGATGATAAAAGTGAATAAAATATTGAAAAGTAATTTAAAATTTATGCTCATCTGAACTGATGAAGAAAACAGTTACTTTGCAAGTTTAATTGCAATTTAAATAGATTATGACAATTCGTTGATATAATTGATTTATCGAACAGAAAACATCAATTCTCATGAGTTTTTAGTCTAGAAATTTAAATTTTTTAGTTTTCTTCGATTGATTGCAATGATTGAATTTTCTGTCTGATAGATTCATCATCTTGTCTAGAATGAAATACTTAAGAGATAAAAAATGATACTTATTTCGATATCAAACGTTTTCATGATCGAAATTGAATTATTACCTTCAAAATGAATGGAAAAGACATTTGATGATAATTTATTTTCCTGATTCACGGTTAAATGCAATCAAAGATAATCAGTTAATATGAGAATCCAAAATATCTTGTAATGATGAAATGAGGGAAAAGCATTGAACTTTCATTGGAATATTAATTCGATATGATGATGAGAAATGAAAAGATTGGAGTTGATCAGTAAAGCGTTTGATTAAACCTTATTCATTGTTCATCAATCGTTGTTTAAATAATTGATAAACAGATTGAGATTGGGAACGGTGTGATATTTGGTTGGCAAACTATTCGTGAATCAACTCGTAAATGGGAAAATATGAAGACAATTATCGCAGAATCATTGGCTTTGGAACCATTTGCTTTCAGATTGTTTATTTACATCATTTGCTTACAAAATTAAATCAGGTTACTCTTCATTTTGGCTCATCTTTTCAATTTTTTTCCCTTCTTCTCTTTGTAAATATTCAATTACATAAATATACAAAGAAACTGTATTAGGTTTGCCTTCATTCAATTTCAATCTTTGAAGCTCATTCAATATAATCAGTTCTCATTTGATTATTGAATAAATCAAGTCTGATAAAGACAAACATCTGTTCAGTTGATATTTTGTTTTTACTTTGAGCTGATAAGCTTGGAAGAAGCTCAGTAATTTTCAGCAGTAATTTATTTATTTCTCAATGACCTGATTCTGTAAGACATGACAATCAATTATCAATTAAAGCTGTAAGAAAATAATCAAAGAAAAATAAGCTTAAAGGTGCAACATTTATTGATTCAGTAACATGTTCAATCCAACAGAATTGAGGTTGAAAAGATTTAGATTCATCTTCTCTTGACCCAAACTAATAGATAAATGAAAACTGTTGTATCATCAAATGAACTTCACATGCAAAACAATCCAAAAAGAATCACAAGTCGATCACAAGTCAACGTAAACTGAATGAAAACTTGAAATAAGTTGCTCAAGTTGATCATTAACGTTTGTAAATCCTTTGATAGTATCACTTGCTAACTCATAGATTCGACTGATGGTTTGATTTTAGTGTAAAATTTCTGAGAATTGAGAGGTTGAATGAAATTCCAATTATGAAATCTCTTTTATCATTTTTCCCTTGCTCAGCATTCTGCATTGAGTTTGCACAAACTAAGGTGAAGTTTCATAAATGAGCGAGCATTTGTTCATTTGAATAACCATTTGAGGCTTTAATCAATTAATATTGATAAACACAGTATTAATGATTGGAATGAGTTGCATTTATTAAAGTGTATGCATTCATATTACACATGTGATTATACTTGATTGAACTTGATACTTTACAAATTGAATGAATACAAAGTAACATAGAATATGATTAATTAAATGAATAAGGTAATGAGTTTCCTGATTACAATAACTAATCATTCCGTGAACAATTAGAATATTAAGAATAATAATCTCAACGAAAAAAGTAAATTTGAATACAATGTTGCAAAAGGTGGAGATTATATGAAATTGGGGCAACAAAGGTCATTCGGTATCTTCATTCATCTGGCCTTTCATATGCGCCATTTGCAAAGCATTTCCTAGAAGCACTTCGCATAAACTTGAGAAACTTGCTTTTATATGCAATAAAGAGATGTGAGTTTAGTCTAACAAGTCCTACTGGGTAAGCTTTACTTGGTTTGAATGATAAATGCCTGAATCAGGGTAATAAGCTTCATTGATACATGATATGAATATAAGAGAAACGTAATCCAGTCGATGAGTGTTCACACACTCAACTTTATACCCTAGAATGCCACATTGCAACATTAAAATCCACATTTATGGCACTTTAATCTATTTAGCTTGACTGGTTCTCGAGTTACGAAATATTTCTACATTTCCGTTGGAATATTGGCATTAGTGGCTTTTTGATGAATGATAACCAGTAAAAATGTCTCTCGTTATATCAAACAAACTCCTTGAGCTTTTCAGTGGTATATGCTATCGATTTTGAAGAAAGTGCAAATGTAACTCAAATGAATGTGTTGGTGCACATTTGCAATAGCATTCTGTATCGCAATTCGTTAGATAAAGCGATCAGTTTTGTTAATAAACAACTAATACTCCAACAAAATATGTTTATGAGTCTCTTCAGGTTAAATTAGCAATTAAACTCGCAAAATCTGACAAAGTTAATACTCTCTAAATGTTAGTCATTTTAATTATGGTCCAAACAATTACTAACAGATGAACATTGAAAATAAGTTGATCCCAGTTGACAGTGGTTTCGGTATCTTTTTGCATAAAAAATCAATTCCAAGTTTAAACTACAGTCAAATTATTAAAGACAATTGAACACAATACGAAGCAAATGGACTTGAAACGATTAGATTGCTAATTTGTTGAATTGTTTTCAATCCCAGCTAACAATAATCATCCTTGGCTTCAACCAAGTTTCTTATGCAAAAAGATACAAAAACGGAACAACTTTACTAGTTATTTTTATGGCAAACGATGAGAATTGATCAAAAAGATTTCAACAAAATTCTCTTGCATTTCAATGATAATTTAATAATCCTTGGATTCTATTGATCTTAAATGAAATAAACTAAATTAAGTTTACATCTGCATTGCATTCATGCTGACAGTCTTGCAGTTTTGTACATCTTTGCAAATCATTAAAATATGATAAACTTTTAATGAAATAATGTGCATTTCTTGATGATCTAATCAAGTTTCCCAAACAAACTCAAGATGAATTTTGGCCATTTATCATTTCAATGAGCTTACCTTTTCACATTTGTAACCTCCTAAGTAAATGTATGTATCACAAGTGCGGCATTTTTCAAAAACGTAGCTGAATATTCGAGTAAAACAATGAGTTCGAGCTGCTTTTGACCAACGACGTTTCTTACGATCTGTCAAGAAGAAAAGCATTTATTAAATTGTGTTGAGAGAAGCGATGATTCGGAAGAAATGAATAATAAAGCAAACACAATCTGATGGTCATTTCCAATAGCAGATTTCAAGCTGAAGCAAAATGAATAAAATTATCATAAAAGGAACAGAAAATAATGATAATATTGTAATATCAAGTAATAAGGAAGGAAAACCTTCCAATATTTATTTACTTTGTTCAATTCCATTTCATTGTTGGAAACAGAAATGAAAATTTTTTACTTTTATTCTGATTTCAAGTTTTTCGCTCTTCAACTTTTTCCTTTTGTATTTATATATCTGTTATAAAAATAACACAAATATTATTTTCCTAAATCGATATTTAATATATTTAACATAACATTTAATAAAATGATTTGAAAAACGACTTTTGTTTTTTTCTGTAAAAAAGTTATTCTTTTCCAGGTCAAATATCTTTTGATAATCAAATGAGACAGAACTTTTCTTGCAACATTTTTTCATGTTTGACTCAAGCATGCTGATTAAGTTTAATAACAATGTTCTGAAGGTTTCATGCATTTAAATGAATTTTTCAATCGAAAACCAAAAACAGAGAAAATGACAAAATGAATGTTGCTATTGATTCACTTTCAACTGGAATCTTTTCTATTCTAGTGTTTCCTTTCGAATCAGTTACGATCAGAATTTTGAATATAAGGTGACTTTGAAAGGTTATTTGTGCTTTGATATTTAACCTCAATTCAATAGTATGCTTTGAATGTTTGATTTAACGCTAAAAGAATAAGTATGAACATGAAATGCCCTGAATTTGTTACAACTGAACATTTGCGTCTTTTTTAATTCTTTGACAAAGATTGAGTTTCTTTGAAATTCAAGTGCAATAATTCATCTTAATCGTTAATCATGTCTATAATGGAAGAAAATCGAGTCTAGAAAATGAATGTTTTCTGGTCATTCAATTGTTATCCTTTTATATCGAGAGTTTGATTCGTCTGCTTTCAATTTTATCTAAAGCATTTCCCCATCATCAGACATTTAAATTAATGACTTGTGTTATATTCATGGGAATATTCAATATTACAGGGTAAACATGATTATTTATACATTAATAGTAGTTGATGTTTGTGGTGAAGACTAATGAATAAATTGTTTTCTCTGGGTCATTATACAATATTAAAAGATTGTTGCGCTTTCAATGATTAATCAAGTTAATAGTAGCATTTAGATAAACAATAAACGCACAAGCAATTTAAATATAATCATGAAGAGAGAAAAGAAGAAAAGAAAGAGATTGATTAATGATTTAATTGTGATTACCTCTAACTGGTTGCTCCTCTCCTGTTGTGATTGTTACATCGCTTACCTCTAAGGGAGTGATTTCACCGGAAAGAGATTCAACGCCGGAACTTCGACTGGTACATGAGCTACTTGATGTTTCAGATTCAAGGTAATAACTTGAAGTCGGTAATGGAAGTGATAATTTCTTTGATTTTTCATTGAATGATCCAGTTCGATGAAGGCCTAGAGAAGACAGAAGATAGCAATTAGAGAACAATTTATCCAATCATTAATGTGATAGCAATTTTAAGGTTTAGATGAGCATTATGTTGAACTAGGTCGATGAAAGTTATCCTGTCAAGCAAATGCTGGTCCTTTTAAGAAAGCAAATCAAACTTTTCCATTTAATGAATGTTGAAAAAACCCAAATGCTACGCCTACAGGTAACCTAATTTTTTGATTTAACCAAAGGTTTGAGAAGAAAAGATTTGATAGCAATTGCAATTGTTTTCACCTTCTCATTTTACTGACAAAAAATAAACATTAACAGTTAATGATGATGATGATGGACGGTGATATTAAGGCTCGTTTATTATCGTTATTATTAAAGATGATGAGGATGATAATCGATGATGCTTTCATCATCAACATTATCGAATCAATTGCTTATCCTTAAGTAATAACATTTTCCTTTTCATTCAAGTTTTGTTTTTCTTTCCCTTCCAAGCGATCTGATTATTTCACTGGAAAATTGTTTCTTTCGAAATCAGTTAATTTTATTGTTTGAGTTTCAATCAGTTTAGTGTTTATTATCTCTTCATGTTACATTCAAAATTCAGTCAATTCATGTTGCAAAATATTTAAGATTCTGTTTGGAGTAACTTTGTTTTTTGTCTTTGAACACAGAGACAAACGTAAATAGAAAAGTCGAAAATTTAAAGTTTAAATCGTTAAATGGTTTGCAGAACCGGAATCGCTTTTAATAGAAGCAGAAAGAAGCTGAGATTTTGTTCACAAGTTAATGGTAAATTGTTCAATTGGAAAAATTATTGTCATTATTATTGCAACTGGCATCATTAATGGATAAAATGTTAATGAGGAAAAGACAAAAAATAGCAAAAGCATATTCAGTTTAAGGGCAAGAATAAGGAAAAATAGTTCACAGGCTTCATCATGATCAACAGTTCAATAGTTTTTCCATTTTTTATCTTCTTGTTTCAGGAAATTAAAAGACAATGAGCAAAATTAGAAGAAAAAAGTTTGTCCTGATACTTCAGGAAATTCATTTTTCTAGGCGTAATTAGGAAAGATAAACCAAGGCAATTCAGAATTCAATTGAAAGGGTAAAAAAACCTCAAAAGTTGTGACCTTTTTTTCTGTTCATCCAAGGGTTAAACAGAAAAGATTGTGAGTTTTCTCATTCTGTGTTGATGTGCCTAAAAGGTATTCATCTTTTCCAATTAATGACATTAAAGTAAATCATTAGTAATGAAACAGATTTAATCACTTATTCGGTCTCTGCCTTTTCCTCCACTTTTCATCACCTGAATAATGTTGACTCAAACATCAACCATCAATATGATCAATATTTTGATAACTTCAATTGTTGACAGTTCTCTTCATTTTTTCCGATTCTCTTTTCACAACTTGTTTCTTTACTTTAAATTTGGATTGACAATTGCAAGCCATTTTAGGTAATTGTCTTTGGCAATGTCGAAGGTTAAACAATGTCCAATCTTTTTTTATTGCATCCATTGATTGATTATTTTCCATTTTTCTGGATCATTGGTTTGTTTCTCCCTGTTATCATGATCATCCTCGTGATGAGTGAATCAGCAAAAATGTGACCAACTTTCAGGATATTTTTAGATTTACATTTATTCCTTTTCCTTCGACTCTACTCTTCCTCATTTTAATCACATCGATATAAAGAGGCTGGTTCTTGGTATCAGAACAGTAATGGGATGAACTTTTCAAGTGACAAACCAACACACTGCCAATCAATGATAATCAAAAAGCTCAACATTTGATTCATGAGAACAAACTGGATTCAACGAAATAGGTTAATTGGGTGATGAAGAGGAATTTATCATTTTAATAAAATGCTGATAATGAAAGGTTAATCAAAAAGTGGCTCAGTTATTATCATTTTGATTGCAAGTTTAACAGTTTGCTTTAAATTTAAATTTACTTTATTCTTCCCTTGATTCCTTCTTTTCATGGATCAACTTGGCTGGTTGGGACTTTTGCACTCCCAGGATTGGGAGTGTAAATGTCAAGGTAAGTAAAGTGCAGAATATAATTGGTGAGATGATTGAGTTGAATGAATTACTCTACTTTTAAAGGCAAAAAAACATCTAAACACTTTTTTAATGAGCAAAAGATTGAAGTTGATGAGAAACTTCAATGCTCTGGATTTATCTGAAAATGGACTAAATCTTTTCATTTCGTGTTCAACACCGATTTCAAACCATTTATCATATTCAGGGTTGTTAATGAAAAGTAAGGAAAGTCAGAATGTTATCAAGTTGTTAACCTACAGAGAAAAGAGAAGCGATTAACTTGACTATTGATGCAGAATTAGAGTGGTTTTTATGCAAAATGGAATGCATGATGATGATGATGATGGTGATGATAGTGAGAATCATCAGTTGACAGAAAACAGTGAATGTTGAAAGGAAAAGATGAAAATGTTCATCTTATTATTTCGCCTTTCATCGTTTTTCTTCGTTTTGCTTCAACAGAAAATGAGAATAATGTTGACATTTATGATAATAGGTTTTACCTTTCATTGTGAGTCATTTCTAGTCTTCACTCTGGTTTCAATATTTGTTACCTTGACAAAGAAGATGAAGCAAAAAGTGAAAGACTTTCTGCATTCCTTTCATAATCACATATCTTATTGAGTTGAAATGCTATTATATCTACTGATATTTCCAATTGTGTTATGAGTTAACCAACTCAATCGACAAGGTTAAAGGATGACATAAGCTTCCATTGAAACTGATGGAAATGAGGAAAGGAGAAACAATCACAACTGTGAATGGACACTAAAATAAGAATGATTGAAATAATGGAAATAATAGTTAATAGTTTTCATTGGAGCAAAAAAACAAATAACGATAAAAGTTTATTTACAGGATTCTTTAATCATTCACTCAGTAATCCATGATAAATTGTCAATTTGGATTAAATAGTTCCTTGTTTGTTTCCTTAGATAGCTTTACCTCATCTCGTTTCAACCTTTTTGTACCAATAAACCAAGAAAATCATCAACTGTCAAAAACTTTTGTGTTTCTTCAAGTAGGAAACCTGGAACAGACTTCTCTCATAGAATACAACTTTTCAAAAGAATGGAAATTTTTTAATTCTAAATACTTTTGCATGGACTTTATATGAAGATCTTGAAAAGACCATTTCGAGCGAATTCAATATCTAATTGCTTTACATTGAATTAAGAAGTTATTCAAACTCCGTTAGCACAATTCCAATCAGATGCTTACTTTTGCTTTTAAAATTCATTCATTTAAGAACAATCTTCATTTATTAATAGCAAAGACTCGTTTCAATTTACATTAAAAATGGATTTTAAATCGATTTGAAGTCATTGAGCTCTAAATGCTGAAGTTGCAGGGATTTATCAAACTCTTAATGCATAGCATTTGGTGTGACAAAATGTTATTGTGAATGAATTGATAAACTCGATACTCCATTTTAGGCTTTAACAATAAAATGAAGCGACTTTTGAATCAATTTTTTGTTGCGCTTTGTTGTAAGCAGACTGAACTCATGTTTGAAATATAATCCTTTGCTTGAATCGGAAATGATTCTGGTTTCATTCAATGTTATCTGTTTTATCAACTTTCAATTGACAATGCATTCGTGTTTAGACAAATTTTCTGAGGTTACTTTACTTTGTAAGTTTATATTTAAAATCATTTTAAGGTGAAATTCAAGCAAATCACATATTGATTTGTAAAATGCAAGCAAGTTGAAGCTTGAAACATGAGAATTAGCTCGAACAATTACGCCTTTTACTTCCGTTTAGTTGTGCAAAAACCTGATACAGGCCATGAACCAAGCCAAGTTGAGCTTAACCTTCATAAGCAAGTTTAGTTGAACTGAATAAAGTTGAAGCTGTGAGATTTTCTTGCTCAACACTTTTCGTTATTAAAATTATTTCTATGGAACAACGATCAAATGTATTCGAAAATCGATTTACTCTCTCCAACAGAACTTTTCCAATTCAATTTGGATTCAATATTTCACCAAAATACTTTGCTGATTACACATTTACAATCGAGTAACCTGAGCTAATTTAAAATGGATCGATAGATTCATTAAACTGATTAAACTGGTTGACTTTACATTTTAATGTGCATTATCACACTGAAAGATCACTCTTGATCAGTTATCTTATGCTACGAATTCAATGGTGAACCCTTCAAACACAATCAGTTTCAATCTCCTCAAGGCTGCATCATCTCTTTTGTCAACCATTCATCTTTTTTCATCATCTTATTCAATCTGATAAAACTATTTTCATCATAACCCATCACCATCAAAGCTCTCACCCATTTCGCCTTCAGCCTTCTTCATCACCCAAAAAATGGAAAAACAAAAGAAACAATAAAAAGTTTGTTTTTCGTTGAAGACACATCAAGAAATATCAAGCAAATTGATCATCATGGAAACGATTCAAGAAACATTTCATAAGTTGATCATATAAACATATCAAGATGTGTGATTATAAAGCTAACTCACAGCAAGTTTAGAAGCCTTTGGAAACGCAATTGTGTCTTATAAAGGACATAATGCATTGGATAATACAGTAGTTTGCAACTTCTTATGTGATAATGAATAAAACAACTTAATTCAAGGACTTTATCCATGATACAGAAAATAATGGAAAAGCAAAAATCTAATAATGAAATGAAATGGTTACATCTTGAGGCATAGTTTATAGCAACTCTATTCATTACCAAACTGTCTTCACTTTTTTCGCTATTAACATCAAGATTGAACAAAAAACAACGAAAAATGAAGATCTCTTGGATTCTCTCATTTCTTTTGAATTATCTTCAAATTAATGAGCTAGTATTTAGTCAAACACAGTTGAGTTTCTTGTTTAAGTTACATGAGCATGTTGATCTTTCCAATTCACATTCTGACTTAAGAATTCATTGTCATTCTCAAAGAGAGTAAACTTTTTTATCCACTTAATGTCAAACCTTCAATTTCAA